GCAATCTCTGACTTAATTAGATTTTTTTTTTATTTTTAAGAAAAGGTATTCTCTCTGATGAAAAGTTATTAACTTGTTTCTTTATAATTTACATACCATTAACAGGTGAATTAACAAAGTACTGAGAAAAGCCTACAAAATATTCAGATTTAAAAGATTTAAACGACAAATGTTATTCCAGTTCGGAAAATTTCATGCGAGTTTATACATTGGTAGTATTTTCTGTCGGCTACCTATAAACTTCTCCCTATTAAAGTAATACAAAGTTTTCCAATGCAAAGTGTTCGTATTTTGAACGGTGTGACTATTAAATATCTTCAGACAACTTAAGTCTGATGTTTCTCAAGCTGGGTAGTTGAAGGTCTTAGTCCGTGGTTCCTCCAAGGAGCCAATTTACAATTGGTTATACCCATTTTGAGTTTCAAGACAACACGAGACACGGACCAAGGTCCCAGGTTATCCCGTCGGCGGTGCCTATCCAACTCGCCTCTTTTCAGACATTTTTACGCAGCTGCGCAGCTGCAGTCTAGACACAATCCATCAGGTTTGCCATTAAGCCCATGTGGATTTAAAAAAGCTAAAATTGCCTTTCAATCGTTCTTTTATAATATGACATTGTCTACACCGGTTAATTTCAGAGAAGCAAATGAGAGTTCCTTATAAAGCTGATTATATATTCTTAAAAAAAACATAACTATAAGGTATACTCAAAAGATACAATAAGGTATTCTTGATATAGCTTTGGAGCATGTTTTGTTATCGTAGGAAGTGCACTATTAATGATGGTAATAACGAGTCATTTAAAAAAATATTTCTTTACTTTTCCGATTTCATAACATCTCATATGACATTATTATAAGAAACTATTCGGTGTGCATTGAACCATCGTTTTTGACAACAAAATTGTCATTTCTGATACTCTGATTTAGTTTTCATTCTGAGGACTATGTACTTGAGATTGTCAAGTCCACACATATTTTTGCGAAGAGAACTGCTCTCTTATATTTCGTTTGCTGCTGTAATTGAAATTCTTTCTCTACAAAAACATTACGTAATTACCCTTGCATTTTAGTCATTCTAAGGAATACCAGAGGCCATCCGATATCAACCGAGTCGCAACAGATATCAAATTTCATTTTTCAGGGATCCACGGACCGAAGCACACGCGACTATAATGAAATTACCTTTTGATTTATGAGCTTAATTTTCTCGCCGCAAGAATTCCCCCTCCAAGTAATTTAGATCGGACTTCAGTCGCAACGTTCGTTCACACGCGGGGATCAAAGGAATTGTATCAATATTTAAGGTTGAGACGGCGAAAACAGCCCTTATCAAAAACGCATAAATCACTGACGAGGTCCAAATATTGCGATACTAAAGCGATACCCTTTTTACATAAAAGTCAGTGCACGGTAAGATGTCACATAGAATGGTTTAGAATATTATGTAATCGATTAATTTGTGGTTTTTACAAACAAAACTGTACTCCTTTATCTTTTATGACACATCAGCTTTTTTGGGGTTTGAAAAGAAAAATAGGTTTACATGATGACACGTGCAGCATTCGTATACCAAGAAGCTATTGTTAGGGTAGTCATGACAGGAACGGTAACTATTTTTAAGGCCGACATGTCCACTCAGCAGCCCACCATCAAAAACTCATCGATCTTCAACTTCAACTTCAACAATGCCTAACTACAGAAAGGGTAAGAACTGCTTTTCGAAATCACATAAAAAGGACGATGGTAAAACCTAGGGTACTGCGTACTTTTAACCAACAGCAAAGTTGCACACCTGTCAAGCATCTCTTTTTAATTTACTCAGCATTTTTAAAACTAGGTTTCCATGATGGACTTTCATCTTCATCTCCCCCGAAAGCTATTCTTAGAGGAAATTCTGATAGGAATGGTATCTATTTTTAACGCTAAAAACGGCCAAAACAGTCCACTATCAAAAACACATAAATCATTCAAAAGCTTTGTTAGTATCACTCAACAGCGAGAGTTTGAAATGTTTTTCGATATCAAAACCATCTTGTGATATTTCAGAAAGAGGATCGCGGTAAAGAGTATGGGTAGACGATTAATTTGCACTTTTTGCAAACAAAATTTGCTCCAGTCAATATTTTTCCCAAAACAAATTATAGGTTTCGACGATGATACTACATCTACTTTTCGTTAAATGGGTACTATTTTGCATGTTTGAAATAAAAAATAGTTGTGTTTGACGTCAATCGCGTGTTGCGTGGGTCTATGGTGGCTTTAGCCTCACGTAGGCCTAAGTGGGAATAGAGGTTTTTACAGATTTCCCAGTTCCCCGGATACAGAAACGTAGAACGCCGTTGGTACTGGCCAAAAATAGGCCTATAGTTTTAGGTGGGTCAATGACTCGATCCCTTACTTTTAATGAGAGCTCCTCGGGATTAGTGATGATCTGGTTGCCATGGACACGCAGACGTAGAACCAACAGGTAAGCCTTGGGGACACGGGTGATGCTTTAAGATACTCCTGGCCAGTCTGTTTACCATCTTCCGCGCGGTAAGTCAATGCATTATACATGCACAAATCTCAGAGAAGTATTTGTATTACATTATTCTCAGGACCGGCTTTATTTATGTATTGTTTTGGTTGAAACCACACATAAGAATACCTTTGGGCCACGCGTACCTTTGGGAGAAAAACTCAGAAAGTTTAACATTCAGCAGTACTAACAAATCGAGAACGGACAGGAACTTAAAATGTAAATCAAATTCCATTAAAAAAATACATTAGAAAACATTAATCTTGTTAATATTTCTTTCCTTTCTTTGGACAATACGGACCTCAATTCTTGTGCGAATAAATGCAAAGACCGAACAAATGTAAATGCGGCCAAATCTTTTTGGCTATTGCCAGGGGACTAAAAGACTGGTACGACTTTCTGTCATCGAAAAGAATCCTTGTCCTAAGAAACAACGACAGGGAAGCGAATGAAGCAGGTAGCCAGACAAAAAGATTATGTCAACGAGCATAGCGTGTGAAGGATGAAATAGTCCGGACCCTTGCACTACATTAACATGAGAAGCCCAGCTCTCCGTATGTGAAAGGTTAACGAATAAAATGCGACATTTTGAAATGTAATCAGACATATCATGGTCAAGCGTCACTGTCACTATGAACTATTGCAACCTAATCCATCTACGGATTAACACGGCATATGTCATTGAGAGACCTCGAAGGAAGGAATGTACAGTTGCTGGCTGAGAACAAGTAGAACGCCGTTATTGCAGATGGCGATTTTAATTACCAAATGCCATCCAGAACCATAAACCGGTCTCTTTGCACGTCTGCTAGTTTCATCTCCTAAATAATTATTTTGAATTATCCAAGATGGCTGGCTGTCATCTTTTGGTAGAACGACACTTGTGTTAGTTAGATTTCTTTGTATCAAAAATATGGGGTTTGTCACCAAAATGAACCTCAAACGACCTTCACAGCCAGACTTATTGAGCAAAATATGTCTAAAATGGCGGCCAGTTTGAAATCCAAGATGGCCGCCACATGGCACGTCAAAAAAATGTAACAATAGAATTCCTGCTTTAGGAAGGGACTTCTACCTTCTTTAAAAAAAAATAAGAAAAAATGCAATTGACCTTTTCGGGACATTTCGTCCTATAGGCCATCTTTAAACAGTACACACTTCCCTCAGCTTTGAATGCACACAAGAAATCACACTTTAAAACCGAAACTTTAAACTGCTTATGAGAGTTAGATAAATGGTTATGTAATAACGACAATGGTTAATATGTAATACAATTTCAAAGTGATTCACGAATTAAAATGTTACCATTAAGCTAAATAGGGACTACAACATTTTTTTTCAAAACATGATTTGCGGTGTTCTATAACGAAACAGAAAGGCCAGGTACATAGCAATAGATGTTTTGATCATGCGGCAAGAAAACTGATATGGTTTCTTTAATGGCCAAAAAAATGACAAATGGCACGTTGAATAGTGCGCATTTATCTTCGTCATTTCCTCCAAACGTCTTTCAAACAAATATTCCTTCAATGAATCGGGCGAGCAGTGCGTGTAGGCTTCAGTCAAAATTCCGCCAACCGGATGGAGATGTTTGAAAAAATATGAAAGGGTCAGGGTCCACAGTCTTGTCCCATCGAATTGATGGATTTGGCAGAGGTAAAAATGACGGGGGAGAGTTAATGCTCGCCGGTCGCGGAGAATCACGAAGCGAGAGGAAGCTAGGAGTTCAAGGGATGCTTTCCGCGAGTGACGGGTGCAGGTTCGCCGAGTGCCCTTTGTTTGCTCTTTAATTTAGCGTGACCGCCTGTACACACAGGAACCTTCCACAGAACACGTCTAAGACGCAAACATGGTCTTATCATGAATAATAACCGCACACTTCTACCTAGGGAAATTGCCTAAATGAGCGGTGTCAAACGGAAGGCAATTTGCATTTTAATTGTTGCCGAGCGCCTTTTCTTGTTTGTTCCGTGCGTTGGACTCGGGAGGTGCCAAGCTCATTAGGAATTTTTTTTAATGAGCTGCTTGGTGTGTTGGAGGGAGGAAGTTGGGGTTAATTAAAACGCCTCTGTATTGTCTCAGATGAGGAAGGCGTTCACTACCAGAAATCAAAGGAACAAAACTTTCCATCAGCGCATGAGATGATTAATTATGTTAATAGGACCCCTTCCAGCTTAGCTCCACATTACTATACAGCACTTGTAAAAATAATAAATCCGTTACACATAATGGTCTTATCACATTACACACACAAAATGAAAACATTTGGAATTCTCAATCCATCAATGTATTTTAATAAAACGTAAATGCCATCATAGTTTCAGGTCCCGACTTAACAGACTTAACTGTTCAAACAAAGGCAGCGTCTTTCAATGGACAGCATCTTCAAACTACTCAATTTTCCTTAGAAGAGATGAATTAGGAGAATGGAATGAAGACGATTGTGATTCTGTCCTTGGCAAGTACCTGACATTCAAGACGCCTCTCTCTTCAGCTAGAGACCATGGAGCTATTAAGCGACCTTTGACCTCGACCAACAATCAAGGGTTCCCGCGTTCCAGCTGCATCATTGCCATTCCTTTCGTCGTGAAGTCACGCACTGCAGCGCCGTACCAACACAGACTAGTGTCTCACACCTTGATGAGCTGAAACATTATTGTTATACACAGAATAAGACATCTACAGAGGGAAAGGTACCTGCCTAAGCTTGACATCAATTTTCCTGTGTGTTTATGTAATAAAGCACTGAGGTATCTGAGCGTTGATGTACTAAGCGCCCGCATCAAACTCTGACACGGGATGAACGCAGCGTGTTCATAGACAGACACACAATACTGCATGCATCATGCAGTTTCAATTTGCTATCGCACCCCGATAGCAACTCATCTGACGTGTGGACTGTAGAAATATTGGCGTCGCACTTTCTGTAGCGGGTCACCAAACATTATACCTGCAATCTCCGGAGAGCTCGACCGTTTAGAAAGTACAGCTTGTTTACTGCATACTTTGGTGGTGTGTGTGCATTTCAAGGAACGCATTACGTCTTTTGATACGGAAGTATGATGAGATGCCAGGTTGCGATATCATCGAAAAACCGTATGTATTTTAATTACTTTTACAGCTTTACAATTTCACCGATGGTAATCGTTTAAAACTGTGATCACAGCCCGGCGATAGTGTATGCAAGATTCTCGGCTACTGGTGCTAGATAAATCAATACAAACACAGGCTGATTTTGAATTCACTTGAACAAGGTCCTGTGAACAACGAGGTTTGATGAATAAAGATGGAGGCACAGCAAATGAACAGAAATGACAGTAATGGGTGGGTCAACGGACCGATATCCTGCGAGAGTTGGCAGCAGGCTCAACACGCCGTGTACCAACTCGGCTGCTTCATCATCGCCAACGGGTTCCTGGTTCCCCCCACGGTGGGGATCGCCCAAGCCCTCTGGCTCCGTATCTGTCTGGTCCTGGGGCTCTTCTGCCACGTGTTGTGGGCGGGTCCCGCCCTCTGCTGGCCGGATGGGTTAGCCTGGCAGCTGGCCGCTTTCTTCGCCAACGTCGCCCATCTCGTCTACCTGTCCTACCTGTCCTACCCGGTGAGCTTCGATGATGACGTCCAGAAGGTCTACCAGGCCCTCTTCAAGCCCTTCAACGTCTCACGGCAGCAGTTCCGTGTCATGCTGGACAGTGGGGGCGACATCTACGAGCTGGATCGCACGGGTCACTACGCTTCGGAGGGCCGGACCAGAACGGACAGGGTGTTGTCCTTGCTCATCTCGGGAAGGTGAGTTCATTAATGGTACATGATAATCGCATCTTTATGGTAGATCAGGCATGAAATGAAATGTCCATAATGATATCCATCAACAAGACAGTCCATGTACCATGCAAATTAATTCTACGATTTCATTTTTAATCTTAAGAAAACCTTTACAATTGTGTCTACATCGTCGTTAGCTGTCTTGTGAGGTAAACGCCTCATCCAACCCGGGACATTTACCCAAAGTTAAGGAATACGAGGAAGCTTTTAACCCAGAAACAACAAACCATCGATGCACAAAATTGGATGTAATTTTGTGCCGTGTACGCTCCTCATAATATAAAATGGTATGTTAATTTTTTATTGCCTTACAACCTTTTCAACCAGCACTTGCCCTGGGGCTTCTTTTATCCATAATTGCTTATCGTGCGGCGCAAATTGAAGATGATGTCAACGCCGATAGAGCTTGCATCAATCCACTCTTATCGGAGCGATAACAGCCAAGCTCATCATGTTTGTCTCTTCGGAAAAGCTGAGACATATACGGGGGTCTCTTCGCGTCATCCCTTCCCCTGTAGAGATTCACTGTTGGATTACCATAACACGGATACTGACGACGTTTGGGGGAAAGATAGCCCCAGCCCCGCGGGGTGAACTCACGCGTGAACTTAACACCAATTACGGTCTGGCTGCATTAAGGGGCCTCGTCATTATTTTGCTTTTAGCGCGCCGGGGTCTGCCGCGGCAGCTGGGCGCTGGTGTGAAATCTCAACCTCTTTAGGTAATGGACCTGCGTAAGGTCTCGATCAAATCTGTCTCGGTTTGAAGGCTGAATGGTTGACATTTCTCGGTCGATGCATTCAGTCAGTCATTAAAGCATAGGCCCTATATAGAATACGATGGATGTTCCTTCTGATATATATAAATGACAAATGGTTTCTCAATTTCATTATACCCGCTTCTGCCGACTGCACGTCAGTGATTTCTCCCTTTTCCCCTTTTTTTTTTACCTTTTAAACTTTTGGACGCAAGAAACGATTTCAATACAGTGGCAGTGCCAACAATGTGCACCGGGTCCCATTCTGACTGCAGTGCACCAAAACCAGCGCCACCATCGTTCAATAAACATCACATGGTATTCTAATGACTAAGGAGCAATGCAATTTAATTTCTACAGGATGGCCTACCGATTGAAATTCTAACTATTAGACGACTGTTGCGTGTATCAAATGCATCTGATAGTCAGATGGCCGAGAAGCATTTTCATATCATGGCGAGGGAAAAATATATAAAGAACATGAAATTGCATCTACTGAATGACGCACAAAGGACTGTAATCTTGAGATGAAAAGGTCTCCGACAAAAGGGTTGACATTCAAAGGATTATTTCAAATCAAATTTGAATTGTATACGACGGCCTTCAAGGCACTTGTGAGAAAAACAACCTGGCCTTGCGCTGCAAATGTCGACGGGAATTTTAGATTGCTTTCTGTACGTCAACCCATAGGCCATAAGGCATTCAAACTGAGGGGAAAAAAAGAGAGAACGGCATGGCTAACGTGGAAATTCACATGAAATTGTATTAATGCACTCGAGCTCCGCTTTAAGAACTGGATACAAAATTTCAATTGAAAAGATTTCATAGGGCAGAAAAATCAAGATGATTCAATTAATCGCAATTATTAAGTAATGTCTTTCATTACGCGTAAATAGACTTGTTTCAATGCTTTCCATCGCTCATTCCACAACACTGGTTGTACATGTATTTAACTTCCAACGTCAAGCAGTGCGATATACACCGAGATCGATCAATTAAAAAATTACAAACAAGGGTGCCAAGTTGAAATTTCTGGGATAAGCTGCTCGAAATGAGTTCAAATAAGATCAATCTTCAGTGCTCTTTGACAGTTTGGTATCTGCGTTTTCTCCAAAACTATTAGGATGCGAGTTGCCGCCAATGGCAGGTTTCTACACCACATTTACCCGACGCAGTTTCTTGACTCGCTTGAGTGGCAAGGAAGTCGGTCCAACTGCGGGCCATCCACCTTTCAGGTACGCCGAATTTTGTCAATAAAACTTTTAGAAAGAGACGATTGATTTGTAAAAAGATATTTGACAGGGGTTTGAGTAAAATAATGTAATGTTTGAGTATAGTATTTATGAATATACAGTATTGGCGACACTTGAACAACTGTTTTTTGAAAGGAGGTAAAGACAGAGGGTTTGAGTAACGTATTCCGTAATACGTTTCCTGTGTGTTGAAAGCCGAGTTTTGTTAAATTATGAGTGAAACCAAGTTTATATACAGCTTGGGCGAGAAACAAGTTGTTCTGAAAGAGAGACAAAGACTGAAAGTTTGAGTAATTTTTACTTTCAATTTCTTTTTGACAGGTAACAGTGACTGCCGACACTGACTGCCGTTACATACAATGGCAGAAGAAAGCTCTGGACAAGTTCCTTCGTAAGGAAGGCTTCATTAGGGCGGTCTTTGAGACCACCGTGGGCAAAGACATCACCACAAAACTCTACTCCATCAACGAAGAGACGGTGGGCCCTTCCGCTCCAAAAATCACCCAGAGGGTCAACAAGAGTGTCGCCCCTGCTCCGGCGCAGCGCGTCAGCGTGCCTGAGATTGCCGAGATCTGCCTGCCGGACGAACAGGAGGAAGACCGGGGGCTGCTCTCTCATAAATGGGAACGGGCGCTCTCGATTGATGAGGAGTCGGCTGCGGGCATGGTTGTGGGTGGTGGGGGTGCAACCCAGCAGAATTTAGGCGGGATGAGCCAACTGGTCGTGCCTAGATCTGGCAGCGTGTCCAGCCTGCATTCGGTCCGCTCCATGGTGGACATCCGGGCCAGCATTGCGTCCGGGAGGGGAGCCGACGTCGCCGGCCGGTCCAGCCTGACCCCCGGAGCGGCGGGGGACAGGTCGTCCAGGGTCAGCAGTATGACGTCACACACTAGCGGTACACCAAGCAGTTTGAGAAGGGTTCATTAGTGCATGGTATCATCTGCGCATGCGCAAAACATCGTCCACTCACATCTCGCCATGGTAAATCATCTGCATAATCATCGCCATCTTTCACCAATCAGGTCGTTGTCTTTTTGTGAACGTGTTTTCCGTTTCATGTTTCTGATCGTGTTTTTTTTTAATTGTCATATCTAAGGCAACAAAAAGCACATCTCATAAGAGATTCCACAAGGAACAAACTAACCAACAAGCATGTTTACATTTCTGTTGCATCTTATTTCTTGTCAGTTCTGTTTTGTACACAGCTGACATCAGGAGCGTCGCTAGACCACTCACAGTGGGGGTGACAATACATTTGCCAAAAGATGCATGATCCATGCCTCCCGTAAATTGAAAAGCGGTGGATAGTGGAGTGGAGGGGGGGGGGGGGGCTGGACACCATCTTCTTGTAGGGTGCGCTGTTCTAACTTGCGGCACTATCGGACAATAGGTGGCGCTCTTCGTGCCGGCAATTTTGCCGACGGACACACGATTCAAGTGCCGACAGGACAATTTTTGGCCGACAAAAAAAGATTAATGGGGGTGTCACCTCCCCCCATCTTCCCGTCTAGCCACGCCCTTGACTAGCATTATTTATGACATCATTTGGACACGTGTCTGATTCAGTATTTACAAATAATGTGCCAGCTTGAGCTAATTTCAATCCACTCTCCATTTCGACTTTTGCACAACCTGACAATTTGAATAAGCAAAAGTTACATATTGTATTGCGACTAATAACGGAATTAAGAAGGCAATTTGCCGAATTTCATTTTCCTTTTTCCGTTTGCACAAATAAATTATTGTCCCTTGTCAGAACCTTTGAATATCTGATATTTCAGCGTACATTTTGCACCGCATTTCATCAGCACTTTAAGAATTCACTTCAGTGTTATATACCTACGATCAGAGTTAATGTGTTTTTGTCTGAGTGAATTCGATTATCATTGTTGCAAATCTTTGTTATTCTTACATAACTGATTGCAGGCATCGTGTTTGACAGGCATCCGATTATAATTAAATTCAAATTTAGACTAAAATGGAAAAAAAAAATATGGAAACAAAGAGAATTCAAAAGTGGGAAACTTCACTTAAAGACAGACTGTTTCCTCCAAGTCAACACTGAACTCTTTTGCCGTTTCTTGAGTCATCTATAAGAATGTATACAGCAGTGAATATGGAGCTTAAGCCCTACCCTCCAGGGTATTTTGGCTAGAACCCTTCCAAACGCAGCAACATGCAACACTGTCTTGTCTAAATGACAAACCTGTCCAGTGTAGTTTGATCATCAGGCCATAAGTCTCAAGACCAAACTGCCTCAGAGTCTGTGGTCACCTACTGCAGCAGGACACAACTGTGACATTGTTCATCAATGGGCACAGAAAAGATTCGCTTGACAAAAACAAGTTACCAACCAAAATGTTAACGTACTTATAAATTAACTTTAAGTAGTATTATCTGCTCAAAGTTGTGAATTAGAAAGACTCAGAAAGATTTGAGAACAAATCCCTGTGCATCTTCTTGTTTCAACAGAACCAATGCTCGTGGAGACCGGATCCAAGAGAAGTAGCTTCCAGTCCGACCACGGCCCCTTCCCTGAGCCGGACCGAGGGGAAACGCACTACGTCTCATCCGTTTAAGAACAACAAAAATATGATGGATCTTGGCTGGGAAGAGAGGCAAACACCACCCAAAGACCAGAAACAATACAACCCTTGACAAAATCAGGTTTGGGCCAATACACTTTGCATTCTCACAACAAAAGTAACCAGATGCTCAACCAGCCATGGTAAAGTCGCAGTCGCACAATCTAAAACTTGAAACTACTTTACAAGGAAAAAAGACATTTACATCCAATGTCTCCTAATTTGTGATGAGTGCTAACTCATTCAATCTATTTTACCACTCTAACGAAAAAGTGGCTTGATATTCAGCCAAGGGTCGCGATTTATTGTCAACATGGTTTTTTTTTGGGGGGGGGGGGGGGGAGGAGGGGGCAGGCTTGAAAGTTCGAGGGGGGGGGGGCGCACATCTTACTGTACAGGGTGATGTTCAAAGATATATGTATTTACACGCTGAGGGCGCTCTTTCAATTTCACAGGCAGGCTTTTTTGTGCACTTGTACTCGGCCAGCACATAATGCGAGGCACATTGTGAAGTGGCATTGAATGATGATATTTTAATGTTGTGGATAATGCAGCTATGTTTAGCTTTTATGTGTTTGAACTGTAAAACTGCAATGAAGTGACTGCTTTGTGTTTTTATAAAAAAAAAAACTAGATACTGTTATTTTCTCAAGTATGCACTACTCTAACTTTCGGTATCATCACATTCACTTAAAAAAATGAGGTTTGTTGGCAAAAAATGGATTGTTTCTATTGATTTTTTTTACTCTTTCCTGTGATTATTATGTTGAATGAACATGTATGACTGAGCACACATGTATTTCATTATTTTTAATGTTACAAGAAAAGTACATTTGCCTTGTCTATGTTTGACATGGATTTTTTGTTTACAAGAATAATATTAATTTCTAAAAGCTCATTCAAAATGGTGAAGATAATGAATAAACTTTCAAGAATTTGTTTCTTGAAAATTTAATATACTTGATTTTGCAGACAATTTTTCAAACAATTGTGTTCATCTTCAAGACAATAATTCATGTGTAATACTGATGTAATCAGCACCATTTGCTTGCAGAAATATATCACGTACTGATCACTTAATTCAACAGCTTTTAACTATAGTAACCAGCCAACATAGATTGTTAAACACAACTTTGGGCAGTGGCATATTTAGTGGGGAGGGGGATGGGGGTGGAGGGAAGGGGCCCATTCCCCTCCCCCTCCCGGTGGCATTTTTATGCGATTCGGGCATCGATACAGTTGAGTCTTCATTTTGACCCCCGGGCCCTCCCCCTCCCCCTCCCCCTCCCCAGCCTCCACACCCCCAGCATAAAAAGCTGGATATGCTACTGACTTTGGGGACAACTAGCTCATAATGAAGTCAACTTACCTTAAAGTTATAGTCTGCAAGTGTTGCTTGCCATGCTCCAAGGAGTATCCATGATGATGAATTGCCATTATATCCTGAAGATGGATAATGCAGGTAACACCCAGTTATCTGGTTTAAACATGTAAGAGCAGAGAATACATCATTCACATAAAATATAATAAAAAATAAATTAAAATATCCCACACAAGGGGAAAATATATGCCCATGTCTACCATGTAAAAACATGGTTTAAAAAAAATCCGAGACACTCGGAACCTGTTTTCTGATTTGGCGATATAAAAAAATGTTAGGGTGCTACTTCGCACACTGATTACAGACTAAGCGTAGGCCTAGCCCAGTTTCCGGACGTGATGTCATTGTCGAGACTTTCTGCCTTTCTAAGCCCTTTCTAGTTCGAAATTCAGGAGGGAATTTCTTCGAAATAGTTTCCCCCAGTATTCCCAGGCCTGGACAACATTTCAGCATGCTACCAACAACAGAGCAGACTTGGTAGACGAATCATGGACTAATTTTAAATAATAAACCATAGAATTAAACCTACCAGTAGGACAAAAGGACCACAAAGTGTACCAGCGAGTTGTCAGGTCCAGCAGTCTCTCACAGTCACGGTGCATAATGCGCCTAAACTTCCTTTCCTTAAGTTATTTCCCGACGATAGTTTGAGTTTCTTCAGCTCAGTCGTGCTCTCATGGTGTCAGTCCGTTGAAAGTCCTCAACAAAACCGTCAACATTGCCCGCCTACATGCTGACTGCACGTGTTTAAGTTTCACAACAAATTTGACGCGACATAAAACTTGAGTTATTTTTAACACCTGGCGCTATGCATAATTATGGCGCCTTTTCTCACTGCGCATGACCAAACATACATCACAAGACTTTTTTCACAAAAGCAGATTCAACAAACGCTTTTCAGAATAAATCTCACATTCCTTTTTGGCTCTTGATTTTAACGCAATTCAAGCTAGTAGATTTTGAAAAAAAAAACATAGCATAAATAAAAAGATGGAAAAAAATCATATAGTCTCGGTCAAATATTTGTGGACCAACTGAGGCGGAGGAAAGTTGCAAGACTTCTTTTCACAGAAAATCCCTCACTTTTTGGGACCAAGTAGGGGGCGTGGCTGGACACAATCTGACACCTGGTGGCGCTGTTTATTACGGACATACCAAAGACGTAAACAAGTCCACGTGTCCCTGGTTTGTGCTTGTGTTTCTATTCAGCCGTAGACTGATACTAGAGCAAGACAGTAGAGATGGTTGCAGTCAGTTTCGGACAAGTGGAAACTAGATGCTCCATTTCCTGTTTTATCTTCTTCTGTTTCTAAATTTGATCATGGAGGGGGTGGGGCAAGTTCTAGGGTATAGGGCCAAATTCATGATTTTACATTATGCATTGGGGAGGTGTTATGCCTCGATCCCTCTTGCCTAGCTGCACGGCCGGGCCCCGCACTCGATCACGTGGGAGGCCGGGGTGGTGGGAGGAGGCCAGCAGGGCTAGGGCAGGGTCACTATGCATGTGCACCATAGCCCCTGCACAAATCACGTGTGCTAGCTACACACACACAAAAGTACAAATAACTTTACAGTGCAAAGGTCATCATCCTGATCATGTCATTCAGATTTAATATGTAATATGTACAATTAATACTCCCGCACTTGCAGTGTGGACTTTGTATCTGTATATGTGCTTTTTATAACAGAGAAAGGAAACTGCATAAGGACACTGCCAGGTATTCATTAACGAAGAACAGTCAACATGGGTAGGCTAGACGGGAAAGTGGCAGTGACCACAGCGGCTGCCCAAGGCATTGGCAGGGCTACAGCTGAGGTAATTAGTTAACCTTCCAAGCTTCATAGTTGCAGTAAAGCTATTTACAGACAAAATATTGGATTTGGTGCAGACGTGCACAGAAGGGTAGTCGGCCGGGAAAGAATTTAAAAATTGTAACACAACTTTTGAATGTGTCTCATTGGCCAAGTTTGTGTATTCTTCAACGTTTGAAACAAATGATAGACCACCGTTTGGGGCATTTATTGTGACCCCCCCCCCCCCGGAAAAAAAGTGGCATGAACTTGCATTCTTTTCCATACCCCATTTGTATTCATCTGAGCTTTTACAGTGAACAGGGTTACAAAAAGGGTCAGTCTTTTAGTACAACAATCACAATTTAATGCTTTGAATCTCATGAATTGACAACGTACTGCTGTTTAGAAATAAGTTTTTGTAAATCTATTTTACCTTTTGCCTTTTGCAGACATTTGCAAGAGAAGGTGCCAGGGTCATCGCGACGGACATCAACGTGGAGAAGTTGAAAGAGCTGGAAGCAATACCAGGTTGGACACATGAAATAAATGAAAGTTTTCAAAAGAGTGTTCGCAAGCCTGTATCACCCGCATGAGAGAGAAACGCACTGCCTAACTGCAGTGGTGGTACCAAAACTGTTTGCACTATAAATTACACCCCAACTTTAGCATTTTCTCAACTACAGTTCAGCCCAACTACAGTTGGGATGATCCAAAGGGTAGTTTGGAGGGTCCTTTAGTTGGGGTGGGCTGACTATAGTTGGGATGGGCTGACTATAGGGTAGTATCGAAAACGAAGACCCCTAAAACGAAGACCGAAGACCCACTCGAAAACAAAGACCCACTCGAAAACGGGGTCTTCGGTCTTCGGTCTTCGGTCTTCGGTCTTCGGTCTTCGGTCTTCGTTTTACTACCTGACTATAGTTGGGGTGACTATAGTTGGGGTGGTTTCGACTATAGTTGGGGAGTACTTCTGCTGAAAGACCATAGAGCATTAACTAAATCATGGCAGAACTGTAAAATCCTAGAGTCGGAGGTTAATTTCATAGTTTCAAGTTTTACGTGTTTTGTTTCTAGGAATTGAGATTCGAAAGCTGGATGTGACGGACAATGAAGCAATCAAGGCCTTGGCTGCCGAGATAGGACACGTCGACATTCTCTTCAACTGTGCAGGGTAATAGTTATTTCTGTAGTCTTGGTACCAGACCCTGCAAGTGTCACTAGAAGGGTGTGTGAGGCTGCCATAAATAGCACCATCTATTGTCGGCTGGTGTCCATTCTTGTTTATCTTGAACAGCGCCCCCTTTTGTCAGATGGCGGCCCCGCCCCCAACCCCCCCCCCTCCTTTTTTTTGTCATGGCGGCCCGATAATTAAGCAAGAAAAATTTGGGGTTACATTCTTACCCTTACCCATTCTTACCCGTTTTTTTTTTTTGCATTTTCATCTCTCTGAATGTAGTTTTGCAAAGGGCCCATTCTTGTTGCTAGGTAACAAGAAGGCATAAACTTTTTCGAAGACTAGGAGTTTCAAATTTTCCAAACACAAACTTGAAATTTTAAATATAAATGATCTTGTTTTGCATTAATTAAATGCCGTCCCAATCTGTTTTTACAATTCTTATTTTTTACAAATTATTTAAGATCCAATTTGAACTTTAAAAAAAATTGTTTTGCACAGCTTTGTCTTCCATGGAACCATTTTGGAGACAACAGAGAAGGATTTTGACTTCTCCATGAACCTGAACATGAAGTCCATGTTCAACATGATCAAGGCGTTCCTGCCCAAGGTTGGTCGAGTTTTAATTTTTGTCCTTGCCGTGGTCATAAAATCTCCAAGACTTGTTCAATGTTAACCAGTTCGCGCCGGGATAATTTTGACATTGACTGGACCCAGGCACAGGATTGTTTTTCACGAATCTCGATGCCAGACGGGTTCAGGCCGTCATCTGCGGGTAGCACACCCTGATATTTCCAGCGTCGCTCGCTGCAAGCAGGTCACAGACAGATATTTCCAGCCTCGCTCGTTGTGTGTTTATCCATCATCCGTTCCGAATACCGCAAAACCTTTATGTGTATACACGTCATCCGACGAGAACTGGTTAAAGATATTCCAACACGGCTGTCAAATTTGCTTGTACTTCTGGCATTGTGTTCTGGCGTTAGTCATGTCACTCACAAACAATGTATGTAACAGGATGTACAGACGGGTATTGGGAGTTGAATCAATTCATTTGATTTTCTCAACTTTGCAGATGATTGAAAAGAAGTCGGGCAGTATTGTCAACATGGCTTCTGTATGCTCCAGTCTTAAAGGTAACAAAAAAAATATCAAGGCTCAGCTGAAATATTCAAAAGAGTTATCATATGTGCTCATTTCAGTTCAATTCGGCAAAAGTCCAACAGACACAACATTCAAAATGAAAACATGGCCCATATTATTTTTAAAAATTTTTAAGCAAGGTTGAAGTGCTGATTTTGAGTTGACTTAGCTACGTTGGCTGCGTATCTAAAAACTAGTCTGGATTTTGTTATTTTCATTTTATATTTTCATAGACTAAGAAATTTGATGCATATAGTTAAAGGTGTCAATATTTTTGCCATGTAGGAAGTGGGAGTCGATGCATCTACGGAACAACCAAAGCAGCTATTATTGGGATGTCGAAATCCGTTGCATGTGACTTCATAAAGGATGGTATTCGCTGTAACTGCATTGCTCCTGGAACTGTGGACACACCATCGTTGCGTGAAAGGATGGGTCAGATGGGGGACCCAGAGAAGGTATCAGCGGTAGCCTGACTCGATCCCACCCAACCCAAGCTGACCCAATGCAGCCCAATTTACCCAACCCAACCCAACCCAACCGAGCCTGACCCTACCCAACCCGCAACTTAATCCAACCCAACCCAATCTGACCTTCCCAATCCTACCCAACCCAACCCAAAACCCAACCCAACCCAACCTGGCCATCTCATGCCAACCCAACCCAACCCAACCCAACCTGACCCTACCCAACCCGCAACCCAACCCAACCCAACCCAACCCAACCCAACCCAACCCAACCCAACCCAACCTGGCCATCTCATGCCAACCCAACCCAACCCAACCTGACCCTACCCAACCCGCAACCCAACCCAACCCAACCCAACCCAACCCAACCCAACTCAGCCCAGCCCAGCCCAACCCCACCCAACCAAATCAAATCCAACCCAACCTCCCCTTGCCAACCCAACCTGACCTTCCCATGCCAAGCCAAGCCAAGCCAACCCAAGCCAACCCAACCCAACCCAAGCTACCCCAACCCAAATGAACCCAACCCAAGCCAGCCCACCCAAACCTAACCCAACCCAAGCCAGCCAAACCCGTCCCAACTCAACCCAACCAAAAGTAATCCAACCAAACCTATTCACAACCGACCTTTACCAACTCAACCTCAAAACTGGGCTCATTTCAATACAGTCCTTTAAATATCACCAATTGTTTTCTTCCTACTTGTTTGACACCAGGGTATGGAATTCTTTATGAGGCGCCAACCTACTGGCCGCCTTGGGACGGCCCAGGAAGTGGCAAACATTGCACTGTTCCTCGCGTCAGATGAGGTAATGAGTGACTGCACTGTTCACTGCATTTATATTATTTCTTAGTGATGAATATGACAGAGTGGCAATATTCAAGGACTTTGAGTGCTATTCTGTGCCCTATTTGCTCATCCTGGGAATACAAATACTACTAATAATAATGACATAATAATAAGGGGTACTTAAATAGCGCTTTTAACTAAGATCAAAGCGCTTTACGTCATTAATACCCCTGATCATTGGCCATTTTAACATACCAAATACCATCTCAGCTCCCTGGGGAGTATATAGCTCCAATGCTGCCATTTCAGCACAAGGCAGCTATCAATCACAATAACCATCTCTGCCCTCACATGTACCCATTTACTCCTGGGTGGAGAGAAGCCATGGAAGCAATGAGTGACAAAGTGCCTTGCCCAAGGGCGCATGTACCATGACCCCTGGCTGGACTCGAACCCACAACCTGCAGAATTACCTGCAGACCACGAATTCAATGCCCCAGACCACTAGGCCTCGGCGCTCGGCGCTCGGCGCTCCACTAGGCTGGCCCTCTGGAACCGACAAATATGTCAGAAAAGACTACACTTATTTATTTGGTAAAAAGATTGTGTTAATGATGCCTTTTCTTTTGTTTTTATTGCAGGCAAGTTTTGTGACAGGCACCGAGTATAAAGTGGACGGCGGATGGAGCATCTGAGTTTTTCCTACCTGATTCGTCTCAGTAGATCTTTTTCATGCTGCCACCATTTCAGTCATGTTCCCTGTATCCAATAACAGTAATGCATAATGTTTGTTTGTGCAAAAAGGAACCAGACTGTTTTTCCTTCCAGCCTCGCATTGGTTCCTTTGATTTGAATGGGGAAAATTCACGAGGGCCGCAACATGATAATGGTCTATGAATGTTGGCCATTAATTGGTATTTCATTAAATTGGGTTTGGTTTATAAGTTGCAGATCTTATATAATCGTGGTACATTTAAATTTTCTAATTGAACTCAGGAATTCAATTTTACTATATTTCTTACTTGTTTTTTTCCTCAGCGCTTACAGTTTAAAAACAAAATCCTCCAAAATAAATTAAATTCTGAAAAAAAAAAAATTATATTTAAAGTTATTATAAACTGCCCAACTTTGGGTTCATGTTATTTTACACTTACTGCATCAAAATTTGTGTTTTAAGAAAATATCATTTTATTACTGATTTATTTGTTTACAATAGGCTTGAAGAGTGCAGTTGAAATAATTTTGAAGATCTCCAAATCTTCTGATCATCAAAATTTGAATCGATTGGTCAATCTGTTTTAAAAGGAGAATTTAAATGAAGGATCACCTCCATTGACTGAAAATGATGACGAATGGGCAAAATTGTTTGTAGATTTCAAACGTACTGGCTTTTCAGTTGGGACAGAAGGGTGGGCGGGGGGTGGGGGGGGATGGGGGGAGGCGATGGTTGAATGAGGGTACACTCACGACATACTTGTTAAAATTCAAATGCTAGAGATTTGGTGAAGAATCGTTTTTATGAGGGAAGGGCTTTATAAAAAAAAAAGTGCTAATGAAGAATAGCACATTATCTCGGCAAAACGTTCCTGTACATGTGCCGCCATCTTTTCATGTTGCTAGAGCAATGTTCACACATGGTCACTGCCCTTGAGCATTTATCAGTCTAAATGAATAAAAAACAAAAAAACTAGATATGTGTTGACCAATTTATTCCAGGACACGAAACGGGTAGTAAATATACATTGTATGACTTATTAACCAAAAAAAAAAAAAAAATGTAAGAATGCAAATATTTAGCTATAATCATGCTCAATTTCTAATGACTCTTTTGGAATAAAAACCGACCACCATAATACTGTGTCAACACCAAATATTATTTGTACCAAGTTCCCCCAAATTCTTTGAAATAAACTTTAAAATGTTATTAAAAAACCATCAATTTCGGTCCTTTAAATAAGAAAGATGTTACACTTCTTTTGGTGTAAAAATAAACCATAATGAAATATATGTTTAATTTTTTTTTTTTTGGATTATTGGCCCAGGGAACATTTGAGTTATATTTAAAAGGCCAGAACATGAATTTATTTGCACTATAAATGTGAGGTCCTTTTGACAAAAAAATATCGCCCAAATGATTTGGTGATAACAAAAGCATACATAATGATGTATACAATCGCCCGCTTGCATATTGATTAAAAGTACTACATAAAACCCATTATTATTATTATTTTTAAATACTGATCACAAAAGTTCGCATTTACAGTATCACTGTGTGACCTTTCAATTTACTGGAATCTGTACAACGACTTAAATTTGAATACGGTCACCAGATTTCAAAGGAACGAAGAGTGCACCATGGTTGCTGCAGCTTGTCTACCCTGTTTTTCCAGTCGTCAAAACTGAAGCGGCGTCGCCTTGACGCACAACTTGGGATCCTCTAAGTCCGCCTTGCTCTGGACCAATCGCAGCTCGCGCTGCGGGGGTGTGGGCTTGTTGCCTGGACCTGCCAGCTCTGCCAAGGACACAAGTATTATTATTGATTTTAATTAATTTATTGATTTTGTTGATTTTGTAGTTTTTTGTTGATTTTGTAGATTTTGTTGATTTCATTGATTTTATTGATTTTACTGATTTTACTGATTTTATTGATTTTACTGATTTTGTTGATTTTATTGATTTTACTGATTTTATTGATTTTACTGATTTTGTCGATTTTATTGATTTTGTTGATTTTACTGATTTTATTGATTTTACTGATTTTATTGATTTTACTGATTTTATTGATATACTCAGAGATGCCACTTTTCAGGTTTTAACCTGAATCCAGGTTTGTTTTTTCAAAAAATGTGAAAAATTAAAAGTGCTGGATTTGGTCTGAAACATCAAGAAAACACATTTTTGAAAGGGGGTAAGGGTAGCTTCAGGTTTTTTTTAGTAGAGTTTCAGGCTTCTTATTGATATATTGGTGGCATCTCTGTATACTGGATACCTACTTTGTGCGCTTTGAAGGGTTCTCTGCAACACTGCCTGCATGCCTGATACTGTTTTCTCAAGAGCAAGCTGTGAACAAAATCAGAGCAAACAGAAACAAAACTTCAATGGAACAGATGGAAATAAAATGGCGGGTTTCCTACCAACTAGGAAGCTTAAACAACAATATAATGGCCTGCAATTTGGAAGAGGTGTGTTCAGCAGTAAGAGTAATGCCAAAAGCCAATAATATTCACTCTGGCAAAACAGTTTCTTCTTCAACTCACCTGCAAGTTGTCGTGGTGTGTGTGCGACCACACCAGGAGAAGAGCAGAGAAAAGATCGCCAGTCCCAGTGAACTGACAATCGAATGCTGGGTACTCCACACGACAGCCTGTCCTCTTACCATCTGAAAGTGAAAACGGACACTTGATTTTATGAACAGGATAAAGTTTCTATCCCTTTTTTACCGTTGCATTTTCATTTAGGAGTTTCTTAGAAACTCGTTTAGAAATGCACTCTCCTTCAAAAGAACATCAAGTGTAAATTCTTTCTTTGATTATCATGAATGTAGATCTCATAGAGATCCCATTGCCTTTGGTGCTGTTTGGCTAAAAAAAAAAATCTTGCTGTGATTGTCACAGATGCATAATTCACAGGGATGATGACGATGTATACCTGGGCAATTGCAGCATCACGAACATCACAAATCAGGCAATTTTTCGCACTTTAGGAGCTCAGTGAACCTGAAAACGTTTGTTTTCAAATCTTATGCATCCATCATCTAGAAATGGTCAAGAAGATTACAGACTAGGAGTTTTGGACCATTTCTCTGAATCATTAATAGTAAGATATTATGGTCAATTGGCTCTGTCACGGACATTACTTTTAAACTATCTATCAGTAGGCATGTTTAAAAAAAACCAGTTGATTCTGAATTACTTGGCTGCGGCTCGCAATAACACAGGAGCCTATGGAAGCGGCTGAATCCTCTTTCCATAGACTTGTGTGTTATTGCTAGCCGTAGCCATGTCATTCACACACAGCCTTACCTTTGACTGTCGTGCCATAGGATGTCAATGTGCCTGAGCCTGAGGGCACACTACTCAGTATTACAGTCTGGATACCCTTGTCATGTAAGATTTGCATAGCTTCCAATGCACTCTGCTCATTGGTTATCTTCTGACCACTCAGGAGCCTGGAAATAGAAACAATTTACATAAAACATTGAGGAAATATGCATTCCTTTCAGACAAGTTGTTCTACTGGTTATTGTCTGGCCAATCACATACCTTGAAATATAAACTTTTGTGGAAATTGTGAAACCTCCAGGAACAGTCTTCCTATTGGCTATCATCTGGCCAATCAGCGAATCAGAGACAGCCAAGGAGTGCAAAGACCAGAATAGTCAGGTGCCTCAGCCATACTGCCCATTTTCATTGTAAGTCATGCATTGTTTTCTGGGAATCAGACCAACATGGTTACGGAGAAACAAATCTTGATTGCCCTTTTATAGAGGTCTTTTCAAAACCACGACTATGCCCCAGGCTTTGGCTTAATCTGTATTGTTAGAGTAATACTGAAGAGCCCTAAAATTTCCAGAAGCCTAACCAGAAACAAAGCCAAACTTTCAAAAATCCCTTACTCTGCCTCAAACTGGTTTGGCGTGATCATGTTGGCCAACGGCAAAAGGTCGTCCCTGTAGATCGGCATTAGCTCCTCTGGAACGTAGAACTTCCCGTTGTCCCCCATCACGGGATCGCACACGTAGATGATGTCGGGATTTTTCTCGCGTAGTTCCTTCACCACCTCGATGACTTCTCGGAGGAAAGACTTGGACCCTACATAGCCTGACAGAAGGACAAAATTGAGAAGACTGATTTCAATTTCTACAACCAGTTTTGTGCCGTCGGCCAATTCTACTGTACAGGAGCAAACCCTACATTAAGTGCACAACGGAAACGTTGATGTACTTTCTCTTTGGCAAAGTTTGTACAATTGAATTTCGTGGAACTGCTTAGCACACAAATTTGCTGAGATCCAATGGGTTACCAACCAAACAGGCATATATCATGTACACCACTTGTGACTGGTTCCCGGCTGACTTTTCTTTGCAGTAAAATTGGCGATCGTGTAGTGTAGGGCCCCTCTTTCATTTGGATCAACTTAGAGTCAAGGATTTTTTTATCATTCAAAAATGACCTTTTAACCTGATGCAGACTTCTCTCAATTCTAATGATGCCTGTTTTTGCAGTTTTGAACAGTTTCTTGGGGTAGAAATTGTGATTGTCGTATACCGTTTACAGTTGTTGCTGTGCGATTCAGTGCGGTATTCAGCGCCTTCACGGTACATTGTGGTGACCCCTGTCTCTATTTTCGCATTGCGTTTTGTCGTCAATGTCATTTTACCCCAAAAATTCCCTCAAAAGATCAAAACACTGCCCTCTATCTATGACATGCCTGTTTGTTCTTAAAGGGAATATACATCATTTGCTTTTGCTGTAATTTTCAGAAATGGATGGAATTGGGGGGTTGGAAATATATAGCAAATATAGTTACACTGACTTTTTTGAGGTTTTGGGTTCGAAAATGCTATAAAAACCAAGAAAAACGATCATTTTCCTGTAGTCTGGTTCCCTGACTCAATATAAGAAGAAACAGAGCAGTTTACATACATTGGGGAATTGTAAGGTCAGGGAACCAGTCTAGGTGGCTCGTACCCGTTCATAGGTTTGTAATCGATTGCAAACAAGTGCGATGGTCAATTGGGGCCAGTATTTGAAAAAAAGCCAGTTGTTTCCAACGCTGATCGGCCGATCAGCGTTGGAAATTGATACAAAAATACCACTTTTCTTTAAAATGACAGTATACCAGGTGCCATGATTTTACAGGATGCTTTACACTGTCATTCACTAACAGTCCAGCAAGGTAATTCAAAATGATTTGGTAGTTTTATTTGTTGATGTTTGCAAATGTTGTATTTTCCTTTAATGTCACCAACTAGTTTTGGTCAGTCAACAAAATTACAAGTGGATTTTGTTCTCTTCTAGGGAACGGGGCCCTACACTTCATGATCGCTGTAAAATTTGCCAACCAATATTTCCCTGCTTCACACACTGAGTGTGTAGCAGATCTCATTGTAAACTGTAAGTACCTGTGAGTAGATGTGAGTAATGGTTGATGTCGTTGGCCTTCAGTCCGTCGGACAAACTCCGAAGCTCATTCGCATTCAACACCTGGCCCTGGAAAACCTTGTACCCAGTATGACTGCACAACTGGACAGAGTTAATGGTGTCAACCTCGTATCCATGCACCTGGGGTAAAGAAAGTAACATAGATTTGAGATGTGAAATTTAAACACCGATAAAAGTAGCTCCACAAAAATGCACGTATACGCATTTTTTTCCCCGTTAAGCCAGCACATTGTAAAGCGCCCTCATACGCACATATACAAGTAGGCCTACACCACATAAGATATTAAATTGTCTTTCCAATCTGAGCTAACAAATGATGGCTTAGTGGATAGCGTGCTAGACTAGGAAACGCGAGGATGCATCGGTTTCGATTCTCCGTCTGTGCTTTAATTTTCACACACAAAATTTCACCCCAAAAAGTTAGAGTGAATCCTACATTTAATTGCAGAATATTTGATCTTCTTTTTCTGATTCGTGACGTTGGAGAAAATTTTTTTAAATGGAAATATTAAAAGCCTGAAATTGCATTAAGTCCGATTCCCATCTCGCGAATATGAAGTCACGACGACAATGAAAGCATGGAACCAGACGAAGTGTCATGTCCACATATTCATTGCCATGCCAGTAACTAAAACTAGCTAAAAAATCAGGGACCAGTTCACGGTCCAATACACTGCCTTCTATAAATCTGACAATGTCTGAAATGTTTCTTTACCAAAACATGCATTTCAATTTTCATTTGTTCAACATCTTTGCAAAATGATTCATTGACTGACATGCCAACCATCAATTGAGGATACGTACATGTATGGGAAAAAAGTCATGTGAGAATACTACATTCTTTCCCCATCCTGTCCCACCCACAAACCCCCGCCCTCCGTCCCCCTTCTTCTCTCTCTCTCCTCCCCCCCCCCCCCCCCCCCCCCCCCCCCCCCCCCCCCCTAAAAAAAGCCGGCTGCGTGATCGATCATGCATGCAATTTTGTCGATACCTGCATTGGGAAGGTTGCAGACTTATTTCCAACGTATCCGGACACCACATGACTCTGGATCGAAAGAACTCTGCGCTCTGGTTGTACATTCGCCATAATTTCGAACTTTTCAGTTAATAGTGGTGGAAAGCATTCAGATAAACACTGATAAAGAAAAATCCCTGGGGTTAAAAAAGACACACATGACACACGATACGTAACCCACGTTTTAATGTAGAAGGGCGCCACCACCGATCGCCGGTTTCTCGTGAACGGGGTGGGCGGGGCTGCTGGTCGGCATGTAGCTGGGGGTTGGCTGAGGGCGCTTTCTTCTGCATAGTCTATCAGTTTCATTATTTTCAGATCATATGGGGGGGGGGGGGGGGGGGAGTTGTCCCTATGCCAGTATGCCACTGCCTGTGGGAAAACTCGGAGTTTATATTCAATACTTATCAACAGACCCAACATTTTATTTCATAAGCCATACTAAAATCTCTTCTTCTTTTTTTAAATCAACTCATCATCTTTTGTCTCTATTCAACAGTTTGCATCTAATCTTTATAATAAATTTCACATTGACAATTTCTATTTAAGTTTCAGGTTTACTGTAAATTACATCAACACACCAATGACTGACGCAATGACAAAGCATTTAAAATGTATTTACACATATGATACATTTAATTCCAAATTAACACTACTTTCTGGTGCAACCTCTATGTACATGATCATGTGAAGAAATCAAAATTCCAAATATGAAACAAAGGCATTAACGGCTTGAGCAGAGGCTACAACAATACAAAACCCTTGCACACTTTTTTTTTCATTAAAAATGACTTTATGTAAAATGACTTTTACATGTTCATTATTTCATCTTGGCTAAAATGAATGTGACAACATGCACCCAAAGCATCATTTGATCTTTTGCAAAGATCACTCTGAAATATTTCAATTAAATTAACAAACAAATTGCAACGAAAAGGAACTTTTATGATTTTTGGCCCATTCTTTCCCAATACTTTTGATTTCAACAATCAATAGATTAATTTTAAAAAAAATGTAATTTTTTGCACTAAATTGGAAGTGTTTTGAACTTTATAAGCACTGATGTCTGAAAGATTTGAACCCACATCTTGACACTAAAAGCATGCAAAGAAATGTATCAAAGAAACAAATAACCTTTTAATGTTAAATTTTAATACATATTATACATTTGGTGAACGTGGCACTCATTTTAAGGAACAGCAGTTTGACGTTTAGCTTGCTAGACAGGGTCAGTTTTTTTGCACACCTCTACTCGCCAACTCTAGGGAGTGTGGCCTAGTAGTTAGGGAATCGTGATTCATGATCAGAGGGTCAGGGGTTCAAATCCAGTTGCAGGCCATCTGTTGTGTCCTTGGGCAAGCCACTTCACCCCCACTTGCCTCTCTCCACCCAGGAGTATATATGGGTACTGGCATTAGCTGGGGAGTAATCTGCGATGGACTAGCATCCCATCCAGGGGGAATATAAATATTCTCAGTCGTTTCGTGCTACTGAAACTGGAGATAAACGCCGGCCTGATGGGCCACATTGGCTCGTGACGGACTATACAGGTTCAGCTTTTTTGCACACCTCTACTCTCCAACTCTGGGGAGTGTGGCCTTGTGGTTAGGGAATCATGATTCATGATCAGATGAAATCTGGGTTGGAGTTTAGCTTTAAACACAAACTTGAGCTAGAAACCAATTAAAAAATGGTTAGGGAGTGTCATGATAATTAATTCATACAGATAAAAAAAATTAAAGGCAATGTTAACTCAGGACAATTTTGACAATTTACTTTCTAAATGAGAATTCTGCAAAAAAAATGCTTACCCTAGAGCCAACAAACCAGAGTCTGAAGCAAAGGATGCTTAAAGGTAGAGAAGATCGTTTGTCACTTGTGCATCTAAAGACGGTTGCTAAACAACTAACCTGATAAGTTTTAGCTCATATGCTGCATATTCCGAGAAAACAATATTGTAGGATCTCAATTTCAATTCAAAAGTTGACGAGTCATATTTTGAATTGCACCCGAAATCAGCGTCTGGAACATGTTCTCATTCAGCCGATTGCAGCTACGTGATGTCATGCACTGAACCGACAAACAATAGCAATCAGCTTGCATGCGTTATGTCAACGCTTGCGCACACCCATTAGCTGATTCGCCCAGTTACAAACAAACTACTAATGGAAATTTCCAAAAATGGGTCACTTGACACATCTTTGGAAAGGACCTTCTTTTACTTTTTTTCTTCAAAATGACAGCATGCAAGAAGGAATAATTGCACAGGGATAGTGCCATTACTATCTTGAAACCATGTAAGTTTTTAACAAAAATTTAATCGGTTAATATCTTTAAACCATGTAAGTTTTTAACAATAATTTGGAAGTTTTTAACAATAATTTGGTCGGTTACTTTTTGGATGGCTGCAAATGATCTACTCTACCTTTAAAAAAATATAACAAAGAGGCTATATCATAACCTTTGAAGTAAAACTTGTTGTTTTTGATTTTGAATCCTCATTTCTTGTCCCCATCTGGGTCGGTACGTTTGGAGTCAACAGACTTCTTCCAGACACGAGCGTGATCATTGAAGCCAATCTTGGACTTGTTGTAGGAGTTGGGGCCTGCTGACGTTGGGGTTTCCCTAAAAAAAATGGAAAGATGTTGGACGAAAATGTGATGACTGATGGTACAACGCTATTTTCTTCTTGTTCTTTGTGGGGAAGGAAGCTATAGTGGAATTTATTGTTATTGTTTTGGATTATATTTGCCATAAGCTTTTTTGCAAATTTCAACGTACGTGCGCACATCATGATTCAAGACTTAATTTCGAGAGATAAACAGTTTGCCACACGAGTGCAATATCATAGCGGGGTACCAACAAAATCAAAGAAAATTTTTGTTTTAAAGTATGCAATGAAATCCTCCCGAGACTATTGATGCCGAATACGCAAACCATTCCCCTTAGAAAATGTCAGTCTTTCTGTTTCAGTGTTGTAGCGTTACTCAAAATGAAATGATGTCTCACCTGCCGACGTTCTTCATTCGCATTTTGGCCTCTGGTGGCATCTCCTCTTCCTCATCCTGACGAGAAAAAAGTGCAAATTTACAACTTTGTAAACAGGATCTCCATCAAAACTGTAAACTGAAGCGGTGGTAGAATCAAAGTCTTGAACCTGAAGATTGCTCATATTTTAATAACACAGGTTTAAATCCTTTCATGATCCATACTAGAGCATGTTAACCTATTTACTTCTCCACTTGACAACAACCTCTGCTGTGAATCGATGTCAAACTGTATCACTGCCCAAGTTCCCTAGGATTATTATGAAATTATTATGAAATACTCTACTTGACTTTAAGTGAATAATAGTCTAAAGCATCCTGTGAAATCATGGTACCTGGTGTGATGTCATTTTGAAGAAAAGTGGAATTTTTGTATAAATTTCCAACGATGGTTGGCCGACCATTGTTGGAAAAAAACTGATGTTGTTCACATAATGCCCCAAATTTACCAAATAGTCAACATTTTGTTTGCAACTGGTTACACATCCGTGAATGGGTACAAGCCAGCTAGTCTGGTTCCCTGACCTCACAATTCCCCGATGTCTATAATTTGTTCTTTTTTTCAATTCCCCTATGTCTATAATTGTTCTGTTTTGTCTGAAGTAGGGTCAGGCAACCAGACTACAAGACCTGCATTTTTTTTCTTGGTTTTTCCAGCATCTATGAACACAAAACGGTAAACAGGTCTGTGTAACAATATTCTCTGTAAAATATTAACCCCCAAATCCATCCATTTCTGAAAATTACAGCAAAAGGATATGTTGTACATATATTACCTGTTGAACAACATATGAGTTGCATATTATCTTTAAACAACATATGACTTCAATGGATACTCACGTCACTATCCTCTGCAAAGGCTTTGGCCACTGCCCTGCTGGTAGGCGCTTTCAGTTCAGGCTCCTTGGGTTTCTATTTCAGAGAGAACAATTGTTATCAATGTGAGGCGTTCTGGCAAAAAGAGTCGGAACTGGGCACAGACCGTAGTGGAGAAAACTGCTAAAGACTGAGTGGGGAGGATTTTTTTCAGAGGTATTGATATTTGTAATCTTTGAAATGTCTACTACACATGTTAAAGATATAGTATAAAATATGTGGAATAAAAGTATTTTTAAGAAAAAACAATTAGCATCTTTTATTTTCACAAATACAAAACTTGAAACTTTAATGGCGTTTTTTTCTCAGTATTTCACTTTTTGGACGTCGATAAATGTGAACTTTTTAACAGCCATAACTTGTCAATGGAATGTCTGATTGAAGTGCAACAAACAGTATTGTAAGGAGAATTATATTCTCTTTCCTAATACCGGCAAACCCTCATTTTGATCGCTGCCCAGTTGTCTAATTATTTGTCTCATGGCCGAGGAAAAGTGACTTTACTTTGAAGTTGTTGATAGAAGAGACTTATCTTACAATGGCAAAGAATCACAAAATAAAACAGCACAGATATGGTGCGAAGAAGTGTGAATAAGTGTAGTATGGTAGTATGAAATACAAAATTCAAGTACTGACCTGCATGAGTTTTAATGAAACTGATTTGAGAGGTTGTGCTGCTCCCACTTTCATTGTGATCCCACCTGACTTTGCATTCCTATCTTGCTCCCTCGTCTCACCGCCTCCTTTCGTCCTCACTCCGAAACTCATCGTGAAAGGTTTCGCCTTCTTCTGCCCTCCGTCATCCGGGCTAGAGGGTGCTTTCCGCTTCTCTCCGGACAGCAAAGAAGGGGGTACATTGTGACTTATGTCAGGTCGGGCGGCGGGCTGGTGATGAGGGTCAGCTGTTTTCTTAGAGTTCGCAATCTCCGCGACCCCTGAAGTTGAAACACAGTACTGGCATACTTGAGATAAGGTGCTCTAAACAATGACTTATTTAGTAACAAATGGCTACGCACCTGTTGGCTCCGCCCACCTGTTCTAAATATAGACTAGACGACCTGACCTGACCCTGAATATGCAAATGAGGTCAGGCTGTTTCATCAGGTCCCTTGTTGAAGATTTCGCTTGATTCTTTCATCGGCCATCATCACAAGTGACCGATGCTCACCTGCAATGCAAGAATGGTTACAACAAGGGTGGATACCACAGCACACATTGATGTTCGTCACAGATGCCTTAACTGTACAAATCATTATCATTTATATATTTACCAACAAATGGAATATTTAACATTTTGTAATGAAGACCGTCATGACAAAATGCACCATCTGAAACAAAATTATCCATTCAGACCAGAAGATGGGACGATATAGCTAGCTAGGTGTGGACGGAATTACCGTTTAAAATTTTTAAAAAAAGGTGTCATTATATTGAGAAAAGTCTACTCTAGGTTGAAAAGGTCATTTTTGAGAAAACACCCTCAACTCTAATTTAATCGAAACTAAACAGGGGCCCTACACTACATGATCGCCATGTGCTTGCCTTAATTTATTTGAAAAAAAATCTTAACTTTATCATGTGCTAGCCTAAGAACTTAAGGGACGAAAGTTTGGCAAAAATTTAATTGTTGCCTGTTTTTTAGCTCAGCAACCAACCTCAACCTCCAAAAATAATCCTTAATACATACACCCAAAACCTTCTCTCTCTTCCCCCACCCCCGGCCCCGCCCATCGACAGGCTCTAATTCCACGGTGATGGTGAACAGCGCCCCCATCTGAATAGGGGAAGAAAACTGTGCGTCGATACTTGCATCGGTAACAGTTGAATCTTAGAAAACACGCATTTTCTCAATGTGCTTGCCATCGCAGTCAACAAAAACAGGGTAAGCATAATAATGGTAATATATTCCATCAAATCTTTCATATTTAGCTCCGTATTTATCGCTCAAAATCGTCATAACAACCTTCGTTATCCGCCGAGGGTTTCAGTCGGTCGTCTGCTTTGGCGGCCATTTTGTTGTCTGGTACCCAGGTATCTGTGTATCAGGTCTCAGTGAAATATTCCAAAAATGCCACCAGACTATTTTCGGGGGAATTCTTTGCCTCCATGGTAGACGTAAACAAATCAGAGGTTTTTTTCGATATTTTTATAATAACTCAAATGATTGTTTGGCATTGAGAATGAAAGATGGGATGGTAATGTTGGTTTTGGTTAGTTAACAATCATGACAATTCGAAGGTTTAGGCCTGGATAATGGAGGGGCCGGCTGACAAAATAAAAATGGTTTCAAAGTTTGGACTTTGGAGTTATATTAGACTTTTGTCTTTCTGTTCATAAATTTAAAATAAATCATGATACTCCGTCGTTTTGACATACAGAGAAGAGCCTACAAACAGTGATGTTGGATTGAGATCTGGAAAATTGTCATATCCATACTAGCCTTAAGTGAAGTTAAGTTCTTCACAGTAATGTTACGTCAAGTTATTAAGTGAACTGTAAACAAAGTGTGGAAAGATGGTTTGGTTGAGGGGTATCCAACTTTTATTTTTATGAAATTCTAAGAATTTCATTTTGCAGTTTTTCTTGCCTTCTTTCTTATTCAGCATACGTGAAATGAACTGAGTGCACAATGGGTCATTCAGGCAACATGTTCAGCTGAGAGTGAGAATATCAAAAGGCAGGGAATAGGGATGACGTAAAACTTCTTCATAATGGACCCTCCAGGAGCCGTCGAAGGGAGGCGTTTGCAGAAGCCCCCTAGGCCTTCTACTGATCATGAATCCTTGTACAGACCAAAGGATAGTGTGAGGTATGTAAATTCTAAAAGAATATTGTCTTATGAAGTCAATTCTCAAAAAGATGCTCTTTCTAAAATCATTTGTTTGTTTTAGTTCCTTAAAAAGTCCATGATTTCGGATACTCCAGATCATAAGACAACAGCTATTAATCCGTTTTAATGATTTGTGGATGTCTTTTTTTCCCCATTCAGCCATGAGAATTTACAGCTCCGTGCCATCTTTGATCGACTGGGTGAAATTTCCCTCGACCCCCGTCCTGACGCATCCGTGAATCCCCACCATTCCTCTTCGCTTACTGCCAAACTCAACACTCGTTGCTCATGTGGCAATGTCACCGAATTATCCCCATCAAGGGGCCACCGCTACAGAAATGGTACTGGCCCTGCAACTAGCACAAAATCCAGTGATTCCGATTCGGATAGCGATGATGAGGCCGTCTCATTGGTCGATGTGATCGGGATGCTGGTTGCCCAGGAGAGGAAAGGGTCGGCACGGCAACATGGAGCAATCAAGAACTTGGCAGCTTGTTGCCATGGTGATGCAATCTCAGAGACTCATCTTCACCAGGTGAGGCTTTTATCCGTTCTCAGAAACAAATGTAAGTCGATTAAGCAAATACTTTTTTTCTCTTTTACATTCAAAGTCAACTTCACAACTGTACTAATTGTGCAGAACTGAATCTATCAGAGAGACACAATGTAGAAATTGTCAATTTTGAGTTTTGTTTGAGAAAGCTTGACTAAGTAATTATTCTGAAACTTCAATTAAGATGATCATTCAGCAACATTTTCTACTTATTCTTTAAGCTTACTTTAACTTTCGCTTTTGTGGATGTGAATTTGTTTGCGATATTTTGAATAATTACAGGCAAATTCTTAATTTTTTAAAAGTTGGTTCGCCTGACCAGTACTAGTACCAACCAGCAAGTCAAGCAGGCAGCATTCCTCGCACTGAGGCAGGCAGCCACTGACGAACAAAATGCCAAGGCACTGCTGCAGATGAACATTGTCCCTCAGCTCCTCAGCCTCCTGCAGGATAAAATGGAAGCTGCCAGTCACTCAACTGCTGCTGCAGTTTTGGAGAAGGTAAGGACCATTCTATTTCTTCAAATCAGGGGTTTGGGGAGTCTTTTAACTCAGGAAAGATTTCAAACAATTTGATAAGTTTCTATCCTTTTTTTTAATTGTCACTTTGAGTAGCAAAGATTGAATGTGATTACATTTAAAACAGTTTCAGATTTGAAAGACTTTAAGATATTCAGTTTACGACAGAAGTTAAATTACAGCAAAGTTGGGTTAATCTGGAATATTTGTTATAAATTACTTCTTTCAATAAAAAGCTGAAAACCAACAAAAATACCAATTTGATGCACAATTAATGCTCAACCTCAGGTTTCAGTCAAATTTGCTATTTTTAATCTCTCTTGAAACTTTGAACTTTTTTGATTCGTCATTTTCGACCAATAAGAATGACTGTACGATTCAAGCTATATACAGCAGCTCATTTAATATTCAACAGATTGTGATGCACAGAAAGCTGGCTGACCATTGGCTGGAGAGGATGATCACCAGGGGCCTGTCAATCCTGATTGGCTCTTTGTCATCAGCCAATCAGGCGGCTGAGACCAAAACTGCCCTGGGCCGGTTGCTCAGCAACCTGGCTAGATTCTTTGAGATTGCTGTCCTGCTGTTGGACCATTGCATGGAGGATATCATGGAGATGTGGTTGAGGTACCCAGCCATGAAGGTGGGTACAGTGGAACCATGGGCGTCGCGAGGGGGGGGGCAAGGGGGGGCACTTGCCCCCCCCCCCCTTGGAAAAGCCACACAAAAAAAAAAAAAAAAAAGGAAGAAAAAAAAAAAGAAAAGAAAAGAAAAAGAGGCGCGAAGACAAAGTGGTGTATATTTAATGAGTTGGGGGGGGGGGGGGGCAAAATGTCCCTGCCCCCCTCTAAAACTGATAAAACGAGAATGTGTTGAGAAATACAAGCATTTTTTGGCAAAAAAAATGTTTGCCCCCCTCTAGAACAAATCCTGGCGACAACCATGAGTGGAACGTCGCTATACCGATTACCGCTTTGCCGAACATTCGGCCATACTGAACTTTGTCCTGGGCTCCTGATTTTTGTTTATAAAACGTATTAAATATTGTTGTTGAAAAATGTCAACAGAAGAGCTACAAGTGGCTATTATTTCCCCAAGGAATAGAAGGGGAAAGCCACCCATTGCTGTAGGTAGTAAGCTCAAAAACTGTTTAATTACATTATTCGATAGTCGGCATGTTCAAAGTCGTCTTTCAGTAACTACCAAAACGTGTAGGCTGAAGTTCTGAAGTTCCGAAGGGCGTTATTTATTGAAAAGTGAGTACCGGAGCATCGGCAGCTTAAAGTGGCTATACCGAATGATCGTTATTACGAACAATTTCTGTGGACCTGCAGATTTTAGATTGAACAAATCGACTGTTGACACAAGCTGAACCACAGATCTGTTTGCCATCATAGTTAGCTAAACCTGTCACATTAATGAAAGTTAATTACATTTCTCTGTTAATGGTTAATTTTATACAATCATTAAACTGAAATGAAAACCCTAGTTAATGATGTTTGTACGTTTGCTTAAATCATGCTCAGATTTCTCCCGAAAAACACCCCAAATGATCTAAAAGCTTATACTGAAGTCAGCTATTCAAGTTAATGAACATTTTGAACAGTCTTTCTAAAACATGACAACAAAGAATTTATTTTTCACTATTGTTCACATTTAACTCTAGATACAGTTTATCAATAGCACTCCGCACTAATGTTAAAAATAGAAGCAAGTTCCCAAATCTCAGACAAACATGCTGTACGAACTACTCACGTGAAGATTACACACGCTTGCACATCGTTTCTGTGCAAATGTATGTGAGTGCGCGCGTGATTGTTCAAAAGTTTGCGCGCGTACGGCGTGGAGCAAAATTGACGTCAGTAGTGCGGAGTGCTATTGCTGTCATGTTTCTGAGAATATGTATAGAATCAAATCCTTGTATTTGAAGTAATTCAGATTTATAAAATGTACCACATTTTCAGGAAAGTCTGGCGGAGCTATTCAGTCACCTCGTGCAACACACGGACCATACTGTAGCTGGGGTGTTGGAGCACAGAGTCATGGAACATGTAGCTGTAGCGTTGAAAGAAGAAAATTGGTAAATTTTGGAAACAATCGATGTTTATTTTTTATCACCCATGTGTATACATGTACTTTACTGTTTCTATCTACATGTACTAGTAAATGACCAGTTTTTTTTTTTTTTTTTCAAACTTCGGTTGCATTTTCTTCTTTTTTTGAACAACTTTGTTTACAACATATCCCATGCGTGAAACTTTTGACATATACATGTGCCATATCAGGGCCATTCCCTAATCAAAGATTTTTTTTTTTAGGGGGGGGGGGGGGGTTCGTCAAACCCCAAAGTGGACCTTTTTATATGCGGGCGTGGATATTGAAGCCCTTACAGCATTGTGTGAGGGGCCCGCTTTAGGGCCCTGGACAATTTTGGATTCTAGAACCTCTGTGGTGCAATCTGAGGCATTTCCTGGCCCCTTTCACCTAAACTTTTTGAGCAAAAGTTTATCAGCGCAACATTATGAGCACAATAAAACGGGGGTCATCAAAAGTGGAATTTGTGGGCGGATATATTTTTTTTATTTATATTTTTTTGTTATTTCTGAGCAGAATTTGTCACCGAACAGGGAGGTTCATTCAAACCCCCGACCTCCCCCCCCCCCCCCCCAGCATACGGGCCTGCATCTGCAGGGCCCATGTGTGACATGACAAACTTTTAATCATTAAATTCAACTTTCTGTTTTGTTTTAAAGACAAATTAAATTCATACTTCATACTTTCACTGCTCTTTGATTGCAGTGCGGTCCAGATTAAGGCGGCAGATTTTTTCCAAGCGTTGTGCAGTTCTGACTATGGCCTTTCTGCGTTTTTGGATGACGGGAAACTTAAAGGGCTTCTTCAAGTGTTGAGGGCAACGAATTGCAGGTATGAAAATGTCAACAACAACAAAAATTTCTGCAACAAAATTCCATTTGAAGTGTACAAGCTACCTTCACAAAGAATACACGATGTTGTAACTTTGGTAATACAATATTATTACATTACTATTATATTTAAAATTGTGCTCTATCAAGTTAGGTTATTGTATATAGGTGATTATCGACATGCTGCATGATAACAGGAAAATACTTGTCTGTGCAGTGCCTGTCGAAATTCCCTGTCTCTTATGTAGTAGATGACGACATTCAAGCCACCATTCAAGACCAAGAGTGCGTTCATGAGAATTTCAATAGCTGGGTGGTTCTTGTATCCCAAGAGAGTATTAAACAGCGCCCTCAGGCAGTCTGGTATCCAGCACAGGAGCAGAGTCCCCGTAACGATCATTACTGTCTTGATGGACTTGAGTCGGCCTCTCACAAATCGTCCCGGTCCTGCCTCCCCATTGGATGGACGGATGTCGCTCGCGATGCGTCGCGCTTGACGTCGTGCGATCATCAAGATGTGCGCGTACATGACAAACACGGCCACAAGCACGATTAGGTAGATCCCGAAAACCACGTAATTCTCGTAGATGCGTTCTCCCACCACACACCAATACGGAGCCTTGGGAGATATGATGCGCCGGCCGGTTGGCGAAACTCCGAACAACAGTACGCACACCGTGAACGTTATGACCCACGCACCCACCACGGCTACAACCGCCCGACACTTGGTCAGTATTTCCTGATAGCGTAGAGGATGCGTAATTGCGATGTAGCGATCTGCAGTCAAGAATAACACTGCTTCCATACTCATCGCAACCAAGGCTGACTTCAAGATGCCGTAGGCTACGCATGCGACCTCACCCAGTAACCATTTCCCCGTAAGATTCTGAGCAATTTGAGGCGTCCCCCAAAAGAGTCCAAGACACATATCGGAAGTCATCAGAGACGCCATGAATATTTTGGTCATCGGCTGGATGCTGCTGACGCGGCGAAGCGTCAGCAGGCAAAGAGGGTTCAAAATAAACACGAAAATTTCAGTCAGGATCATGAAGACGTTGGCCAACATTACCAATGGAAAATTCTCTTTGTTGTATATAGATATCTCTGTGTCCTTGGGGTCAAAAGTCATATTTACATCTTCATTCAAGGCCATTTTAAAAATAACAGACAACTCCTCAGCTTGAAGAGATGATTTGACACTGTGGTATTTTTTGTTCGTTTGAAAAACTTGTAGGTTTTATTTCCAATTGTTTTGTGCTTGTCCACTTGTTCCGGTTTCTAGAGTTTTGACGAACAATTACACGAGTGAGTGTCTTCCATCAGCAATCTTTTCAGCATTGACGTTCTGAGAAACTGTAGTACGACGTATATCATATGCATTATTTTCTTAGTCGAGGGACCAAAAAAACTTGATGTCTGTTGTAAGTCTAGTTTTTCCACTCCAACCTGTCATAGTATTCACACTACTAGAGGAACTCAGATGGTAGTGATGAAATCTTTGAAGTTTGGAGACTCATGGCAGACTTCATCGTTCATGTACACTTTAGATTGATGATCAGCCTCCCATGCCGCAATGCAGGTCCATGAACCACACAGAATTCCCCTTCAGTTGGCAGAAAAAAATGAACCACACACTTTGCAAAGCATCAGAGCAGCTCAGAACGGAGATGGTTTGAGAAGACTTTTTGCCAACAGCTCGGCAGCCGAAAGGATGAGGATGAAGCTCATTGGTGCATAGCGGTTAAATAATCTCAAGAACAGACGGGAGACATAAAGGCTGTTATATCGCGTTTTGTTGCACAATTCCACAGTTCCTCAGCAACAGACATCATTTACAATGTGATTTTCATGCTATTTGCTGACAATTTTTTTTTTTCCTTGTCTCAAAATTGGCTCCTGCAAAGTACTTGTTACAGTCCATTTCCAGACAGCGTTTGACGGTGTTACAAAAAGCCTCGTAATGACTTGAATTTATCAAAGGCCTGTCTGGTGTACCAATCAATCTTACTTTGAACACATTTGAAATCTGGTAATGGATTGTTAATCATTGATGAGTACAAATTTCCTGTGTGCATAGGATAATGACTTAAAGGGAATATACATCATTTGCTTTTGCTGTAATTTTCAGAAATGGATGGAATTGGGGGGTTGGAAATATAAAGCAAATATAGTTACACTGACTTTTTGGAGGTTTTGGGTTCGAAAATGCTATAAAAACCAAGAAAAACGATCATTTTCCTGTAGTCTGGTTCCCTGACTCCATATAAGAAGAAACAGAGCAGTTTACATACATTGGGGAATTGTAAGGTCAGGGAACCAGTCTAGCTGGCTCGTACCCGTTCATAGGTTTGTAATCGATTGCAAACAAGTACAATGGTCAATTGGGGCCAGTATTTGAAAAAAAGCCAGTTGTTTCCAACGCTGATCGGCCGATCAGCGTTGGAAGCTGATACAAAAATACCACTTTTTTTGAAAATGACAGTATACCAGGTGCCATAATTTTACAGGATGCTTTAGACTGTCATTTACCAACATCCTATTAAGGTATTTCGCAAAAACTTGGTAGTTTTATTTTTCGATGTTTGCAAATGTTGTATATTCCCTTTAAGGTAAACAACGGCTCCTCTCATCATCTGAGCGCAAACATTTGCTTCCTTAATTGCACATGTAATATGCTTGCTACAAAGTAAAGTAAGGATGATTAATCAGTAGTGCATTTCATCTGTAGTGTAAACAGATTGTCTTGTAATTAACTGGCCCCCCCCCCTCCAAATTAACCCCACCCCCCAAAAATAATGCAACTCTGAAACATCCTTTTAACTTGGTGACAGTGGCCTCTTGATGCTAATTATGGATAATAATTGATGGTAATTAGTTAAATGGACCATTTGTAATGTAACTCAGTTACTCAAATTTCTTCCAGATTACTTCTTGAAATCAGGTTAACAGTAAATTTATATACATCAACCAAGTAATGAGTCAGCGTACAAATTTTGGATTGACGCAATATTTTAACACAATTTCAGAATTTGCTATAAGACCAAGTGGTCTTCGGAGACGTAACTATTGTAAACGAACTTTTTGCGAGATGGAAATTGTGTCAAAGGGGATGTAAATTTTTTTTTTTTGGCCCTTCGCCAAAAAAGCTAAGGGGCCAAAAAAAGGAAAGAATGTTGCATCCTGTCGCCATTTTTTTCATCATTTTATCTCTGCAGGCCAGTCATTGCAAAAATGTTGAAAAGACATGAATCTTGGGCTGAGACACATTTCCAATTTTGTTAGAAAATACTTTGAAAATGCACCCGACTCTCCATAGACTTTGTACACAACCAAAGAAGCGGCATCTGAATACTACATTCTTTCAAAAAGAAGAAGAAAACAAGTTCCAGAGTACAGTCACGCTCTGCACATGAAAGTCAATGCCGTAATTGTGCATATTGTTCACTTTTCAGGAGACTTAGGGAGCTATGCATCACAACTTTGACCAGAACATTCCAGCGTTCCTCTCCCAACCAACTGAGAGACGTAACCCTACACACCGAGGCTGCCTTCAGTGGGGATTCTTCAGTAGAACAGGAGGGTGCTGGGAGGAGGCAAGGGAAGGAGGAGCAGGGGCACTTGGCTTCCAGGAGGAAGGATGCGAGCGGAAGGAGCAAGAAGGGAGTAAGGATACTCATCAGTATCCTGGTGGAAACAATTCATAAAGAAGGTAAGATCACGCCAGAACATTCAGATATGGCCAATGTGTCATATGTGCACATTTATAAACATATTATAGGATCATTTGCATTCATTTCAAAAGTAACCTTCCGAATTATTATCGGAAAGCTTACTAGGATTAAGATCTTACTGGTACTAATCGCCCTGTGAAATTCTTCCGTCTGAATTGCTGTCCTCTATGAGAAATCAAAAAATGTAGGTGATTTCCAACGATCAGTCGATTGACCAATTGTTAGGAAATAAAAGAGTGCTGTAGATGAAATTGTGTGTCGTGATCAAAAGGTTGTGCATCGTTACTCGCTTTTTCTCGAAAAGTGTAATAGCCACTAAGCTGAACTTCAACAGGGTAGGTTTTGAAGATCCTTCTTTGGATTTTGAGTGGTGTTAATATTTGAAATGAACAAAATGCATGAAAGCAAATGATGCCTTTAAAAGAAAAACTCTTCATTCTTGTTTAAACTTGAAGTAGACGACCTAAAGTAAAATGTTTCTCTGAACATATTTTTTAAGTCTGCGCAGAAACTCTTGAAGAAAAGGGTGTCCTTCAGTAAAGGCATTCTGGACATCTCTTTTTTATTTTCATTTGACACAGCCAAGATCTCCTTGGACCAAAGCAAGAAAATCAAATCCGTGGGCTTTCGGCCGGGCGTAGATCTCTATAAGACGTTATCAGATGCTGTATCCTGTTTGTGTAACATGGCTACAATGACTGTAGGAAGCCAACGCAACAGGACATCAAGCCATAATGCTAGAGTCTCCAGTGTTGGGTAAGAAAATAATATTCATTTTCTCTGTATATTTAGGGGGGGAAAATTGAGTTTGAAACTGTGATCCCTGGAAGACCAAACTGATCTAAGGTAATATTACTTTTACAGATAGAAGCATTTTACTTAATTAAAAATGTGAACTGTGAACTCTCCTTTGTACTTCATTAAAGTATTGTAGTCACGTCCATCATAAGTGTTCACAAGTCCTTCACAAGTCAGTCACAAGTCAACGCATCTTAGATAATTAAATTCACAAGCAATCCAACCTTTGTTATTTGCGAAGGAGCTTGTGATGGACTTGTGATGGACTCAGCAACACTGTTTCCTAGCCGAGGAAGGGCTTGGCTGCTATTAACAAACCAATCCTAAGAGTTTACTAGTCTAAAAACACATTCTTATTTAGTAAATTTGTACTTTTTTGTGAATTTGTCCTCCAAAGATCAAAGGGCAAGGTACACAAGCTGAACACAGACATCATCCTCTTCATGCTCCACCAAGGAGCTCTGTGTGTCCTGGACCTCCTCAACACCTACACCCTCCACCTGTTCCCATCCACGGGGGTGCATTATTCTCAGCAACAACAGAGGAACGTTGACGTGCTGCACCTGCAAGCCATGATGAAGGTGTGGCAAATGGTATCGCCCCCCGGTCTTGCCAACCCCCTCCCGAAGCCAGAAGAGCTACAATTTGTAAAGCAACTCTTAGAGTGCGTGCATCTGTTCTGCAGATGCTCTGCCGAGTTGTGGAACTGCAAAGTCGAGAAGGATGTCCAATCGCAAATTGAGGAAAATCACAACTGGACCAAAGACCTCGCAGCCAAGGAGGAAAGTCCCATCGGTCACTACCAATATGTCAAGACGGTAGATCAAGCCTTTCCAACTAGCTATAAAATAGAGAATATCACTACGCATCGACAACAGGAGAACGAAATTCGGGAGCAACGGATGAACATGATCCATCAGCGAAGGATGGCTTGGGGAGATAAAAAAGAAAGGAAGGTTTCAGAAGAAGGACTGTCCTCTCATCATCACCAGTCCTCAAATATTCCATCAGGAGACTCTCAAAAATTCACGAACAAGACACGGCCTTCGTCGGCGAAAAAACACAACCTCGAATCAGAAATCAAATTTGACCTGCGTAAGAGCCTTTTCAGGGAGCAAGCGAAGCCAGTTTCTTCCAGCAAACAGAGGGAGGTGCCTAGGATTAAAAAAAACGTGAGGACTGCTGGATACACTGGGAAGGCAACACCAACACTTGCAAAAGTGGAGCAGGAGGATCAAACTGCAATAGGAGATGAGGAGAAGGAGGTACACAAGAAATTGAGGACCAGGTTGTTTCAGGAGGGGGTGTACAGAACTGTTGGGCCATGGGTGACTTGTGAGGAACCACAGATCCAGGTAAGCTGGTTTCTGGATTGAAGGCTCTTTTTGTTCAGAATTGCACGATTATTGTGAAAGCAGCTTGGTGTACCTTATGATATCCCTCACTGCGTCCTAGGTCAGTAGATGTGCTCTTACATGGCTTTACGACCGAGGATCACACACAAAGGGAGCACAAAGGTTCTTTTGTGGTCTCGATCGAAGGTCCATTTGTCCTCAAATGCCGGTTTGCGCGCTTAGTCTATGGGAAAGGTTTAGATAAGGAAACAAAGGAAAACACAAAGCCGATCCTCGGAAGCATAGCAAAAAACGACTGTGTGCACAAAGTGTGTTACGTACAGCCGAAGGACATCAGGACAAAGAGAGAGCAACAGATTCTTTGTTGTCCTTGGACAAAAATCTTTTATTAAAGAGCGGTCCTTGAGCATAAATGTATGTGCTTAGTCTATGAGAGAGTGTTACATTACAGGAACAAAGGGAAACACAATATCTTGTCCTCAGATGTAATGGTAAAGTATGACCATGTGCACAAAGTGTGTTAAAAAAAAATTTGCCCCAAAAATGTGTGTGTTAAGAAGTTTATCTTGCTAGTTTTCATGGCTTCCACTGCAGGCTTTTGCAGCAGAGTGTCTGCGCTGCATTATTCAACCCCTTCACCCTGAAGAAACTAAGCAACTTAGGGAGTCAGCCCAGGCTAGAGAAAGACAAAACAGACACAAATCAAGGTAAAATTAATATCTGCTGAAAGTATCATAACTCGTATTTACTTCTTAACTACTGTTTTTCATGCCACATCAAATATTGATATGAAAATTGATTTGAAGAACATTTCAACAGTCTTTACATTTGCTTTTTTTCAGATCCGAGATGGCCAAGACACTGGCAGAGCGGGACAAGATTCTCAGCCAGGTCCTGGGTCAAATGTCGACTGGCTCGGCCGACGTGGTCAGGGATGCGCTAGGGGTCAAGGGTCAGCCAGACGGAGAGCCTGCAAAGACCGGCAAAGGTTGGTGGTCATTACTGAAGACCCTGCCTACATTTGTACCTGTCAATCAAACTTCACATTGGCCAATTAGATGATGACTGTTGGTCAGGTGACTGCAGTAGCTCAGTCAAATGCAGAGAAAGATGGGCGGGGTTATGGCCAATTCAGGAATGATCCATTGTTGTATGTTTCAGAAGAAAGTAAAAAGTTTTGCTTACAGCTAAATTTTTATTTGATAGTTTAATTTCAGTCTTTCAAGAAAGCTGATTGTGTCTCATCTTGCAAGTTTGACATTAAAAAGTTTTTTATATACTCAATATTGACTCGGCTCAATCCGTTAACCCTTTTTATTTATATGTTTCAGGTACCAAGCTCAAAACAAAGCCACTCTCAAATCCCACCAATCACAAGCCCGCCTGTATCTCGGACGAGCCAATAGGATGGCAGTGTTCCATCCACCTGCTGGAGACCAGTGGGAGCCAGATATTAAAGGGGCTCACCAGTGAGTGTACAGAGACCAAGAGGGCTTGCTTGCTGCTTCTGTATGACCTAGTGGACTTTGGAGAGGTAAATATTGTAAACTGGTCCAACTTAAACATCAAGAACATCTCACGGCTCAAACTTTGTCTGCAATGCTTGCCTTAACACACTATGGAGCAAGTTTAGTGAAGGATTATTGGTCGACGTTGATTATGCCTTTGCATTTATAGCATTGTGCATACGTCTCTTGTGCTCTTGTGACACGATGGTCAAAGGTGAAACATCATGAAACATTTTGGTGCTAGGTTCCTGCTATTCGTTATGAAATGTGCGGCTGCTGCAACCAGCAACCAACCTTGCTAGCTTGGTCCTAAATAATTGACTAGGCAAGACCACTGGTTCTCACCACAGTTCTTGTTCAACTTGATCCTAGATTAAGGCACAAGTACCCCCCTCAACGCTGATAATGGCAGTGGCAATATTTGCTCTAACGTGAAAGTGTCTCAGATGAGTAATTTTCCTGCATGTATTTTTCAGATTGTCATCCACATGAAGCTGGCCTCTCTGGGTGTGATCTCACAGTTGATGGATTTTGTACGCAACAATCGACAGGCACAGGACCTTGCATTGTTAGGTAAGTCTGTCTTACGATACGCCAACTTCCTGATAATAACTTTAATATTATTGCTTTTATCAGTGTCATAGTCAAGACTCCTGTGGTGGATCAAAAGTACATCCTAAGTCCAGTCACAAGTCAAATCACACGTTTAGTCACAAGTAACAGTGGGTGAACAATAACAAAGGAATGCCTTTGTCACAGCCCATTTGAATAGCTTGTGAGTTGTGATTGACTTGTGATGACTTGTGATTAACTTGTGATAGTCTTGAGATTGACTTGTGATGACTTGTGATTGACTTGTGATTGACTTGTGATTGACTTGAGATGACTTGTGATTGACTTGTGATAGTCTTGTGATTGACTTATGATAGTCTTGTGATTGACTTGTGATAGTCTTGTGATTGACTTGTGATGACTTGTGATTGACTTGTGATCAGTCACGAATACCTCCACAACAACACTGTGATTATGCCATTAGTTTTGTTCAACATCTTTTCAGCTTTGATGACGTTGAGGCACCTGGTGTGCGACTACCGCCTGAAGCAGATATTCTGCAGCGAGGGTGGGGAGGCCCTCTTGACTGACCTCATCAAAACAAGCGAGGGCGCCCTCCTCATGCACCTCCACCAGTGTCTGAGGCACATCACCGAAGGTACAGTCATTTTCAAAATCAGAAGCAAAATTTCAAGGGAGGGCTTGGAAAGCACTGTCCACAGTGGAATCAGTTTTTATAAACTGTTTGCCACAGCTGTGGGTGCATTGGAATTCTGTGCAGTGTCAATATTGACTACCAAGAAAGTTCATTGCCAGAAAGGCAGTGCTCTTAGGACATAAAATGATGTCACTAGGCTGTTATGAGCAGGCCACTAGAGTCTAGAGTACTGTTACAATTCACTTCCTGAATCTGCTAACCATGTTTTTGTTTTAATAAATCTACAAAACAAATTCTGTGCTTACTCTGTCACCTCAGAATTCTCAGTTATGGGATATAAGCATGATAACAAGCTAAAACTGTGCTTACCCATGAAATATTCTAACCGTTAAAAGTGAGCCCAATTGCACTCCATGACCTTTGCCAAAGAATTCACGTGAAGATCTTTGTTTCTTCTTTAGGTCCAGGGGGAATACTGTGAAGAAAAACTTGAAGGGGATCTTTCTTGAAGACAAACCATCCAATTCATTCATAGCACGGTTTCGTGAGTACCCATCTTTGCCATCATCATCATTATTTTTTTCTTCAGCATTGTTGTTGAAACAATCATCATCATCATCATCACCTTTGTTCTTATCATCGTCATAATCATCATTGGTTAAAATTTGGACTAGACCAAACATTTGGCGTCAGCTAATTCGATGGTTGCATTTTGACAGACTTGATTGTGCAATAACGGGACCTATGTAATATTTTCCCTACAAATTTTATAAATCTGTTATTTTGACTTAAAGAGAAAGCACAGTTATATGTACAGTGCATCAGTATTATCAGGAATCAAGGTGTATGTCACAGTATTTGTGAAAATTTCTGCTTAGCATAAAAAAGGTCTACATTGTGTTTTTTTTTCTACAAAATTTAAAAGTTTTTTCTTCAACAATGACCTTGGTATTCACATTATCACAGATAAATATGCTCGTCTTTTTATAACAATTGATATGCTTTTCAATTTGTATTAAAATTGAGACATCCGTTAAAATTGAGACATCCATTTTTCCATTATTTTGAGCGTTTCACTAAATTTACAACAGTTAAAATATGGATTTCAAAATGAAGTGCCTTTAATGGTGATCAGCACATTATTCTAATGCCGTCCTCAATTCACTGTACCTTTTACCAATTTGTAAAAAAATAATTTAAAAAAAAATCGAAAATTGTAAATATATATCTCATAAAATACGTCCATTTGCTGAAGTGTTGAGTATTGTGCCAGCAAGAAACAGAACCTGATAATGTGTTTTATGGTCAAATTATTTTGCTGTCGTTACGATTTAATTTGCTGCAATTTATTTTTATTTTTTAATGTTTTATCAAACACACAGAAAAACAAGATACATTTTAAATAAAATTTAAATGTCTTTGGTTATGTTATTTGTGTTTTGGAATATGTGATATTGTTTCATTTTTGTTACATTCAAGGTCACTGTATTCATTTTGGGTTACTGTAATCAGTATTTTTTTACCTTCAGCTCCTTAATTATATATTTTTTTTAAAGCGCTTTGCTTATTTTAGGGTTGAATCCCACCGCTCGTGATATGGCACAGTGATTCAAGACATAAGATTGATTGATTCATATGCCTGCACATGTTTACACCCCAGTTGTTGCAGTAACGAGTGAAGTTAGACCAGTAGATTGCAAACGCTGTAGTTCCTTTCAACCAGGTCATAAATATTCAGGTCTCCGGCATACATTAGCATAATGTGCTGGTATACTGATATCTCTCAAAATGAGGTGTAGTGATTGTTTATTGTCCACTTGAATAAAAAAAAAAAAAAATTTATTCGGTCATCCTGGCTTCAACTTTACTGAGCAGTTTATTTTTTTTTTATGGTGCATTTTTCCATTAATAATGATTCATTTTTTTACTGACAAAGGAGGTGTCATGAATTCCTGCCTTTTTGTAAAATATTTTATTGCTTTGAATTCTGCGTAGTAATGATGTCATCATCAGTGTTTACGTCTTTTCTTTCTGATTGGTTGGTTTGTTAAGAGTGGTGGGCGGCTAGCTGGTAGTACGTCTGTGTCAATTAACTTTCATATCCAGAGTTGGTGCCTTGTTACAACCTTTAACAAAAATGTCTCTTGGATAAAGAGAGGAAATGTGGTTTAAAGTTGGTTATTATGTGAAAGAGTTGGGGGTTTCCATAGAGTTAAGAAAAAGCAGCCCTTTCATCCGAAATGTATATTGTGATTTCATTATCATTCTCCAAGAATATTGGACTGTCTCTGACTAGACTTGAATACCAGGATTACTTCACCCTTTTGTGTCTGTGAAATAAAGTATAGCCTTCACCTCGACTTGAGCCGAGGCTACTTAATAATAGAGTCATGTATAAATACCTGGGGCACAACAATAGGTCCCCAAGTGCTCAATTCATTGGCCTTGACTAATAGAAATAAAACCAGCTACTGGATTTTGTTGTATACAATATTCTCGTTTAAATGAGCACTTTCGCGTTCGGTTCAGCGCAGGTCAAGTCCATTGTTGTAAATATTGAAGTGGCATTCATCATTCAACTGCAAGCAATGCATCGTCCTTTTCTTTTTTCAAGGTCCCCCGCTCCTTTTTTTTTCATTTATGACAATCGGCCAGAGACATTCTCTATGCCATCGTAAGTAAGCGCATTTCAAAGTGTACGAAGAAAGTCGTTTGGATTTAGAACTGACGGAGGAAGATGTGGTCGTCGAAATAGCCAATTTTTGGATTTTCTTAGTTCATGGTAAGTGTAAAAAATGATTGAGCTTATTTTTTGCATGTACCGTGTGTGTTTGTTTGCTCTTTTGCCATTTTCTATAACGTACAATGTACTTTACCAGGAGAAAACAGTATTTTGCACTACGTTTTTCAGACCAAGGTTCATTTATTTTTAGTTATGGCCTTATTCAAGGAATGTTTTACGACATTTTTCAAGGACCATTGGGCCCTAACCCTGCAGATGAGCTCGCGTTCAAGTTGAGAGTAGAACAAATGTCTTAGAGACCGTCTTAAATTGTCTTAGATGTACCAAATCCTGATATTTATTTCCTGGTTTTTCATGCATTATATGTAAAACATACAGCAGTCAGAATCTACCAGTTCTGGACAATTTAGATAAGATCATATGATTTTGGGAAAAAAATCTTCCAAAGTTTATTTTATGGACGATTAGTCACGAAGACCATCGGCCCCGCACTTGCAACCAGTACAATTATTTTCCAAAAACCTGCACAAATCAGAAATCCTTGCCCGCACGTGACGTCACTTTTTTATATCACGGGCGTTCACTGATTCCTTTTCATCATTCCTTTTCATTTCGCATATCGTTCCAGGTTGTTAATTTTTGTGATGTTATTTTGTACATGTATGTAGGCCTACATCGTGGTTCAAATAACACTACCTATATAAGGCGCTCGTGCGAATCTTTCGTAAACATGTACCGGTACCCTCAAGAACTACACAGAATCCCTCGCATTGTTTTTAAGCCTTTATGGCTCGACAGTGATTATACATGTAATCGGCGACGCGTTTCAGAATGTACATGTAATTTGTCTTCAATATGCAGTATTTGTCAAGTCTTCATTTCAAGACAAGACATCGAGTGGTAGTGACACGACTGTAAAACGGTGCTTACGCCAGTTGATAGTATTCAAAACACAGCTTGAAATTTGATTTTTATTTTAAGGTAAGCTTTTATTTGATTATAGTGAATGTATGTTATTAAATAACCTGTGATTAATGTATTGGCCCATACACGCGAGGCATTACGGTAAGTCAGGTCGGTACGTTCTTGCTCTTGTCTTGGCCCTGTCGGCATATTTTTCAGACGATTTTCAATTATTTTCTCTCAATTAAAAAAAAAAGCTGCTTTGATCTTTGCTTTGGAAAGCCTATCGCCGTTTGCGAGTTAGCCACGCCCTTTAGACAATGGAATTTTTGTATGTAGTTTTGTTTGTCTCAGATGTTGCGCATTCCGCGTCCATTTGTATATCATGTAATTGGACAATATTTCACAAGCTGCGTTGACGCGATACGCGATATGTTACTGATTATGGGAGGCCTGCGTCCACCACGCGCGCGTGCATGGATACAGAACATCGTCGTGCGTATTCTATCGTGCAGTTTTCCACAACGTTTAGCACATGCAATGCATTTTAATTTGATCGGCTGCCTTCGCTTGAGTTTTTCTACTGAATTATGAACAGATTCTTCTAAGTAAAATGATTATACAGTCGAGATTTTCTAGTAATGATGTTATATAATGTTCAATAAAGAGGAAAACTCTATGACATGGATATAAAAACGGAGTGATGCTGATGTCCACCAATGAGATGTTTAGAGTTCCAAAGATGGCCTTGTATTGGCTCGTCGTCTTGGTAGGAGAACTCTTGATTCGGGTGATTATCAGTCCTTTGTTCCGCCTGTGTGTTGCAGTGGAGAACCTGGAGAAAGTAAGTTGTCCTTAATCACGCCTTGAGAGTTGTGAGGTTTAGTTGCATTATGCAACACTTGTTATGTCTGGAACGTTACAGCTTATGAATCATTGCTGTGTGATGTCTTTCTTCACTGCATCTGGTGAGATGTTGCTACGAAAACTTCAGCCTTTATATACCGGCCACATTTTAGCTATACAGAGAGAATTATACCGGCCTTTATACTCAACGAGCGGTTTTGTCCCGACTTGGAGTGCCAGAAATGGGTTTTTGTTCGGTTGGCTAGTTCCAATGAACGTAGGCCTATGTCACAATACTTTAGACGGGGCGTTAAAAGTTTATTAACCCTGTTTGAGGGTCAAGAGTGAATGGACCCACATCTCTTGACCATTGGTACATGATTATGGGGTAGATGAACACCCCTTGTAAAGTTGTGATGCGATGAGGTCGAGTGATAAGTTCGTGTCTTCGTGATGCTGTACATATAGCATGTTAGTATTCAGTTGTCGGATTCCTTTGGCCCAGTCAAAACGGTGTGATTGTTCTTTGAGACAATGCGCGTTAGTAGACTCCAAAAGGTTGGTGCTTTTTAATGGTTTACAGCAATGTTATGCCTATGTGCTCAAGATTACAAGAGTTTAGTGATTCTTTGCTGTATAAATTATCTTGCGCCAGCCAGCTGGAAAGAAATAGGTGCCATTTTGGAGGACGCAAAGTTTGTCATTGTGTCGACGGTAAAATTGTGGCAGGGATTGCCTCTGGTTTGTGTGTGCTTCCGTGAAGTTGAGATTTAAGTTTGTTATTTTAAAATTATAACTAACGTCTCTGCGCCCTTTCAGAATGACCATCCAAGCTATGTGTTATGATGTCGAGATAAATATCATAATTATTTACATGTATTTGCTAGTGGTTGCTTCTGGTTTGCGTGTGCTGTCGTGAAGTTGAAATTTCAGTCAGGTTTTGTCAAATTTTGTTCATCATTTCTGTTCTCTTTCAGAATAACCATCAAAGCTATGTGCTTTACAATCTGACGGACCCATCAAACACCACGATGGCCAAGGTAGCCCAACCCAGACCCCAGACCACACGGGTCCTGCTCTGGGCACCGCCACGCTCCCTCTCCACCGCCTTCGAGCGTTGCATCAGTGCCTTGGGCGACCGGGTCCAGGTCTGCCACGAGCTGTACACCGCGGCCTGCCACTTGGGGCCCGAGAACCAGATCAAGATCCCGGTGTTAGAATCCGTAGTCAGGGATCCACACTACACCTATGCCTGGGTTCAGAAAATCATGGAGGCTCGCGCCCCTCCCAAGAAGGAGATTTTCTTCTGCAAGGAGCTGGCTTATTCGGTGGAGGGAAAGTTCGATAAGCTACCGGCCGGCTACCGGCACACTTTCCTGATCAGACACCCAGCACGAGTTTTCCTCTCAATGAACACCCTAGTGAAGAGATACTTCGCCAGGACTTTTCTGGATCTGAAACTCAGCCAGGTCCTCCCTAAGGGGTTAGTCTACAAAGAGATGTTCGACCTCTTTGAGCACGTGACCAACGATCTTGGCCAGGAGCCAATCATCATCGACGCGGACGATCTTTTGCAGGATCCACTGGGCGTGCTGTGCGCCTACTGCAACGCCGTAGGCATCCCTTTCTCCCCCTCTATGAACAAGTGGCGGCCCATCAAAGAGGAGAAGCGGACGTGGATCTACTCCACCCGGCTCATGATCATCAACAAGATCATCGGGCAGTACGACCGCGCCTTCCGGACGGCCGGCCTGGAGCGGCACGTGGAGAAGCCCATCGACCTGAGCCGCGTCACGCCCGAGGTCTTGGAAGCAACCAAAGCAAGTATCGGCTACTACGAGAAGATGTACGCGCTGCGCCTGAAGACACGGACTCCAAACCCCTATGTGCATGTCAAACCATCTCCAAACCCTGCTGTGCCCAACGGTGTCCCGTCAATGAGTAACGGATCCCCGCCACAAACCAACAACCAGTGCGTATCGGTTCCATTCACAAAAGTTGCACTTTACACCGTGGCGAATGTCATTTGAGCTTCAGTTTTCTTATGAGATCTACAATTGCACCGTGTGACAAATTTTTGTTTTCTATTTTCAGGCAGCAAAGGTGAAAGTCGTCGGATTTTGGATTATGACTGAATATTTTGGTGAGATGGCGGTATCATGACGGACGTAGCTGAGGCGGCGCCATAGGAATAAGCGCAACCAGCGTGCTCGAATGACACTGAGTGTGCACAAAATATTAGAAAGTGGTAGAGTGAAAGTGTGCAATGTTCTGACTTGCAATACGGGATCCGGGATGTTTAAGGGATTTTAGCATGTTACGCGCGCTTCCGATTATTTTTAATCAACGGACCAGAAACGAGCAGCAAACCATTGGAGAAAACCAGTACTGGAGAGAACAATAAGGTGAACTTTATTTCGTGGCCACCACATATGGCAGGGACTTGTTAAATCTTGTGTAGAACAAATTCTGCATTGACGTTAAAATGGAAACTCTGTGATGGGTATGCTTGCATGAGGTTTTAACGCAAACTACATTTTAAGACACTTCCAAAAACGTGAAGTGCCCCAGGTTGGGAATCAATATCCAACGCGTGAAAAACAATGTAAATTATACATTTAATTAAAATGCTTCTGAAACTAATGTGATTTATGCACTGACCAAAATAAGCTGCACGAAAATCAAAATTTATACTTTAGCTGAAATTGAGTTTTTAAAGCTGCAATAATTTTTTTTTCAGAATCTTATTTAATTTGGAATTTGTGATACTTCTACTGATGTACTACCTCACGCAGAAGTAAATCTGAAACTTATTTAAAGTTGAAGTGCAGTACTGTATATTGGTAAGAGAGTAAATGAAACGCATTAATAATTGTATGGAAGTAAGATATGCAATAGTTCTAAGGCACAAGTGGTGAAGATTATGGTATAAAAGAAGCAGATATAATAATAACCATGATATTACTTTTGTATGTAGATTACATTTTATTCCTGGCAATTAAGGAACTCGAACACAGTTGTCCAAACTGAAAACCAAATGTACATAATTGCACTGATTGTCACAAGGCCTCACCTACGAGTTCTTGTACTTAAAAGCTCCAAGACTTAACTTCCTCGCTAACTTTACTTCTTCTTTTTTTGTACGAGATCGGATTTCTCTTTGAGATGCATTTGCAGACAGGCAGAGGTTCAAGTGTTTGTTTGAGAATGGTAACCGACTCTATCGGTTCGTTTTAGCTGCGCTCTTCTGTGCAGAATGACCCCATCTATCTTTGGTACTGCACCAAGTACGCAACGATCCTCGGGTCCCCCTGGTAGCTCACAAACACCTTCCCCCTCACCCCTTGAGAACCCGTGGAGGCCACACCGACAGGCCCCGCTACGCCCTGGTGTCGGGAAACCTTGGTAGAACCACCACCACCACTCGTGCTAGGTTTCAGCGGACTGAGCCCGCCCATCGACGGGGCGGACGTGCCGTCTTCACGGCCGAAGACCAGCAGCGATTTCCCCGTGGAGTCGAAGATCTGGACGCGCTGGTTGCCCGTGTCGGCTACCATGACGAAGCCGCGGTCGTCGATGGTGAGGCCCTTCGGGTGGTTGAGCTGGCCCAGGCCGCTGCCACGGGCGCCAACGGTCTTAACAAACTTACCGGCAAGGGTGAAAACCTGCAGTGGGGAAAAAGAGAAATGAAGTACTCTTCCATATTCTGTAATGCATCACGATATGATTATGAGTACTGGACTTGTACAGTTGTCCTCGGGTCCACAGAAACTGCTCACAAAAGCTAACTCGATCTGTACAGAAATATAAGCTGAAAGTGTTGGTGTGACACGTCAAATGCATTTTTAAATTAAAGATAGTCTTGCCATCTCTCGAAAGTCCATCAGTATTTACCTCTTTAAACTACATGTATATTGTCATCGCAGTCTTAAAATTGGACTTCGTTGTGACCGGCGAGTTGCCATTTTTTGTGAGCCCGAAGTGCCAGTCTGACTGACTGAATCTCTGAGAATTATAAAGTCCTGAGACTTTCGTCTCGAGCCCGACAAGCAATTAAAGCCTAATCTTGTTCATTCCCCAAGTTTGTTTTCATACCTGAATACGGTTGTTATTGGTGTCGGTCACCCAGAGACGGTTATCGGGGCTGATGGCCAGGGAATGCGGGTACAGGAACTGACCGGGTTCTCGTCCCCTCTCCCCGATCTGCCCCACGAGGGTACCATCCGTCCGGTACATGACCACCGCATGCGTCTCTTCACAGCAGATATACAAGGTGTCCGAGTCGGAGTCAAGGGCGACGCCAATTGGTCGATGCCCCGCACACGTGATAGTATTGACATCCTCTCCAGTGTCAATGTCAAGGGCCACTACGCATGCGTTGTCCTTGTCGGTGACGTAAAGATGACGTTGCGGGAGGTCCACGCAGATGGCTTGTGGGTTGCCAAAGTTGGTGAAGATGCCATCGTGCGTTAGTACCCGTCTTGGGGACAGACCCGATGACGTGCACAACCGAACGCAACCGTTGGCTGTGTCCGTGACGGCGACCAGACTATCTCGGACCACCGCCACGCCGGCCGGACCTAGAATCGATCGCTTCTTCCCGCCTTGGAACCAGCTCCTGCCGAACACCTTCATCTTGTGGATATCTCCGTACCCCCGCGGCTTCTTCAGTGTCAAGCTGTCGCTGTTGCTGCGGTTCATGATGACCCTTCCGCCGTACAAATCGAATATACTCTTCCTGCTGCAAATGGTGGAGTCACTGTCGCTCGAGTTTCTGCGAGATCGCAGGGGCGGCACGTAGCCGATAGGAGGAAGGCTGTGCGTGCGGTCCAACTTTCGCGCCAAGTCATCGTCTGTGGATACCTGCACGCCAACGTCGACGCCATAAAAAGCTCTCGGCACAGGGCTCTTGATATCATCACTCGCCTTGACGATCTTCAAAGGCATCTTGGCAGTCTGTTCGCAAATTGTGCTCAGCAACCCGCTGGTCTGCTGTAAGATGGCAACACACTGCCCCCTCATGTGATTCAGCTCAGTGATAGCAGGCTGCTTCTCGAAATTCTTGAGCCTGCCTTCCACGAAGGAGCAATATTCGCTTGCCCGAGTAAACTCGCACTTGACCCTTGACTGAACTGACGCAGTCTCCTCCCTTAAGAACTCATCTAGCTTCTGATGCAACAGGCGTCGTCTTTTGCGCAGGAGCCTCAACGCTCCGTCTATCTGTTTGCCATTGCTCATCCCAACTAAGTCTTCTTCGGCAGATTGCTGGACACGCTCCCACAGGTCCGTGCACCTGTTGAAATCCTCCACACTGGCTCTGAGCTTGTGGAATTCCGTCTTCAAGGAGTTCATCTCCTTGGTCCCAGCTCCAGCCCGGCTCTCCTGATGGAAACCAAGCTGCCAGCGCTCTTGGAGCTCCAGCAAGGAAGCGATTCTTGAATCGTCGGCGAAGCTCCGTACTCCCAGTGCCGGGAGTTGGTGGCTGGTGATGCATTCCGGGCACACGATCTCCCCAGAGCTGGTCTGCCTCTCCATGCAGTCGGAGCAGAAGGTGTGATGGCAGGGAAGGACTCTGGGCGCCTTGAATCGCTCCTGGCATATGCCGCATTGGAGGAGTCGGGTTAGGCCTTCCTGCATGACGTGGATGAAATCGGGCGAACTCATCTTAGCTCTCTGTGGGCGATCTAATCACAACATGCAGAGCAAAAGGATTTAATCACTTATTTTTTTCTAGGCATATTTGATGATGTCTGGTGGTACATATACACTTGATGAGATTGCTGCAAGAGCCGCCCCAGCTGTCATGATGCAGGTTTCAACACCGAAGACAAAATAATACACTACCTTTTTTAAGCATACATGTATTTAATAACAAAAGCGTTTCATTCGAATGGCATTCACTGCAAAAAACCGCACCTTTCTGTATCAACACTGAATTGTGAGTAGACAGTAAAATTGATCAGCACTTAACATTGTCTACTCGAAAATGGAAACAGGTGGATTATTGCGCTGTCAAAAATATCGATTTTTCTCCGACAAATTAACAATCGCAAGTAATGCATCCCAATGCCGTAGTGATTTCTGTTCACATTGTTATAATAGCCACTCAGAGCAGGTGCATTTAATTAATTATTTTCATCAACATATCTGCATAAAGTTATTGCGAGCGTTTGGTTAATGCATGGCATATCAAGTGCACGTCACGTACCAATGACAAGAACGCCATGCAAGGCAGGTCGTGTGGGGTAAAGGGGAGGGATAGAAGACTGAATAGAGATACCAATTCAAAATTGAAAACGTCTTGGTGCAGTCATTCGATCGTGGGCAAAACTGAGCATAGATTGATGTATGAATACGCCTGTAGGGCAAAACCCGATACTGAATTTGCATCATCCCGACTCAAATTCCATGTTATGAATTTAATAGAGTTACATCATTTATTTGACAAGTCATGGCTTCGGTCGGTAAAATTCTAGTGGCTTCGGCTGATTGTACAAAACTACCAGAAAAGTCCTATAAGCGAGAATCGACAGAACCAGCTGCAGTCACTAGCAACCAGTCTACATCGAATGACACTCTGGCTGGCAAAATATTAATGCTTAGCAATTGTGTTCTGTTCTAAGCAGCTACATTAAATTGGCGCCTTGTCTTACCTGTAGGTCGTAAATGCCACGCCCAGAGAGACTGACTGAAGCTCGACCGTGCGTTTAGGTCGGATATAAACAACACTGGTGGCCTACTTAGGCACCTCTGTCTTGCACATGAAAAATGTTCATGCACAAAAATGTGACAGTTGTAAGGACCATATTTACCAATCAGCGTAGATAATTGTCAGTACAGGACGGTTTGTCCGTCAATGCATCTGATGTACTGGAGGAAAACGAAGAGTTAGACACGCACATAGATCGTCGTTATTTTTTAGATGTCTGCTCACTGACAATGCACACACAACGGGAAACAATAGACGCGCCCGACACACATCTGTGTCGCTATTGTTCATAAGATTAACCCGCTGGACCAAGGTCAAATGCATCTACAATCGTTATTAATTTTTCATCATCGCATGATATAAAGCGATCGATGCAACTAACACATATTAGCTGCCGCGGGCGTTTTTTTATGGATGGCAGCAAAAAATGTGTCTCATTCGATATTGGATTTTACATGTGTTTTGCATTATGATGAGTCAGATTGTATAGTTTTTATCTTAGCCTATATTTTTCAAAGGACCATCTAGTAGTGTATTTGAATGCGGCAATATCGGTGATAATAATAATATAGAAGAACTGTGGACCCGGTTTACAGCCTCAGTCCTCTTAAAATTATGTTTCGTTTCCTTGGTTAAGGGTCGATTCTTTGACCTTTAACCTCGTTGTTGTGAGCTCAATGCAAATACCCCTCCAGTTTTATAATAAAAGAAAACACTAAAAAGAATAAAACTGCTGCAAACTGCTCAGTGACTGGATAAACCTGGGATATACAAATCGAAAAATTAGAGCGGCCTTTTATTTCATTTTTAGCAAGGACTTCTTCAGAGGCAAATGTATTTGCCTCTGAAGAAGTCCTTGCTTAAGATGAAGTTATGCTGCTCTAATTTTTTTGAAAAGAGAACGTGTCAGGGCGCGCACTGCCGATATGCCTGATACTCATTGATGACAAAACATTGATCTACATAATAGAAACGAACGGTTCGCAATTGATTGCTCAACACAGTGCCCCCTAGGTAGGACAAGTAAAGATTCAAGAGTGCATAAAACATGCATGATATGCCTATGTCCTTGTTTTCTGGATTTTTTCCCCCAAAGGAAGTCATAGGATGTGATTTTACAACATGTTTCAAACTATAATATTCCAGACAGTAAAGTACAGACAACTTGAAAATCTAGCCTTTTTAAAATTAATTTCAACTGAATTTCAACAAGAGCACTGTACTTAAACGTTGAGGATAATATGGACACTTGAGGGCGCTATTCCGCGTTGACCAGCGAATTCAGCATGGCAGACGAAGACGGAGACGTCGACAAGTAAGTGCCCTAAAAAGACATTTTTACTTTCTTTTGTAGAAAATGATTTTATCTTTCATGGGAGTACTTATTTTAAAATGTTTGTGTTCTGTTCGGAAGAATATAAATGCATTTATTATCAGAAATAAAGGGCCGTAGAACTTGACTAGGACAGACGGCTACAGGACAGTTCGGAACTTCGTTTTGCATGCAAAGCGCAATGCACTTGGTGCGCATTATTGGTGCATAATTCATTCATTTGTCATGTGTACATGTAGTTCGTAGTGCCTGTGTACACGAAGTTCGGGAGCAACTATAGAATGCAGGGCCACGCCGAAGCAAGGTTTTTTATTTTGCCTGGAGGCGTGGATGGAATAGGAGTAATAGATATGCAAACCTGCAAAAAAGTGCTAAGTACAGCGAAGGAATGCACTGCACTTGTCTTCAAAGCTTCTCATGAAGGATCGAAAGGGAGGACGTGCTTGTAAATGTGTTGGGGGCACTGTCTGGAGCGGCGGAGGCGCGGAGTCTTGGAGTCGCAGAATCGCGGAGACGCGGGGCACTGGAGTGGCCGCAGTGGCGGAGGCGCGGAGTCGCAGAGACGCGCACCGATAGAGGGCGCAATTCTCGGCGGAATCTTTTTGAGAACGAAGCATCCATATCCATTTTAAATGGGCGGGCCAATTAGGAAGGGAGGAGGGCGACAGGGCACTGTCTGGAGTCGCGGAGGCGCGGAGTCGGGGAGTCGCAGAGTCACTTTAATTGGGCGGGCCAATTAGGAAGGGGGGGGGAGGGCGACGGGGCACTGTCTGGAGTCGCGGAGGCGCGGAGTCGGGGAGTCGCAGAGTCACTTTAATTGGGCGGGCCAATTAGGAAGGGGGGGGAGGGCGACGGGGCACTGTCTGGAGTCGCGGAGGCGCGGAGTCGGGGAGTCGCAGAGTCACTTTAATTGGGCGGGCCAATTAGGAAGGGGGGGGCGACGGGGCACTGTCTGGAGTCGCGGAGGCGCGGAGTCGGGGAGTCGCAGAGTCACTTTAATTGGGCGGGCCAATTAGGAAGGGGGGGGAGGGCGACGGGGCACTGTCTGGAGGCGCGGAGTCGCAGAGTCGCTTTAATTGGGCGCGCAAATTAGGAAGGGGGGGGGAGGGCGACGGGGCACTGTCTCTCAGTGGTGGAGGCGCGGAGTCGCGGAGTCGCAGAGACGCGCACCGATAGAGGGCGCAATTCTCTGCGGCTCCACGACTCCACGATCGATTTTCAGAGGTAGGTCGACTGCGGTTCCACGCCTCCACGCAGCCGTACGGAGGCGCGGATGTAGAGTAAAGTGGCCCTGCATTCTATAGTTGTACCGAAGTTCGGTGTACACTAGTCAGCCTACAAAAACTGCTCTTCTAGTCAGGCATGCAACTTTCCTCGGATCAGCTGATTTCCTCTTTTTTTACTTCCCATGTCATGTGCCATTAAGTAGGCAGTACATGTAAATTATGGCTTTCTTGCATTAGGCCTAACACAATGACAATTATTTACATGATTTAACTAGGACTAATGAGTTTCATTTTCTCATTCTATGATAGTTTCGATGATGGCTTTGAGGATGATGTGGACGATGAACCCTTGGAGGATATGCAAGATGTCGAGGTAAAATCAGAAGGCAATGGATAAAGCTTCAAGATTTAGAATTTAAAAAAAAATCCAAAGAAACTTTGATAAAATCGATTACCAGTTGCACAAACAAAATTGACCCAAACTTAGATTTGAAACCAAAACATTGGTCTGTCTTCAGATCTGTCTTTGAGAAATCTTTGAAATGGAGATCAATCCCATTCCTCTCAAACGCTTCCATGAGGATGACTGTAAACTGATTACGTACCCCTTGATTGTGTCGTACTAGCTTGAGTTGAAAATTACTATTTTATTTGTTGTTCAATATCAGGAGGAAGGAGCGGAGAACATCGAGGTTTTACCAGCAGGAGAGGGACAGCAACAGATGGCAAGGATTACCACCCCTTACATGACCAAATATGAACGGGCCAGGGTGCTTGGCACACGGGCACTGCAAATAGCGTATGTACAACTATCGTTTATGCTGGACCCAAAAAGGGCCATCCTAACTGAGTCACTAACTGACTGGCCGACAGACCGACTCCCTGACTGACTTATTCCTTTACTGACACATTTAAGTCTAGTTCAAATTGGCAAAGTATTGTTTTTTATAAATGGGTTTTGTCCTGCACCAACACACTTTTTTTCAATCACTCTTTACTCGTTCTAGAGTTTGTGTTTTTGACAGTGTTGCAGTCGAGTCCATCACAATTCCCCACAAGTTCATCACAAGGCCATTGATCAAAAGTCTTTCAGTCTCAAGTCAAGTCACTATTCAAATGAGCTGTTACAAAATCATTCCTTTGTCATTGTTCGTCCCCTTACTTGGGACTAGACTTGTGGAAGGACTTGTGATGGACTCGACTACAACACTGGTCTTTGATAGCTGTACTCTTTCAGATTTGATTTGTTTCGTATCGGACAAGTTTTTGGGGTACAAAATCAATTATCAGGCACTCTTCTATCAATTTCCTTTTCCAGGATGAATGCACCAGTCATGGTGGAGCTTGAAGGCGAGACAGACCCCTTACAGATTGCCATGAAGGAACTCAAAGCCGGGAAGATTCCCATCATCATCCGACGCTACCTGCCAGATGGAAGCTACGAAGACTGGGGGATTGAAGACCTGATCATTGACACGTCTTAGCACCGACTCCATAGATTTAATTTAAAAAGAAATAATTTTTAACCCTGCACCACCCCAAACCACCTAGCCTGTGACCTTTGAACTTCCCCAGCATGGTATGGTTTCATGAATTCATGAAGGATTATTACAGTGTTATACAAGTGCTGATGAGTGATCAAGACCATTTGAGTGAGAGAGCACCACACGATTAGTGGTGTTGGACTCTGTTGGTGTGTTTCCATTACAAAAAACAACAGGTGGTGTTAAAAGTGAGCAGATGTGGTAGAAATAGTCGGCTTGTTCTTTTGTCTGGGTCACGTCACCTGCTGCAACTTGATGTGTCTCTTTGCAGTATTGACGTGTTCACATTTTAACGGCCCTTAAACTTGTCTGCAAAGCCGACTTCTCAGTTTTGTTGATTTGTAACTTTTGTCCCTGCCAAACTGATGATAAAAAGAATCGTCCACCACCAAGCTTCCAGACCAACCCTGTACATAGTTCGACTGATGAATGTTCTTTACAACTTTCCCCTCGGTTCTTCAAAATCGGCTTCTGTCCAACCACACTACCCTTTTAATGTAGGAAAAACATGCCATTGTGGTAGTTTTAGTTTTAATCGTGAATTGTCTTGTGATCAGCTTTCCCAATTAAAAAATTTGTACAAAAATCAAACAAATTTCAAAGCCTGTTATTGTGGATATAATTTATCTTTTTTTTAATACACACACACGGGAAAAGGTTTTTAACACACAGAATGTTCAGTATTCTAAATTAGTCATACTGGTTAATGAAGCTTGTAAGGTGATAGATAATCTGCAAAAACAATATGGGGAAAATAACATCTACCTTAAAAGGATCTGTGATGAAGTTTAATAAGTTACTTCAGAATTGTGGTTTTGCTCAAGTTATATCGGAGCTGCATCTGAAAGATTGTTTTCTTGTTTTACACAAATCTTAAAAATAATTTTGAAACAGCACAAATAGCCTATGAATCATTATGAGATCCAACAAACTTTTTTCTTCTACATGAACTCAATTCTTTTAAATATACACAAATTATATACACATCATAATCATGAAATGCAACAGGACAATGTATCCACACTGAAGAAACTGAAACTTTTGAAAAGTAAAGGAAAATACACCTCCATTGGGGATGACAAAAATCAGCTTTTGTTTACAACTTTTGAGTGAAGATAAAGTAAAATCTACAGATATGAAAAGGTGAGATTTACACATAGATTTGGTACTTGTATTGTTACATGTTTTCAGATGGAAGACCACTAACTAAAACTTCAGTGACGAGGAACTATTTTGCCAAAACTGAATAAAAACTTTTAAAGTTTTATCCCTAGGGTGCCATGTGAATACATTCGGTGCCATCCAATTTTCCTTGTGATTGAGATTGGGCACTTTTTGGCGATTAGATCGGTCCTGGTACTGTACAGATTGACCGATTGGGCCTTGGAAATGGCAAAGATTAAAAAGCAAATATGCTTTTGTTTTCACAGATCACTCAAGTACAGTATTGATGCTTACTTGGGGTTCATTCCAAAGAAAAAAATTACAAAAATGCTTAGCAGAAAACTTGTGAAATACCAGCAACCCTTTCTATGTGAACATCATGAGCTATTTCATCTGCTAAGCGTATCGATGGAATCTGGCACTTAATGGGATAAGTTGGTTGAGAGGCTTCCTTGACGCGATCTAGCTCTCGGAGCCCTGGCCCTCATCTGGGTTCTCTTGCTGTAACTGGAAGGAAGAAAAGATTAAGAAGTTACAAAAGCATCCACAAAAGGTTTGCTTTGTTTCAGAACAATTATCAAACACTATGCGCTCTGCTGGCTCCTTGCATTGACTGATTCACAGGTGTACTTGGTCTAGAAATCAAATTATGAAGGTTGCAATGGTCTACTTTTGAAGGATTGTCGATTTTAGAACTCTGAAGAAGCAACTAGATGATTGTTCTACTCAATCTACAGGAAAGGAAAGCCTACTATTTTAAATGACTGACTTTTGGGAAAAAGCCACCACATTTTAACTTGTATAATAGTTGATAAGCTCACTTGAAACTCACAATGTGTTTATATCCATTTATCATATATGGGGGAGTGTGGCCTTGTTAGGATTCATGACTCGTGATCAGAGGGTCAGGGGCACTAGCATCCCATCCAGGGGGGAAATAGAAGTATTCTCATTTTTTTCATGCCACTGAAATCAGAGATAAACACCACCCTGATGGGCCATATTGGCTTGTGACAGACTTTATTTATATCACATAAATAAATGCACCAGTTTATTTTGTTCTTGGAGGTCATTGGCTTGCATCTCTCACCTTCGCCCTGAGTTCCTTATTCTCATCTTGCAGTTGCTCCACCTTCTGTTGCAGCTCACTGACCTGTAGTCTCAATGCCTCCACGTCGGCCGTCTCTGGGCCGGCTACGTTCAGATGCTGCTTGAGGAAACTGGAAGTCAGTTAAGTCAAGGAAACATCCTACCAATTTGGTCAATAAATCATTCACATAAGTCTTAACTTGCACTCAACATGAAGTGCCGTGGCCCAATAGCTACGGTGTTTGATTCATGTACAATGGTGAGTCGGTTCAAACCCTGACAGGAAACATGGGGCTTGTGTTCTTGGGCAAGACACTTTACTACTCTCTCCACTCGGGAGTATAAATGGGTACCTGTGAAGGTAGAGACAGGATTGCGCTGATCTCGATGATGAAATGGGGTTATAATTGTGAAGCGCTTTGAGACCTTTAATATAAAATGTTATAAAATCACAATATTAAAGACTATAACTTTTCTCCTCCTGAACTGCCAACTTGTGAAATTTCTGTCAACTCTCGGAGTCCTGAAGATACAAAGTTCAGTTCTCATTTGCCAGTTACTGGCTCTCCAGTGGAATTTATTGTGCCCTCCATACAGTGGTAGTTGATGAATTTGCTGGCTGATCCCAAGTTAAGATCTAGACTGACCAGGATGGATTGAAGGGCCAATTGAAGGAAAGCATCAAAAGTAAAAGAAGGGTTAAAACGACATAACTCATTCAGCTGGACTAGACATTCTACCTGCGGAAGAAGCAATTTTCAAAGGATACTCTAGTGCATTGTTGGGCTTCTCGGGTTCTTCGTACAGCGAGACGAGGATCTTAGTGAGAGAGTCCAACACTCCAGCCTTCTCCAGGTACTTCCTGTACTCTTCACGCTTGGAATCTGCAGGCTGCAGCATGAATAAATGTAGGTGAGAAATAACACAAGGTTATGCACAAAATGAAAAATTTCCATGCAAGTTTAACATTTTTGAAGGGCCCAACTCCAAACTGTGTCTGTTAAAAAACTGTGCCATTATGAATATTTCAATCCTTACATCATTTAATCTATGTTCTTAATGAAATTTGATACAGCTCACCTAAATTTCAAAACGGGAACAGGATTTGTGAGACAGGGGACAGTGAAGGAGTCAAGATTTAACTTTTAAGTTTTCAATTTTTAAAAGCATTTTTCTTGGAAAATTTCTGTTCATTATTTGCAAAACATGGCTTATTTGAGGTTATTATTTTTTTCCAAAAGCTGGCAAAAGGTGGAAACATAATTATTGGAAATCATTAAAAAAAAATTGTTAACCAGTAGAGGGCGCCCTTGTTTATTAACAGTCTGTGACTGAAAAACTTCATGAACATTTCAACCGCCTAAATTAATTTTAAAATGCAACTCCAAACCTTCTGTAAAAGACAAACGTACCCTGAATGACGTCATGTTTGTTTCTGTCTGAATTTACGATGAAGAATCAAAGCTTTGCAAAATGAACGACGTGAAAAAGTTTCTAGAAATGACCACTCTCTCTGCTTAACGTGCAGGTTGCTATGCGAAATAAATTTCGTGCGAAAATTGATTGGAATCAGTCCTACTCAGAAAATATACATATTGATAAACCTGTCACTTTGGTTTTACAATATTTGTTTTGATTTTCTCATTTGAAATAAATTTATGTGTGAAAAGTGAATATTCATTTATGATTTGGATGTGTGTAATTATAAAAATACGAAAATAACAATACTTAAAATAAAATAACAACTTTACAAACGTCAAAGGTTATTTTGTTATCTTTTAATCAAAAGAGGGCGCTGTTTAAAGTTGTTTTCGGGGATATGGATGGTGAAAAGTCCCGTAGAAAGTTGACAGCTGTTGATTTTATCAAGTTTTAATTGGAACGTTTTGCCTATTTTCCTTTGTCCTGCCATCACTGAGGAAAATGGCCGGAGGACGGAGAGGTCCCGGCAGGCCTCAGCTGAGCCGGACGGCCCCGCCACCACCGATGCACGCCACAAATGTGCTGGGAAACTCGGCGCAAACGACCATGACCACGACCATTCGACACAGGTCGGTAATCAAATTGAAAAGATTATGAGTCATGAATTTCTGTTCCTTTCTGAAGAATCGTATATTAATCCCCTCTTGATTAAACTGTGTTAGATCTAGCCCCACTAGTGTGGTCGTCGGTATGCTGCGCCAGCGCAGCATACCGACGGCCACACTAGTGGGGCTATGTTAGATCATGCATGTCACGGCTTGTACTCTACAGGTGCATGTGATTACAATTTACAAAGGCCACAGAGAAGGATGTAATTTAACAAAGAGAAAGTGTTTTAAAGTAAAGACTTTTTCATAAATTTGAAAAATAAAATTATGATTAAAATATTGAACTTCACTGTGCTCACTTCACTTTAGTTTGGGTGACCAAGATGGGGTCGGAGTTCTTTTTCTTGATTTTTTAAAAGCAATATTGAGTACTTTTTGTATAATTGTATTCAAAATAATACAGTACTAAATTCCAAGATGCAACTTGAAATCATGATTTCAAAAAAAAATTCTCTGCATTGCAGAATTTGACAACCAAATTTTTTTGTAAAGTCATTAGATCGTCCATTCAAAATTACAGTGATCACTAATGTTGAATCTGTATGTTAATATGGAATTGAATCTGGCACTTATTGTAAGTATTGAACATTTGATTATTTATATTCATTGTCTACTTAATAATCCTCATTTAATACTGAGATTTTGTTGGACTTCCGTAGGAATGGACCGGGAGCCATGGCAACCAGCACCCCGCTCACCACCCTCATCACCATCACGCCCATCCAACACCCGGTTATCCCCGTCCTGCCAGTAGAGGGCAGCCTGACCTTTGAGGTCACCGTGGTGCTGTACCTATTGACAGTGCTCTTCCTGCAGTATGTGAACATCTACAAGACGGTCTGGTGGCTGCCTATGTCACCATCCCAGACTGCAATGGTTAGTATAATAATAGTCTGGTATGTGATTCGATTGTGGTGATATAGTCGAGTCCATCGCAAATCTTCAAAAGCCCATCAAAAGTCGGATCACAAGTTCAGTCACAAGTCCATCACAAGCCTTCCAATCCCAACTCAAGTCACAAACTAGTCAAATAAACTGTGATAAAAATACCCCTTTGTTATTGTTCGTCCACTTTTACTTGTGACTGGACTTGTGATTGACTTGACTACATCACTGTTTGATTGGTATTTGAGCAGAACAGAAGTAAGACCAAACGTTGGAGTTCTTTGGAAGAAAAAGTTATGAACTTTAAATTTGTTGGAAACCTTGAAAATGTGGCAGTTTTTTTCATGACAAGTGTGAAATCCTCAGATTTGTGAAATGTATGTATAAATCTAGGCCCTCGACTTATCCACTTATCAATTATGACTTATTACTATTTACGACTTTTCTTGCAATGCAGATGGGTTTGGTGTTTTCTGTTGTACATTAGAAATATTTCAGGAACTGGAAGAAGAAAATTGTCTTTACCTCAATCTTTCATCAAAATTATATTTCTTATTCCTGTTTTTTCTACAACAGAACCTGTATTTGATTGACCCATACCTTGTGATGTTCATCATCATTGTTCTGACAAGACGCCTTGTCTGGAGCTTCATTATGGAGGTAAGTTTACATCCCGAACCCCTACCCCACCTCCACCCCAACCCCACCCCCACCCCCCACCCCCACCACCATCCCTACCAAAAAAATGGTTGCCCTTCATTTTTTTCCAAATGTAAACAATTGCAAAATAAAAATCATCAGAGTGCTGTTATTTTGTTTATAAATTCTTTTAAATTTGACTTATTTTATTTTTTGCTTCCCATAGGTTTACAAAGATGCCAAGGTCTTCTCTGTCCTGTACTACCTGGTCAAATCCATCAAGTTTATCCTCAGCACAGGAGTCCTGGGATTGGCTGTGTGGTCGCTATGTAAACTGTTCCTTAGCAACTCGCCACTCAATCTGTTCTTCCTGGCATACCCGTGAGTTGGATTTTTTGTGCTCTTGTAAAAATTGTATTATATTTTTTTTAGAATCTGGATTTGGCAATTTCACAACAATGTAATTTTTGTTAATAGAATACATAATGATGCTTCATTGAACATTGCTCCTAGAAATTTGAATGAATATTTCGAATTTTGGTCTTGCCAATATAAGGCCAAAAAAAAAAAAGTCTCCGGTTTCTGGTATGGAGCTTGTCCAAAAAGTGGTGCGGCGACGCGGCTTTTTTTTTTTTTCCTGACTTTTTTGCTTCAAATGTCGACTGATGACTGCAAATGGTGCCCGACTTAACTTAGTGCAAATATATGGGAGTTCAGAGAGCCTACATAAAGCTTATTCTCGATCATAACCCCATCTAAAAACACATTTAAATTGTGCAGCAGCAGAATTCCAGTCAAACCAGTGAGTTTGGCGGTTTTGAGACTTCATCTTTCATTGAAAAAAAAAACTTTTTCATTTTGCCGACGCGCATGGCTACGGCGACGCGCGCGCATACCAGAAACCGGAGACTTTTTTTTTTTTGGCCTAAGTACTGTTTACTCTGTCACCACAATCGTTGACTTTTATAATTGAGTTTTGCTGATAAAGGGAAAATTAATTAAAATTAAAATGTACATGCAAAAGTCTACAATCAGTCCAAATCGTATAGAAAGTCGTAATAAGTCGTTGATGAAATGTACTTTGTTTCTGTAATTCAGCCTGGTGTCGTACTTCTTACTTTACGGCCTGACCTTTGACCTCAACAAGTCCGTCTTCGCTGTCATCGTCAACAAGCTCTGGCCGCGGGGCGAGGCCGCTACCAATCACACCTCCCCCCTCGACAAATCCATCTCTGCCTCCCCGCCCTGCTCCCCCTCGCCACACTCCACCTACGAGACCACGCAGCACAAGTGCACCCACGTGCCGGTCGATGTGCGCAAAGAGGCCGACGTCCTGAAGTACGACTTCAACGCCCGCATGAAAAACGTTCTCTTCAATTCCATGGTCTGTGCCTATTATGTAGGCTTTGTGCCTATCTGTTTTCTTCAGGTGAGTTGTATTTTTGTCACTGACTTTGAAAAATATCTTGGGAAAAGGGTCATCTTGCTTTACATAATGAAATGAATCACTTCATTTATCGTGGAGCCTGTATCTTGGAGGCAATATGCAAGGGAATGTGATATGTGTTAAATTGTTATATTAGTACAAGAAGGTGCGTAACAGAATCTATGATCTATTGAAATAGATTTTTAAAAATGGAATTAAAAAGTGAAAAATAGATGGGTAGTTCAGTGAACATTTGTTAGCACAGCATGTAATTGGGTCCACCACAAGGCAAATCTCAAGTCAAATCACATGTAACAGGTGATTCATTATGACAAAGGAATGTCTTTGTGATGACTTGTGATGACTTGTGATGACTTGTGATGACTTGAGATTGACTTGCTGTCGAGTTGCGATTGACTAAAATTAATTAACGGATGTCCTGATAACGCCCTTCTCTCCTCCTCCCCCCCCCCCCCCCCCCCCCCCCACTGCATTAATAAGCTGAGAAGCTCCACAGCACCCCCGTGTGGCCATGCACATAATCTTTTTGCTCCAATTTATCCCATCATTAATAGACCATGGAGAAATTGACCCAAACTTGTTTTAACCCAGCCATCTTCAAAAGTAGACTAGTTCATTTCATGGCCAGATTTGATTGGACTAAAAACCGGTGTTGTTTTTTTCTTTGCCAGCCGTCCATGTACCTTGACCTGTGGTGGGCGTGTCTCATGATCGCATTCGTCTGGATCAACTCCTTCATCATGTTCAGCTCCCACTTCTTGCCAGCGTACTACTGCGACGCTTTACACCGCTGCTCCTTACACCTGGGCAAGTGGCAGAAGGTGGACCACGGGTACAGCAACACCCCACAACACTTGTGAGTCGGGGGTAGGGCGGGGCAGGGTGGGGATCAAAAGCTGGGGCAGTATATTTAGACTTTAGAGCTGAGTCTCCGGCAACTTTCAGTTGAGATGAGCCTGATTTGACAGTACACTGTCCTGTTACTTTTGGGTGTCATAGATCTACTCAATATCTATTAAATAGATACATTTGCAATTACCCAGAAACGTACCTACCGATTTAATGAGAAAATCCTTGCTCAAAGTGAAGATAGGACTGGTATCAAATAACCTGTGAAATTACTCTGCCTGAAATGGAATAATCAAGAAGAGACAATCAATAACAAAGATTTTTTGATGCAGCCTTGGGAAGCCAAACTATTTGGAGAAATGGGGGTTAAAATAAATTGGGAAAAAATGCATAAGATCAAAATTAGCATTCTAGAACAAAAACTAAAAAGGGTAGTTTTTTTGTGTGTGTCTAAAGTAAATATGTTTCATTTGTGGATTTACAACTTCTGCAGTATTTTGACTTTGATTTTTTTCAATTGTGAATGTTTTACAATACCATTTTGTAATGATATCTCTCCCTTGTAGCCGTAGCAGTACAAATAAGCAAATAGATTGTTATAAGCGTGTCCACTCTACAAGACTTTAACTTACAAAAACAATTTCTCTTTGATGTTTTGCTGAAGATGGTCTGATGCCACCGTGTGGCCCCAAGGCGTGCTGGTGAGATACAACAAAGGGCTGTACAAGGCGATGGGACAACAGAACGTGGCTCTTCCATCAGACGGATCCTATGCCAGATTCTATGTAAGTCAAACATTTAGATAGTCTTACACCAGTTCCTAAGTCACGCTGAACCAAGCTATTCCGAAAATTTGAAAGTTTGACTTGTGAAAAAGGTATGAGCGACCACACCGAAAGATTGAATGTTGCAGTCGTTCAGAATTACTCCAGAGTCTAGTCAATAGAAAATTAATACATGAAGTTCCCCTGTCTGCAACCAAAATGTCTTTGAGTCGACCTGAGTTGCTCCTAATATTGTCAAAGTTTCAGTCAATATGCTCTGATCATACAATGCCTAAAATGGTATCCATATTCTCATTGAATGACCTTGTTGCAGTCTTACACATGATGCCTGTTTCTATCAGTTGATAATCCACATTTTGTTCCCCTTTTCCCATTTTTTATTGCAGTTTATGTTCCATCAGCCGCTGCGAGTCCTGAATGGCCTCCTGTGCCTACAGATCGCCGTCATCCTGTTCCAGCTCTATCTCCTCTTCATGCACTCTCACTGGAATCACGTCATCTCTCTCTCCTTGCTGCTCTTCTGTAACTACTACGTCCTCTTCAAGCTGCTGAGGGACCGGATTATCCTGGGCAAGGCTTACCACGTCAAGGAAGAAGAGGTGGAATAGCAGAATGGAGTTTATAAGTAATGCCTCACCCACAATGAGCACCACATGTTATTGCACTCTTTCCCTGGTATGTAATATTTATAGGTGTATGTACTACAAGATAGTGCACATGTCCATTCCAATGCACAAAGTCGTGAAGCCACTGTGAGTCATATGTTGGGCCCCCAACATGGCTGCCGCTTCATGTATCGTCAGACCCCCTAAAGCTACGCGTTCGTATTTCTACGCATTCACCTTCAATTTGTGTGTGACAACGTGCCCGCATTGCGCAAGTGTTACCTGCGCAGATTATGGAAGGTCGTGGATAGCCCAAAATAGTAAACTACACTTTATTTCTGAGTGGGAAAAAATACAATGAAAAAAAAAGCATGAAAGCATGTAGTCCACAACAGCTGGGGTGCATGTAATTCATCTATGCTGTGTAAATGCAAATCAAGAAATTGAAGCACAGATGTGTATACATTTTGACCCCCAAACATGGCACCCTTGGGGCTTCAGCCCGTGACCTTGATGCACTATCCAGTCAGTATATAGAGATCACTGGCCCACACACAGGCACATCCAGCAGGGAGTTTCATCCCACATTACCCCACAAATTCTGAAGCCATGAATCGTGGCACCATTCTCCACAACTTGTTTGAAAGATCATGCGGCATATTGTGGTGTAACATACCAACAGCAGTAAACAAAGTAATGTAGTGACTACAGTCTGTCGTATTTCCAAATTTTGCTGCATGGGACAAAGTATTTTGACACCACACTTTACCACAGCTGTGGCGTATTTGGGTGTCTAACAGGGTAGTCCAAAACCAACTTTTAAAGCTTTAGCGTTAGCACATGAAGTCATACAATCATGCTAGGTGATTCCACTTTCAAAGTTTGCAAGAAAAATTGCCTTGAAATGTTGTAATTCGTCATCAATTTTGTCACTCGCTTTTGTGACTTTCAACCCAAAGTTGTCTTTAGAACGCCTTGTAATATTTTAAAGAGAACATGAATGCTTGTAAATAGCCTTTCAGTATTATTTTTGCTTCAAATTCTTCTAGGTTTTTCCATTCTTATTGCAAGAGTGGAAACTTCCTCTTTCACGAAATATCTGCTTGTGTTCAACCAGTAGTTTTTAAAAAATGGTGGCAGAAGTGTTCCTCTCATTAATCAATTCTTCTAGTGGCTGCATGTAAAATATGGAAAGAGGTTTTTTTGTTTGTAGAAGTTTTTATGAGAAGGAAATGTAGTAAACAGATAAATGGTTAATGAATATAAATTTGCTTATGAGATGGAATTTGAGTCGGAGAGAGGTAAAATTGGAATTGGGTTTTGCCGTTCGCCGACATATTTATTTTTATAAATTCTGTTACTCAATATTGTCCGAGGGCTTGCGAGTAAATGGTCACAAGCTCACTCGGATGGGACTCGAACCCACGACCTCCTGCTTACCAGTGCGGACGTCTTACCACTCGACCACCGAGCTTACTGGGGTTGGCTGGCCGGTTCGAGTTGGATGTTGCAGCAAGTATCGCAACCAAACTTGTATTAGTAAGCTGGAGGTCTTGGGTTCCAGCCCCATCCAAGTAAGCACGTGAAGATGTTGGACAACACTCAGTATGCAGTGTTTATTAAAAAATATATGTTGGCGATAAAATAAAATAAATTTCCTTAATTAGATATTCAATGAATATTCATATTAATTATAGACAATGAATATTTACCTTTCTGTTCTTAATTTGTTCTAGCTGGTTCCCAAGCCAATTTGAAGGCGCAAGTTTTAATGAAATATCTCCACAAACCGGCCTTTAAACAATTTAACTTCAAATTTTAAAACCAGTCACTGCGTTCAGAAAATCTTCCATAATCCTCCGTAATTGACCAGAGTAATGGCACCCTTGTACTCAAATTTTGAAGACCCATGTCGTCTAACAGTGGCTGGGCTATAACTACCTCAATCCTACAAAATCCTCTTAAAAAACCCTCATGGATTTTGAAGGTTTGGAAAGGGATAGGGTTAAAGGAAACCCAACACATTGGGCAGCCGTCCTGTTCCCTCAATTTTGTCAAGTTTTTAAATCAAAGTTAATCTCAAATACATTTTTTTGAATTCCTTGAATAATATGACGTATTTTTGTGACTGTACGAAAGGAGATTTTGTTCAATTTTTAATGCATTATGGATACTTCCCATTGATTCGTTGCGATTGCTTTTTCATCTTGATTTTTTTGATTCCAGGTTCCAGTTTTCCATTTGTTTTGATTCAAATGCCCTCTTCCAACGTTATCGCAGAAAATTCCAGATTCTCTTCCCAATTTTGTGGAGTTTTTTTTTATGATACCTTGTGTAATGTACCGTACATGAAAACTTGAAGTAAATTTTGATATGATTATTAGAAATATTGGGTATGATGTCAAACATATCCAGGTTGCGTGCACAATGTTGTTCTCAGTGATATGTTAAGGGTGTTGGCGTGGTTCTAGTTATTGAGGACAAGATTTTGAAACTGTACTTAAAACAAAAGAAAATAAACAAGCAAACAAACACAAGTCATTGAAAATAAACAAACATTACCTGTAGATGTATGAAAGCTATACATCTCTCAACAACAGACAATCAAATAAAAAATACACACTTTGAAAATAAAACTAACCCAGAAAACTGAACCAAAACATCTGTAAGGTTCAAAAACAGAAATGTTATGTTGCTTCCTTGAGGATAAAATGTTTTATTTTTTACAGGGCCAAAGTAGATGCTTTTTATTGAGCTTTAACTACTTAGATGTGGTTGTCATGTATTTAGATACTGTAATTATGTAGCACAGGCAAATATTATGGTTTAAGCAAAGTAGTGATTATATTTATTAAAAAGATCATTGCTTCCATGCAGAACAACTTTTATGTGGGTGTTTTCTTCTCTTGCTTCTCTTTATAACGTATTTCTTTTGAGCGGCACATCTGGCAAGAGACATTTTGGCAATGTGTTCTAAGGGCCCCCAGACATCTTCCTAGCTATTTTCAAGCAAATTCATTTTTTGACCAAAATTGAAAAAAATGCAAGGGGTTAGCCTTACTTTTTGGGCAAATTTTGGTCAAAAATTGACTTTTCTGGAAACAACTCAGAAATACTTTAGGATGCATGATTAACATATTTTGATACCCCTTAAGTGAGCATTTCAAAGATTTGGGCAAATATAGAGGAAATTATGCCAAAAATAATATATTTTTTCATTCATTTTTGTCCATTTGTGCACGCCATATTTCCTTTGAATAGCACATTTGGCAAGAGAAATTTTGTGAATGTGTTCTAAGGCCCCCTACGCATCTTCCTAGCAATTTTCAAGCAAATTCATTTTTTTGACCAAAATTGAAAAAAATGCAACTTTTTTGGCAAATTTTGGTCAAAAATTGACTTTTCTGGAAACAACTCAGAAATACTTTAGGATGCATGATTAACATATTTTCATACCCCTTAAGTGAACATTTCAAAGATTTGGGCAAATATAGAGGAAATTATGCAAAAGATAATATATTTGTTCATTCATTTTTGTCCATTTGTGCACGCCATATTTCCTTTAAATAGCACATTTGGCAAGAGAAATTTTGGCAATGTGTTCTAAGGGCCCCAAGGCATCTTCCTAGCAATTTTCAAGCAAATTCATTTTTTGACCAAAATTGAAAAAAATACAAGGGATTAGCCTTACTTTTTGGCCAAATTTTGGTCAAAAATTGACTTTTCTGGAAACAACTCAGAAATACTTTAGGATGCATGATTAACATATTTTGATACCCCTTAAGTGAGCATTTCAAAGATTTGGGCAAATATAGAGGAAATTATCCCCCCCCCATTTTTTTTTCCTTTCATTTTTGTCCATTTGTGGACGCCATATTTCTTTTGAATAGCACATTTGGCAAGAGAAATTTTGGGAATGTGTTCTAAGGGCCCCAAGGCATCTTCCTAGCAATTTTCAAGCAAATTCATTTTTTGACCAAAATTGAAAAAAATACAAGGGGTTAGCCTTACTTTTTGGCCAAATTTTGGTCAAAAATTGACTTTTCTGGAAACAACTCAGAAATACTTTAGGATGCATGATTAACATATTTTGATACCCCTTAAGTGAGCATTTCAAAGATTTGGGCAAATATAGAGGAAATTATCCCCCCCCCCCATTTTTTTTCCTTTCATTTTTGTCCATTTGTGGACGCCATATTTCTTTTGAATAGCACATTTGGCAAGAGAAATTTTGGGAATGTGTTCTAAGGGCCCCAAGGCATCTTCCTAGCAATTTTCAAGCAAATTCATTTTTTGACCAAAATTGAAAAAAATACAAGGGGTTAGCCTTACTTTTTGGCCAAATTTTGGTCAAAAATTGACTTTTCTGGAAACAACTCAGAAATACTTTAGGATGCATGATTAACATATTTTGATACCCCTTAAGTGAGAATTCAAAGATTTGGGCAAATATAGAGGAAATTATCCCCCCCCCCCCAATTTTTTTTTCCTGTCATTTTTGTCCATTTGTGGACGCCATATTTCTTTTGAATAGCACATTTGGCAAGAGAAATTTTGGGAATGTGTTCTAAGGGCCCCAAGGCATCTTCCTAGCAATTTTCAAGCAAATTCATTTTTTGACCAAAATTGAAAAAATTCAAGGGGTTAGCCTTACTTTTTGGGCAAATTTTGGTCAAAAATTGACTTTTCTGGAAACAACTCAGAAATACTTTAGGATGCATAATTTACATATTTTGATACCCCTTAAGTGAGCATTTCAAAGATTTGGGCAAATATAGAGGAAATTATGCAAAAAATAATATATTTGTTCATTCATTTTTGTCAATTTGTGCACGCCATATTTCCTTCACTTAAGGGGTATGAAAATATGTTAATCATGCATCCTAAAGTATTTCTGAGTTGTTTCCAGAAAAGTCAAGTTTTGACCAAAATTTGCCCAAAAAGTAAGGCTAACCCCTTGTATTCAAAGATTTGGGCAAATATAGAGGAAATTATGCAAAAGATAATATATTTGTTCATTCATTTTTGTCCATTTGTGCACGCCATATTTCCTTTAAATAGCACATTTGGCAAGAGAAATTTTGGCAATGTGTTCTAAGGGCCCCAAGGCATCTTCCTAGCAATTTTCAAGCAAATTCATTTTTTGACCAAAATTGAAAAAAATACAAGGGGTTAGCCTTACTTTTTGGCCAAATTTTGGTCAAAAATTGACTTTTCTGGAAACAACTCAGAAATACTTTAGGATGCATGATTAACATATTTTGATACCCCTTAAGTGAGCATTTCAAAGATTTGGGCAAATATAGAGGAAATTATCCCCCCCCCCCATTTTTTTTCCTTTCATTTTTGTCCATTTGTGGACGCCATATTTCTTTTGAATAGCAAATTTGGCAAGAGAAATTTTGGGAATGTGTTCTAAGGGCCCCAAGGCATCTTCCTAGCAATTTTCAAGCAAATTCATTTTTTGACCAAAATTGAAAAAAATACAAGGTGTTAGCCTTACTTTTTGGCCAAATTTTGGTCAAAAATTGACTTTTCTGGAAACAACTCAGAAATACTTTAGGATGCATGATTAACATATTTTGATACCCCTTAAGTGAGCATTTCAAAGATTTGGGCAAATATAGAGGAAATTATCCCCCCCCCCCCCAATTTTTTTTCCTTTCATTTTTGTCCATTTGTGGACGCCATATTTCTTTTGAATAGCACATTTGGCAAGAGAAATTTTGGGAATGTGTTCTAAGGGCCCCAAGGCATCTTCCTAGCAATTTTCAAGCAAATTCATTTTTTGACCAAAATTGAAAAAAATACAAGGGGTTAGCCTTACTTTTTGGCCAAATTTTGGTCAAAAATTGACTTTTCTGGAAACAACTCAGAAATACTTTAGGATGCATGATTAACATATTTTGATACCCCTTAAGTGAGCATTTCAAAGATTTGGGCAAATATAGAGGAAATTATCCCCCCCCCCCATTTTTTTTTCCTTTCATTTTTGTCCATTTGTGGACGCCATATTTCTTTTGAATAGCACATTTGGCAAGAGAAATTTTGGGAATGTGTTCTAAGGGCCCCAAGGCATCTTCCTAGCAATTTTCAAGCAAATTCATTTTTTGACCAAAATTAGAAAAAATACAAGGGGTTAGCCTTACTTTTTTGGCAAATTTTGGTCAAAAATTGACTTTTCTGGAAACAACTCAGAAATACTTTAGGATGCATGATTTACATATTTTGATACCCCTTAAGTGAGCATTTCAAAGATTTGGGCAAATATAGAGGAAATTATGCAAAAAATAATATATTTGTTCATTCATTTTTGTCAATTTGTGCACGCCATATTTCCTTTGAATAGCACATTTGGCAAGAGAAATTTTGGGAATGTGTTCTAAGGGCCCCAAGGCATCTTCCTAGCAATTTTCAAGCAAATTCATTTTTTGACCAAAATTGAAAAAAATACAAGGGGTTAGCCTTACTTTGTGGGCAAATTTTGGTCAAAAATTGACTTTTCTGGAAACAACTCAGAAATACTTTAGGATGCATGAATAACATATTTTGATACCCCGTAAGTGAACATTTCAAAGATTTGGGCAAATAAAGAGGAAATTATGCAAAAAATAATATATTTGTTCATTCATTTTTGTCCATTTGTGCACGCCATATTTCCTTTGAATAGCACATTTGGCAAGAGAAATTTTGTGAATGTGTTCTAAGGGCCCCAAGGCATCTTCCTAGCAATTTTCAAGCAAATTCATTTTTTGACCAAAATTGAAAAAAATACAAGGGGTTAGCCTTACTTTTTTGGCAAATTTTGGTCAAAAATTGACTTTTCTGGAGACAACTCAGAAATACTTTAGGATGCATGATTAACATATTTTGATACCCCTTAAGTGAGCATTTCAAAGATTTGGGCAAATATAGAGGAAATTATGCAAAAAAAATTATATTTTTTCATTCATTTTTGTCCATTTGTGCACACCATATTTCTCCTGAATTTGGGCAAATATCAATGAGTATTGGAAAAAAAATTCTTTTTGTTGATTTTTTCCTATTTGCAAACCTTTTTTCCTTTAAATGGCATATTTGAATGGTTAACAGTTCAACAGAAAGTCGCACAAGTAGTTGTTATTTATGATTCACAACTTCTTTTTTGGGGGGGGGGTGACATTAAAAAAATACTTCATTTAAACAATTCACACTGAAATATCAAAGAAATTTCTTTTTATTCAATTTTTGTTATCACAATCAACATTGTGTGAATACAGGTTTGTCTCAATACCCACTTACTTGACATATAAAATCTTTTTGTTTGAACATTCAATTACTTAATAATTAGTATATAATACTTGATATATTTTTTTTTCTCAATATGCCACAGATTCAGTGACCGGTGTGGCATAACACAAGACGACAGAGGTACAAGTTCTTACCGTGAATACAATACTCCAGATAGAGATACGGATACAACATGAAATAGAATGGGTCGTGGGTTCATGCACATTTTTTTTCCAATTAAAATTACCCATGCCCCACCCATATTCCCCCTTCCCACCTCTCCCCTCCCCCCCCCCCCCCCCCCCCCACAATGGAACCCTCACATTCAAAAGACTTCCAGCGATTTTTGAATGTAGAATTCTCACTCTTGGAAGTCCGCAATCAAATTTACAAAACTCTCCAAATGTCTCCAAAATGTTTCAGATCTTAATGCGTCTTACTAAGAGAGTTAAGCTAGCAAACAAAAGTTCTATATGAAGCTATGGCGCTCAGAAACATGTGCCGAATAATATATTAAAATAATAATAATAATGCATAAAGATTAAAGGGCACACCATACTTTTATGCACTTTGTTTTCAAATTGTTATGGGTTCAAACCATTGGCAAATTTTAAAGTGTGGGAACTTTACAAACATGTCCAATTTTGCTCCACTGAGCAGAACAATCATATTTTTTTTAAGGTATTGAGACAACGGAAGTGTTGGGGCAAAATTATTAGCAATTTTGTAGACATTTCCCCGATATAACTATTGACTTTTGCCACTTGCCTAAAACATTCAAAAGCCTTCATAGACATAGACAAAAACTGTCTGATTTCAGGACAGTGATATCATTCAATTATCAACAATTTTCAATGGAATAAAGAATTGGAACTGAGAAAATTTAATAATGCAGCTTTGTAACTTAATGCTTGGTTTAGAGAGCCAATTTCTCCTATTGGCTAACACTGTAATAATTAATGCTAAATTGACCAATAGAATGCTGTGTTTCATCACTACCGTCATGTAACAACAATTTGGATTGGTCACCTCCCCAGCTATGCAGTCGAGTGGACCAATGAGAAACCAGCTAATGAACATTTTTTATGAGTTGCTCGCATATTTTCATTAGAAACACACACAAATGCGAACATGCTTAAGTTCACAACAGCATGCATGTTCAATCCTGTGTGCATGTTTTCATGGAATCAACAAAAAAGAAAAGAAAAAATCACACACGAGTTTGACAGAAAACAGGTTTTCTGCAGTAAATCTTCACTTCAATTACTTTTGTTAAAGATAATGAATACACAAAAAATCATAGATTTCTGCAAGCCTGAAGTATGAAAAAAAAATCAATTATGTCTACTGTTATCAACTTCAAGACTTTGGCAAGTTTATATCTTGACACTAACAATGACAGCATAAAGCAATAATTTAAATAACTTTGATTTTGTTTTCGTGAGTGGAATTTCAGTCAATTCAGGCAAGGATCTCGAAACTTAAATGCAACTGGTAAATAAATTAAGACTAATAATCTTTGTAACACATTTGAATATATGAGGAGATAAATACAGTATGCAGTAAAAGGTGATATGTGCTTTGATAAAGGTAGCTGGTATCTTTTGTGTTGTTTAATACATGATTAATGGTATATATACAGAATATAACGGACAAAAATTGGCAGAGAACATTTTAATCCAAATTAAGCTCCTTTCACTGTAAACTCTGCTCCTTTTTATTTGTTGCTTCCCGTCAATTACAATTCAAACAATATTTCAAAGTTGTTTATGCATCGTGAAAAGAAATACAAATTAGTATGTAAATTGCCATACGACTGCCACACAATTTTTGTTTGAGTTGCAAAAACGATTTGTGCGCGAAAAAAATTGTATCCCGTTTATTTTACAATGTATGAAGGCAAATTACAAGAAACAGGTTTTAATAAATTAAAATTGCGCCCTCTACTGTCAACAGTCACAAATGAGTTAAGTACAATAAGCCAACTCGTAGCACCATTTCTTTCGTTCAGCTCTTTTTCAATGCACACATTTCTAAAGTCATCAAATGATGAGTTTAAACCGACCTTACTAACAATTTTTCTGTTCACAAAAAAATCAAATGTATTTCTTGTGTTCTTCGTTTTTTTCCCTCTTCTTTTACATGTAGTTGGCAGTGCAACACAAGCATTAGGCCCTACCATGTCTCACACACAAAAATCTACCAGATGGAGTGTTAGAGAAAGTAGCATTCCGTGCTTTAGCTTCCAAGTTTAATTTTGGAGACGCAATGACAACTTTTGGCAATTGCGAATAGATAGATTGCATTTAGCAGCCATCTTAGATGTATGTTTTGCTATGTTAATTCATTCACATTCATGCGTATCCCTGTTGAACAAATGCACTCCCCTCAAACGTGGCTGCAGTGCAAAAGGTCTATCGAAGCCAAAGTCTACGGCACATTTCACACCAAATTCCTTTGCGTACAGGCAATGCAGCAAGATTACAAACGTCTTTTTAAGCACTAGATCGATCTGGGTATGTGCAAAATAAATATGCACAAGCACAAATCTGTATGCAGCACTGAGATATGCTTACACTTTTCTTTTTTTAATCACTTAGCAGCATAGACCAAAACGGCCAAAAAAAAAGGTCACTTTCAAAGTCATTGCAAGATATGCCAATATTTTTGGCATCTAACCAGCTCATCAATCTCAAAAGTTTAAACTGGGGGAAAAATGAACTCACACAAATGAGAACATTCTTTGCATCCTGGGAATCTAACCAAGAATCTCCTTTTTTTTTCTCATTTCCCTATTTCTTTTCCCCATATTCCATTTTGGAAGCACTCATTCGTAAGTCTCACCACGGAAGGCGATCGCCGACATTTACAACAAATGCAAAAAAAAACCAACTTATTTTGTTTATGTGAAGACTGTCTACACGCACTAGTCACAATCAGCAGAATTTTCAAGAATGGCAGAACTCTCATGAATTATATACCCTTGTACAACCCTAAAACATGAATTAAAAAAAAATAATCTACAACTAAACAAGACAAAAAATGACAGTACCAACCCCCCCCAAAAAAATGTACGCATATGCAGGCACATATACAGTGTTGTGGGGAAAACAATATGTAGGCCCCCCCCCCCCCCCAATTGAAGGATATAAAATCTTCTGTGCGTGCGAAAACAAAAATCATACAAATTTTGATTTACGACCCAAGTGCAAACGTTGCATAGGAACGGCAGTTTAAATGGACTAGCATTTTGTGCTACTTTTTTTACAGACTAAAATCAAGGGATTTAAAAAAACAAAATTCAAAAGTTGAACTGCGATTAATAAAGATGTGTTGAAACCCAGCGAGAGTTCTTACCACTCAATGTACAATAGATTATGGAAAAGTGCTGTCGTCGGATTTGCTGTGATGTAGGGGGTGCTCTAACTTACTTGGAATCAGTATTAACAAAGAAGTGTTCTCTGCCGCAAAACCAGTGAAGCGTAAACACTCGGTGAGCGACAAAATATTGAGTTGTAAGTAGCGAGTTGAGCGACCCGTCTCTCTTTCATGAACCTCGTGGTTTGTGGGGTATGCATAACAAAATTGCATTGCAATCAATTAAAGGAAAAGTCCTGTCCTGCAAATCGAAAACATTTACAGACGTATCATTTTGCCGAACAGGGTGGTGATGTTAATAGATGTCACCAGCGAAAGGACTTGCCACTGTGGATTTCTCCACCGACGCAAGAAACTCTGCGTGAAGTCATTTTTTGTTTTCACTTGAGGCGCTGGGTCACATTGGCCAGAGCCACGGCGAATGCCTGCAGGGCCGCGAAGGGATATTGGAAGTCCAAGGTGTAGGCATGGCCGTCGATTCGCCCAAACTGCATCACCTAGAAGGGGGGGGGGTGAAGGACAAGGAATGAAATAGACAGAGAAATTACCATCAGCAAAAACATTAATTTCATTATTAGGTTTTGCAAACCCAAGAAGTTGTCAATTATATTTTTTGTTAATTTCGGTCAATTTCTTTATATGTGATATGTATGTGGTCGATTTTCGAGTAGTATAATGGGTGTAAATGGCGCCACCAACTTCAAAATAGTCTCCTTTCCCCCCAAAAAATTTCTGCGGCCAAAAATTTTGGGCAACATTTTTTGAAAAAATTCAAACTTCTAAAAAGATTTGTGAGCCCCTCCCCCCCCCAAGCCAAATCCTGGGTGTGCCACTGAGGTTTTGCCCTTAACATTTTGGGTGTTTAGACAAACAAAGCGACATAACAAAATTACGTATATGGAAGTGAACTAAACTATTTTCAGCATACCACGATGTAAACCCACTCTGATTGGCACTAAAAACTAAGTACTCATATCACACTGACTGGCTTCTAAGGATGAATTCTCTAATTACTTTTAAAGCATTTCCAAACCTCACCTGTTTGCCATGGAGTTCCACCTGGAAGTTCTTAGCAGATTCCTGGGTGACCCTGCCACCAAAGTCCAGCTGGTACACCTGTGTGCTCTCATTCCATAGCGGGGCCTTGTTTCGCATGACAAACACCCTGGATTTGCAGTCTGCGTACTGCCGCATCAGCTTGGCACGGCGCGATTTGGAGCTTCCGGCCGGGGTTTCTTCTCCGCTGTTGTTATCGGCGGCGTCACTTTCTGAGCTGTCGGCGCCGGTGTGGGATTTCATGCGTCCGCGGGACGGGCTCCCGCCGCAGAGAGAAGTCCGCCTGTCCTTTGACGTTTTCTTCGTCTTTTCCGTCTCCGGTACAATTTCGTTGTCGCTTTGCTTGACGGCAGTGCTGGGCGAAGTCCCGGCACTGCTTTCGCTTCTGCTGCGGCTTTTGGATTTCGGGCGTTTTCTTTTCTCTTGTGGGGATTTGCCCGACACGGACGGACTGCTGTCCCTCCCGCAGCCATTCTGCGGACTACCGTTATTCGTCCTGTTGTCCACTTGCATTATATTCTTTGGACTGGAGCTGGAGCGAGGTCGGCTCCCCCGAAGGGGCCCCGGCATGAGGCTCCGTTGAGATTGCACTAAGGATTCTCCCCTATCTGTCTGTCGTAAGCTGTCGCGTTTTTTGCACGGATGCGTTGCGGTGACGCCCGGCTCCAGGGTATCCATCGGGAGCGGTTTGTGGTCCATGGATTGGTTCGCGACACCGTCGGGAGGGTGGTGCTGGGCCACACCCGTCGGGATCAACTGACTCGCGCTATCGGCCCACCGTGGCATGTCTGTCTGCAACTCCTCAAAATCACAAGGCTCGCTGGAAATCAACGTCCCGTCCACGATCTCCGTGGTTCCGTTAATAATCTGGGCGTTTTCCACCACGTCCAGCGACCCGGTTCTGCCAGCCACGGTTGTCGTGGCTTCCAAGGAAGTCTTGAGAATATTGGCAGTCCGCCGTTTTGGTATCGCCCCCTGTCGAATGAACTGTTCCCGATCCGGTTGGACCTTGGAGGTCGGGGGGATGTTCTCATTGGTCACCTCCCGTGGCCTGGGCACTTCCATTGCTGGGGGAGGGGGTTCCTGATCGGCGACGTCCAAGTCACTGCTTGAAAAGCTACGATTGGTTGATTTCATTGGAGCTATGGGGGCGGGCCCTCCCGCTCTGTTCATGGGTGGTTGAGGCGGCGGCTCTGAAAAAAAAGCCAAAACACAAGGAATGTTAATAGAATGTTTTTTGGGGCAAAATATTAAATTTTTGAAACATTTTTAACAGTGTCTTGTGAAACACAATGCAGGTGAAGGAAAAATCCACCATAAAATTTTAAGCATAAAGTAATCCAATTTGGGGAAAGCATGAATATTACAATCTAATTTTTATTCATTAATTTCTTATTTCAGAAATACACCTTGTCCACGCCAAACACTTAGAAAACAAAGAACTATGCTGAAGGTATCTTGGAGAAAATAGTAGGTTTCAGACAAAAACAAAAACACAAAGTGATGTTACACTATAAGAAAAAGAAATTATGCAGTGAATTCGACAGTGGTGACAAAAAGGCTGTGTGCACGGACAATCAATTATGGAAGATAGCATCAGATGGCTCCGTCGCTCAGAAACGGAGGAGGATAAATAACTTGGGGGGAAAATTAGGTCTTGGTGCAGACATAACACCCTACTGTCACATTAGTTTGAGCCAAAGTCCATTCAACGTTTACAGAGAACTGTATGGAACAAAATGGGATGACAAATGGGTTTACATTTTTGTCCTGACTGTAAATTTGTCCCGAACGGATATTGAGAAGTCTTTGCCAGTACTGTGTAAGTTTTGTGCATTGCTAATACAGATTTTTATGTGTCTCATTATTTTGAGTATTAAAGCATGTGCTGTGCATTAACTCGTTTGGTAAATTGTTTTGAACATGAATACAAAAATGCTTAGTTTTTTTTTTTGAAGAAGTTACGTGTTTTAGTCATTTCTGACTTGGGACAAAATTCTCAGAGTTGCTTAGCAGAAAATACGATTAACCCCCAAAATGTCCCTGGTATGCGTAAATGTGTGCAGAGCAAGGACGTTTTGACTGGTAACCTGTTTTTGTTAAGCAAATATTTTCTGTGCTTAGTGTGATTCCACGCTTAGCGCCTCCACGCAAAATACTCTTTGTGAAATACGATTTGACGCTCTTGCATTTAAGTAAATTTACCAATACTGGAATACAATCTGCAAACGCAGGGGCCTAGTGAAAAATCGTGAAATTGAAGCCTGTAGCCACATCCGAGCCAAGCCCAATTTCACAAATATCCTTCAATCATGAAAAATGAAGCATGTAGCCAAACCCGCAACAAAGCCAAGTTTTCTTAAATATCCTTCAGTCATGTGCAAACAACCCACTTTTGTTTCCACTGCCACACCTTTTAACACTTAATGCAGCAACATCAACACCAGCCAAAAGCAGAAAAACAAAACGTTCAGTTTCCCCCCGCCCAGACACTACAGAAATCCGCATCCCTTAAAAACTGCAAGATTCAAGTATCAACATAACAGCCTGACAGCAAAAATCAAAGAAATCTGCTCGTAAGAGCCGGCAATCCATTATAAGGATACCTCAGGAAGCGGGCCGACCATTTTACGGACTCCCAGGTGTGTTTTTTTTAGGGGGGCAGACTGTTTAAGTGGCTTAGCACGAGACTGCGCCCGAGGCATGTAGTCTGATTCACACCCAGAGTTCATTGTATGAAGTAGGACGCGTGCGCACCCCCTCGCATGAGGGAACATTTTTTTATTAGTACATCTTGGTGGATGCTGTTCCGAATACAGAAGAGCCTTAATTCTGTGACCGACTTGAGCACTGTACAAGGTACATATATGAGTCATGCTAAGAGCCACTACAAACATGTGCATGCAGCACCGTAGGTGTTGACTGAAGCGCCAAACGCCATAACAATGTCTGTTGACTTGTGCTGGGTGTTGAAGTGGCAGGGTTTAGGGTACATGTACTTAGGACTGTGAGCTTGGGGAATATTTCATGGTTAGTCGTGTTACTTTGCAAATACGATACTACTTTCAAATTCATGTATATTTCTTCTTGAGGATTTGTGCTTAATGTACTTGGTTTCAGAAGATTTTGAGCAACTCAAGGCAGTGTAATATTTGAGGACTGGCCACATTTTAATAGCAATGCTCTTTATTCTCAAAATTTCTATCAGAAAAATGTTTCTAATCCACAAGCTTTTATTTCAGAAAATAAATAATGATAATAAATAATTTATTTCAGGGAATAACCCCCCCCCCAAAAAAAAGCTACTTAAACGAGTAATAAATGAATCCTAAAAGTTCAGGCTTGACATTTTGAAAAATAAGTCTTTCTTTGAGAAAAAAATTATTTAAGATTTTAAAGTGAGCCCTTACACTTCTTTGAGACAGTTATCTTTTTAAAAGACACTCTTGACAGATATTGACAGACTTTGACTGATTCTAACAGACTTCAACAGATTTTAACAGAATTGACAGATTCTGACACCCTTTGACAAATTTTGACAGACTTGACAGATCCCAACAGATTTGACAGATTCTGACAGACTTTGAAACATTTTGACAGACTTGACAGATTCCAACAGATTTGACAGATTCTGACAGACTTTGACACATTTTGACAGACTTGACAGATTCCAACAGATTTGACTGATTCTGAGAGAATTTGACAGATTCTGACAGATCTTGACAAATCCTGAGGATAACTTTATATCAGCCTACCTCCCGGCTCGTCCTCATCCTCGCTGAAGACGTTCGGGTCGAAGTCCGCATCGTCGTCGTCCCGTCGCGGCTTGGCGTCCGGCCGTAGCTCCACCAGAGCGATGGTCATCTGGCGGGGCTGCAGATGCAGCAGGCTTGTCCGGTAGTTGACCTGGCCCAGGTTGGACGGCAGGAAGTGGGCCAGGCCGTGGATCTTGAACTTGGTGCCCCAGATGTTGGAGGTGACCTCCACCAACCGGTTTTGCTGAGAAAAACAGAGAAATTGACCCCAAAAAAAGAGTAACAACAAACTGGTTCCCATAAATACTTTGGAATTTCCTCATGAAACAGTATAGTCAATTACGTCCCAGTTGAAGTCAGACCAGACCAGTGCTTACCAGTGTTTTAGTCGAGGTGCTTGCGATGGATCACAAGTCCATCACAAGATCAGTCACAAGTGATCACAAGGTGATCACAAGTCCACCACAAGTCCAGTCACAAGTGATCACAAGTCCAGTCACACGTGATCACAAGTCCAGTCACAAGTGATCACAAGTCCATCACAAGTCCAGTCACAAGTGATCACAAGTCCATCACAAGTTCAGTCACAAGTGATCACAAGTCCAGTCGCAAGTGATCACAAGTCCATCACAAGATCAGTCACAAGTGATCACAAGTCCATCACAAGTCCAGTCACAAGTGATCACAAGTCTATTGAAAAGTCTAGTCACAAGTAACAGGGGTGTACAGCAACACAGTTCATTTCAAATGCCTTGGAACTAGATGGCTTGTGATGGACATGTGATGGCTTGTGATGGACTTACGATGGACTTATGATGAAACTGACTACAACACTGTCTACAAAACTGGTCTTTGGTGAAAAAATAACCTTTCACTGGACTAACCTCTGGTAAGCTTTCCAAGAACAAGCTGTCGTACTGCCTCTCCTTCCGTCTGGGGGAGTCGGTCCCGTTACTCCCATCCCTGTTCAGCCTAGGGCTGCCTCTCCCTCCTCCTCCTCCTCCTCCTCCAACGCCTACCGACGTCCCGTTCCGACGGATTCCCGGCATCCTCGGCAACGCGTCGTCCTCGCTCTCATCTGAGCTGGAGCTGCTGCTCGACGAGATGATGGGCAACCGGTCGTCTTCCTCACCCAAGACTGCGACAGCGACAAATATCCAAAAGAACAAGATAAGTATTAAAAATACAGCAATGATGGGATTTGAGTCCAGAAGAAGATAAGTACATTAGGACTTTCACTTGGGTGAGATTCTAACCCCCCTCCAACCCACCCCCAAAAAAGAAGAGGCTAACTTAAGTTTTTGGGCCTAAAGAGAGATTAGAACCCAGAAACAAGATTTGTATAAGTTGTTTTTTTTGCCCAGGTGGGATTTGAACCCAAGCCAGAGAGGGGGAAAGCCAAGATGTATGTCAACATGCAGCATACATTTGATTACACTATTATTTTGTCTGCCTGGTTGGGATTCGAACCTGGATTACACAGCTTTCCAATTTGTTCGTTTAAATTTAATGTTGAGTTTTAACTTCAGTTGAAAAAAGCACATTTTTTTAAGAGAGATTCGGACCTGCAACTTCTGAAACACCAGAACAGCGTTCAACCAAGGTATCCAATGATATGTTGGCATTCTTCAAATTTGTCAAAATCTTAGTTCCAGAAGATTTTTGTCATTTGCTTAACTTCGGAGATCAATTCCACTGAACTGCTAAGCCTAGAAGTTTTGCTAAGCATGGAAAATATTTGCTTAGCATAAACAGGTTACCACCCAAAATATCACATGGTACATATTGCTTGTGACTGGTTCCCGGCTGGTTTTCGCTTAGCACATAAACTTGTTAAGCAATATTTTCATGTTCCATAAAAAACCCATGTTTTTTTATACAAACACCTACCTTGTTTCTGGTCTAGGGACACCTTGGGATCGTAGATGACAAACTCTGGCCGGAGTTTACTGACCCTGCGACCTTTGAGGAGTGGTACCAGACCACCCAGGTACTCCAGGAACAGTGTGTAGCATGAGCTGCTGGGGTTGGCGTCGTCGCCAGTCCGGATCATCGTGCAGTGAAGCCTCTCATTGCCTAGAAAACATACAGCACTTGAAATTGGTGTGATGATCTCCAAAAAAAAAAAAAATTTAAATATCATCTTTCAAAGGGAGCAAACCTAAGCACCGTTTTTTCCCCTCAAAATATCATTATAATGCACTTCAGTTCCCTAGCTTTTTAACACAATGTAAAAAAAAATGGACATTCAGCAAACACACAGATAGACAGACAGGTAGACATACAGGCAGACATCACAAAAGGCTTTCAGTACCTGGTGGCGGCTTGCTGCCAAATTCTCGGAGTTTGGTTGGATCAGGAATACAACCCTGAAGGAAACATACAGATTAAATTAACCTATTAAAATAAATGAAGCCAATGTATACACAAGTGTTAAACAAACAAGCATGGAAAGGTATATTTTTATGTTTCATTATCCTTTAGAACAAGTATTTTGTATCCTTTTTATTGCATCATTTGAATGAGGCCTAGAAAAATTACCTGTGTTTTTGGTTTCACATCCCCCCCCAAAAAAGAAATTTAACAAAAAACCTTTAAAATCACACAGAATCTAAATTTTTTTAGTCAAAAAAAAATTACCCTACCCACTCATCTTTTTGTTCGTGTAACAGGAAACACAACATATTTTTTCTTGGCCTAAATTTTCCATTTTTCCTTCACAGAAGATAAACAGGGATATTTTTTTATTTATATATACAGCATTAATATATTTACAGGTACCCTGTACATACACCTATATTGCCATTGATTGCAGGACAGACACAGCCCTACAGCATCAAAAAAAAAACCATCCTAGTTTGAGCGACATTTTACTCAAAAAACTACACGTTAATCACGTCCTTGAACTGTCCAACTGCTTTTCTTTCCGTCATTTACGCTCATTTTCCAAACCTTGGCACCGCATGCCACAATGTTTTATTCAATAAATCTCCAAAATGACTACTTTCTAAGGACCTTTACGAATGCAAATTCTCTCCGCATTGAATGCTCAGTAAGTACCCCCCACTCTCGACACCACTTAGGTCTTCAAATATTCCTTTTAAAATTTTAACACAGAGAGAGAGAAATCCAAAAGCAATTTTGTTTTTCACTTTTTCCCGCTGCCTCCCATTAAGTCTGCTGACAATGGAATTTCCGTTGTGGTAGTCCTTTTTGAGAAATCCCGATGATACAGAAGAAATTGACTGAAAAGGCGCCTAATGCTTGTCTTGTACGAAAGCTACGGTGAAATGAAGTCACATGACAGTTGACATATAATGCGATCATAAAACCTTGGAGATTCTCACCGGTATCGAAACGGACGCTTGGGGAGCCAATAAAAGAGCACCCTGTTTTCTTTTCGATTCGTCTTACATATCGGCCGTCGAGAATCTTATCCTCTACCATGAAATACTAGGAAAAAAAGGCTGTTCTGACGTGAACGGAATGCCTGTCACTTACAGGCTGCTCACGGTTCTGTTGCTTTGGGGATAGGAAGCACTGAAATGTTAAAATGCCAGAAATAGCGCAAAATGTCTCGGGATTTGAAACGAATGACGTCTTCGGACCGGAGGTAATTCACGTCAATGAGCACATGATTTAGTTTTTTTTTTTTTTATCTGACGTGACTTGGCATTGCTCACGCTTTCGTACCATTTACTCTATGTGAATACTCGATGTTTCTTGCAATCTGCTTGAGACCATGTTTGTACACTCAAATGAGATCTTTGGGGGACTCATGCTCCAAATAATTTTTTTTTTTTACAAATTTTTACAAAAATACTAATTTTATTTTACCTATTTACTACACTTGTACATTACTATACATCACAAACTTTTTTTTTTGGTTTGATGACTTATTCATGAACCTTTGCATATTCTAGAAAATTAAAACTAATCCCAGCTTTCAGCCCTTCATGGAAACGTGACTCATTTTTGCAGAGAAAACTGACTCTTTTATTTTTTTTCTTGAGCTTGACATTTGTGCAAATTATGGCAGAAAAATTGACAATATTCCTGTGAGCATGTGAGGGGCTTTCTATTGTTGATTCACTACGATTTAAAGGGAATATACAACATTTGCTTTTGCTGTAATTTTCAGAAATAGACGGATTTGGGGGTTAGTATTTTATAGCAAATATTGTTACACTGACCTGTTTCAAGTTTTGTGTTTATGGATGGCAGAAAAAAAGGGAAAAAATTCTGTTCTTGTAGTCTGGTTCCCTGACCCTACTTTAGACGCAACAGAGCAATTTGTATACGTCAGGAATTGTCAGGTCAGGGAAGCAGACTACAAGTGGCTTGCACCCATTCACGGATGTGTAACCGATGGCAAACAAAACATGGACTAACTAAATTCAGTCAATTGAGGGCAGTATTTGAAAAAGCGTGTTTTTTTTCCACCAGTAGTACAGCCAAACCGTCATTGGAAAATGATACAAAATTTCAATTTTCTTGAAAATGACAGCATATCAGGTGCCATGATTACACAGGATGTTTGAGACTTTTATTCACTTACACTGTACTGTCAAGTAAGGTATTTCATAATAATTTGGTAGTTTTGTTTGTGATGTTTGCAAATGTTGTATATAGTCGACTCTCGTTATAACAAACTCGTTCTGACCTAGCCAAATTGTTTGTTATATCAGAATTTTGTATTAAGAGGAACATCAGTCCTATTCATTGTGCAAATAAATGCACAGTCGGGACCAAGGCTGTATGTTTGTTATAACCAGAATTTGTATTAACAGAGTTTGTACTAACGAGAGTCGACTGTACCTATAAGCAAATGCTGTTTCCATAAACACGATACACTTTCTGTGAAATGGAAGGAGGTTCTGTTACAAAAAAAAATATCATGTACTAAATGGCACCATGAAATCAGGCCCCAGTCACATCTTCAATATTTTCCTATTATATTTCTCAAAGTCCGAAAATTATGAATGCAAAAAGGTGAATGCAAAAAGGTGAAAGCAAAAAAAAAAATAATTGGGTAGTTTTGTTTTTGATGTTTGCAAATGTTGTATACAGTCGATCGACTCTCGTTATAACAAACTCGTTCGGACCTAGCCAAATTGTTTGTTATATCAGAATTTTGTATTAAGAGGAACATCAGTCCCATTCATTGTGCACATAAATGCACAGTCGGGACCAAGGCTTTATGTTTGTTATAACCAGAATTTTGTATAAACAGAGTTTGTACTAACGAGAGTCGACTGTACCTATAAGCAAATGCTGTTTCCATAAACACGATACACTTTCTGTGAAATGGAAGGAGGTTCTGTTACAAAAAAAAATGTCATGTACTAAATGGCACCATGAAATAAGACCCCAGTCACATCCTCAATATCTTCCTAATATATTTCTTTTCAAAGTCCGGAAATTATGAATGCAAAAAGGTGAAAGCAAAAGAAAAAAAACAATAACGAGTTTCCCCTGCAGGTGAAACAAGGCTGATAATCACGTACAGGGCCGTCATGCGATAGCCGACGAGACAGTCTGACGCGACTGCACGACAGAAATTAATAACCGCACACTGCGTTCAGTGAATGTGCTCAAAGGCGTGGGTGAATAGTAAATGTACATTAATGGCGGCTAGGCCACTGAAGGTGAACAGTGTTCTCAATTAATTAGGCTAGCAGTCAAGAATTCCTGGGAAAAAAAATGAAAATTTCATCGTGTTTCGATAGATGACGGCGAAAATGAACAAAATGAAACTGAGTTTCCATGCGGGTGGAAAAACCCTGGGGAATAATTTTTCCGTCTGATGGGTTAAGGGAGGGGGGGGGGTAGGCACATCATCAGGCGATGAGGAAAAAAAATGTGATTGGAAATCATACACTCTCTGGAGAGTACTGTCGTTGAGTACTTCATGTATTTCACGTCGTAAACATTATCATGAGTGAAAAACAAATTATTCCACTGGAAATTATTCATCCACAAACCTTGAAATAATGAGTTACAGTGTATAATGTGCATAAATTCATGCATGAATTTTTGAAAATAAAAAAAAAAGGCATTTGGAATACGTGTGGAAAAGCGTAGGAAAGGCAAGTTTTTATTTTTCTTGAACTGTAATAAGCGTTGCAAAGTGCATGTCTGCATAAATATTTCTGTTTAAAAAAGCATTTTGGGTAACGAAAACTCCTAAAAAAATGTGGAAAAACTGTTTTTACAGAAATGTTAGTTTTGAATAGAAAATTGCTGACATACCAAACAGGAGGATTTTTTATTTCAAAAATAATTTTAAAGTAGACATTAGAACAGGTTGTCGTTTCATAAATGTGACCATTGAAAATAAAAAAAAATTGTAAGTGTGCAAAAGAGATCAGTCGATAAACTAAATAAACGCCCAGCATATAAATGTGTGGCAGCGATACTGAAACCAAATGTACAAATGGGCAAACTCTGCGTCCCCCCGACACCTCCCCCCCCCCCCCCCCCCCCCGGCTTTTAGAGTCAACTTTCGAACGATTCCCTTACCTTTACGGTGAGGGACAGCCTATCCGTGACGTACGTCCGTAGCCGGCCCGGCAGCGGCAGCTTGGCCATACCCTTCTCCTCGTTGACCAACGACGTGATGACCTCGCGACAGAGCACCTGCAGAGGGGCCACGCCCTTCTCCACCCAGGCCACGTGTAGGATTGCCCCGCAGGCCACAAAGAGGCGCCGATCATTGTGGCCCCAGGTCAGCGCTGATAGGGGGCGCTGTTGGATTGCGATATGATTTTTAACATTTGCGATACTGAGCACAAGGATTTATGTCACTGCTACGCTTACCACAGAATTCTGACAAGTTAGAGTAAATATAATTTTTGGTCCCCCCCAAAAAAAGTAAAATAAAACAAACATCAACACATTTTGTCTGCAGAACCAAATTCCAACAATTGTTTTACCCTCTTGAAGTTAGAACAAGAAAAAATAATACCTTAAATTATTCCTTTAAAAAAAACCTACAAAAGTCTAGTATTTGTAATGTCCGTGACGGAGCTTTTAACAGCTCAGTGAATAAGCCTGAAAATGAATTTTTTTCAAATCTTATCCATCCATCATCAAGTAATGGACAAGGAGATTACAGACTAGGAGTTTTGGATCATTTCTCTAAATCATTAATTAGACATCATGGTTAATTAGCTCAGTCACAGACATTACACTTCCTTTCATAACGACAAAATTGCTCTTATTTTCCATGTCACGTTTCTTAAGAGTTGTTCCGATTATTCTAAAACGGAAATAAAATACAGTCAGGGTCATTTACCTGCGAGGGGATATTGAGAGTGAATCGCAGGTGACCGTTGGTGTTGTAGAACTTGACCGCGCTGATGCTCTCCACGGGCTGCGTGCCGCCCACGGCCAGGAACGCGCCGCAACTGCTCCACTCCATCTTGATGTCTGCGTGAACGGTTCGACAAGGAGAACGCGAGGTTACTAGTCTGGTGTGACCCAACCCAACAAAACGAGGCATAAGTCGCTAGAGCTACTATTGAGTAAAGGCCCGTTTTGTACTTCATGCGGATTGTGAATGCGAAGCCAAATTTGACAAATTCACCTTGAAATTCACCTGAGTTGTTCAAATGTTGAAATGCGTTCATCTTTTGTGAATTCGCAGCGCAAAAACTTGCCGTGACATCAAATTCGTGTTCACTTTGGCCTTAATAAAAAAAATTAATCTTGCACAGAAATTAGCATCCACTAATGCGCATCCACCAATGTCTGCATATTTTGAGAAGTCAAAATGAGGGATATATCAAAATCAAAAGCAGCGTGTTTCCATTCTTTTGCTATGAAGACTTCAAGGGTGAGACAATGTGCATAAGCCTCATTTTGTGGGATCACGTCACACAGGCCTTGTTTCTTTACGCCTAGGGGCATTTGTACAGCTCCTACAGTGATACAGTAGTATCTTGTCTTTTGAAACCTGTCACTTTCAATGAGCCACATCGTTTACTTTTTTTAAAGGTCTGTATAAAAAAAAAACAGGCACTGTTGTCTGTAGCTACATGCGTACCTCTTCACTGTACTGTGCCCATGGCTAAAACAACCAAAGTTTCAGCAAGAAAAATCCTCAAAGCCTTCAAGTGGCTTTTGAAGCCTCTGACAGAGTTAAGGTCAATCTCCCGTTTCCGACAGTCGGAGGATGTTTATAGACACCACGGTTTAAAGACTCAGGGTATTATAATTACATGAGATCTCTGCAGGATTCTAACCCCTAACCTTCCGTTTTCAAGTGCAGCTTTACACCAATTTAATTATAGCCAGATTTGGAAGTATTCGGGTGGAAATAAATTTAGCAGAGGGTGGATCCCACTTGCAAAATTTACACACACAAATTCTCAAGAATTCTACCGCCAAACATTGTGGTGCTTGCATTTACATCAAATTCAATCCAGCAAGCTGACCTTACAAGCTTAGTGTTAAACCTTTACTACATGAACATTGTTTTACATTGTATTTATTTATTGATGAATCTATACACCATTGAATGCTGTCTGTGAGGGGCACAATTTGAATATTCATATTTTGACCTCTGACCTGTCATCTCTGTCTTCATGCTGATTTGGTTTTGATTATTCATGTCTGCTGATGGCAACCTTGAATATATTCAAATTGTGAAATCTGACCTGTCATCTCTGTCTTCATGCTGATTTGGTTTTGACTATTCATGTCTGCTGATGGGCAACTCTGAATATTCAAATTTTGACCTCTGACATCATCTCCGTCTTGATTCTGATTTGGTTTTGATTATTCATGTCAGTAAAGAGACAATTTGAAGAGTGAACTTTGACCTCCGACCTGTCATCTCCATCTTGATTCTGATTGGCTTTTAATTATTCATGTCTATAAAGAGTCAATTTGAATATTGAACTTTGACCTCTGACCTGTCATTTCTGTCTTGATGCTGATTGGGGTCAGGTCGTCGTAAGCCTTCATCAACTGGATCTCGCTATCGCCGAGGTCGACCGCCATGACGGGGCATCGCTTCTTGCATAGTCGCGACCGACGCTCACTCCCTGTGTCACGGTAACAAAAAACACAAAGCTCCGTATTTTGTCCACTAATTACTAAAACCACAATGGGAAACCTGTTGCCTTTTTGGATTGTTGAATCAAATCTGGTCTCATTTCTAAGATTTTGCTCTTATCTCCATATGCACACATCTTTGATTTTTCTTTTGCCTATAAATGATTGATTAGAAATAAATGTTGCATTGCACTGAATTGAATTTAATTGAAACAACTGTTGTTAAAATATTTACAACTTATCAATAATAGCAACAACATAAATTTGTCCAAACAATGGGAATCAATTTACAATTTGTCTCAGATAAATTTGAAAAATAATACATTATGAAGAGAGGCAACTGTAGTAAAGTGTCTTGCCCAAGAACACACGCACCATGTTCCTGGTCAGGGTTCGAACCCACGTACCACGGCACACGAGTCGAACACCGCAACCATTTGACCACAGCAAATATAACCAATATATATACTCCCTGGGATTTTTTTCCCTAGAAATCTTCTGGAATCCTACAAATCCTCGCCTGTGTGAGAAACTAATATTCCAATTTCCTTTCCTGAAAAAAAAAAAATTATAGGGCCGACGCATGTATGAAGATTTCCTGCGCCTGTAGGTTTTTCTCATCAATGAAAAATGAACTGGGTCTGGCACGCACAGGGGGACCTAGATAGTGGAACACATTCAATTCATTATTCATCCACTTTGAGCTTGTTTCGTCGCTGAGCTATCTCGGGTCGAAGCCGGGCCGCGATGATTGATTTTTGAGAAACAGGGGAGTTTTTCTTCCCCCTTTTAATAGATGTGGAATTCTAGAGCTGGAACATATCCTTAAAAATCCTTTTTGTGTGTCGTGTTGGATTCACTGAGAGTTTGATGCGTCCTGCTTTGGACAGCCAATTTTGTCTTTTATTACCGACGAATATCAAATAGAGTATAATGTGCGTAACCCTAAACTCTCTGGGGATTTTTTTCATAGGAATCTTCCGGGATTCCTACAAATCCAGGTTCTTTTGGTTTTTTAAAGATAGAGTAGATCATTTGCAGCCATCCAAAAAGTAACCGACCAAATTATTGTTAAAAGGCTTACTTGGTTTCAAGATAGTAATGGCACTAAACTCCCTGTGAAATAATTCCTTCTGGCATGCTGTCATTTTGAAGAAAACAATAAAAGAAGGTCACTCCAAAGATGAAGTCAAGTGACGCATTTTTTTTGCAAATTTCCGTTAGTAGTTGGTTTGTAATTGGGTGAATCCGTGAATGGGTGCGCGCAAGCGTTGACACGACGCACACCTGGTTGCTATTATCTGTCGGTTCAGTGTGTGTCATCGCGTGTCTGCAATCGGCTGAATGAGAACGTGTTCCGGATGCTGATTTTCGGGCGCAATTCGACTGAATCAAACCGAGATCCTAGAATAATGTCTTCTCAGAATATAGGCCTACGGCATTCACAGAGCTAAAACTTCATCAGTTGTTAAGCACCTGTCTTTAGATTTTGAGCACATTGGTTGCTTCAAACGAAATGCACAAATGACAAATGTTCTACTCTACTGGTACCTTTAACGTATCAAACCCCACGTAATTTTTTTGCAGCAGGTCGTCTTTCTTTCTTCAGGTCAACGTAAATATTGCGCCATGTTGATTAATGATGATAAAGGTACATACGATTATTTGCTTTAGGTGCATTTTTTTTTTCCGTATGAAGCAACAAACTTACTCAAAATCTTAAGTAGGGTGCATAAACAGAAATCTGTTTTGGGTCTCGTAAATTCTGTTGCTAACACGCATAAAAAAGTGTGCCCGTGGATGAATAATTTCAGAGGGTATTTAGTACCATCCTTATCTTCACTTTGAGCAAGGTTTTCCCCTTAAATCGGTAAGTCCCTTTCTGGTTAATACCTGATGATCATACTTGCCTCTATTAAAACATGAAATGCACCTTAAAAGGGAATACACAACATTTGCAAACATCGGAAAACAAAACTACCAAATTTTTACGAAATACCTTACTAGGATGTTGGTAAATGAAAGTCTAAAGCATCCTGTAAAATTATGGCACCGAGTGTGAAGTCATTTTCAAGAAAAGTGGTATTTTGTAAAAATTCCCAACGGTGGTCGGCCGACCACCGTTGGAAAAACCTAACTATTTTTCAACTACTGCTCCGAATTTACCATTTGTTTTTTTTCAGTCCAAATTTTGTTTGCTATTGGTTATATGTTCATGAACGGGTGCAGGCCAGTTAGATTAGTTTCCTTACCTTACAATTTTTTTGGCATCTATAAATTGATTCATTTCATTTTAGTGGAGTCGGGGAACCAGACTACTTGAATTTTTTTGTTTTTCTTGATTTTTCCAGCATTTTCGAACACAATCCTTCAAACTTGTCAGTGTAACAATATTTGATCTATTATACTAACCCCTCATATAGTTCATTTCTGAAATTTAAAGCAAAAGCCAATAATGTACATTCCCTTTAAAAAGCAATTTACATTTACATGTATATTTACATGAACATACATGTACATATGTATGTCGTAACAGTCGTTCTTGTAATACATTCTAGAAGGCACGACGAGGAAGGAAATTTCAATTTTCTCAAGCAGGAAGAAAAATTTGTACGAAGGAAAAAGCCGAGAGATCGAATCCTCGGTAACTAAAGAGCAGAATTCAATCCCTGCGAATCGTGTCTGTCCTGTATATGATGAGCTGCTGTAGCGTAATGCGTGCCAACTTTTAAAGAGCTGCCAGGCGAAAAAAAAAAAATTGTGATGGGCTCTGAAAACCTTTGCTCAGCCAACAGAGTTTTGTTAAGCGTATACATGTATGTGGTAAGCAACATGCTCAGGCCTCTGGAATTCCGACAGGGAATCCATTAATGTTATTTAAGTTAGCTGCAGACTGAAGATTTGGTCTGATCTTAAATTTTCCGGGACGGAGTTACACATTTCCTGAAATGAATCTTTTTCTTACCCATTCATGCAGATTACATTATTTTGTTTGCCAATTTAAAAAAAAAATCTATTTTTTTTTGTGTTTCGAAAGTTTTCAAGACAGCTCAACATATTTCTCAATGAGTTTGACAGTCGACATTTATTAAAAACACTTCAACAAAAGTCTTTTTCCATGCCATACATGTATACAGTATTTGCAATACATACTTGTACAATATGTCAGTAACTTTGAACATGTTTTATGTAAGCATACTGGGGACAGAAATATGAGACAGTCGTGAAACTTAATACGCGTCTTCATCCGCGATGGCCATCGATTATTTTTAACGGCTTTTCTTCGCTATTTTCGGTGGTTTTTATCTATTATGGCCTAGACAAGACGCCACATGCGCACGTACACCACAAGCGCCTATGCTACTCCATTATTGCTCTGTATACAAAGTAGTCGTGTCTGTGTGTCATTGTGAAAAAAAGTGCATTTTTCCTTTCTTTCTTTGTTTGTTTGTTCATTGAGCTGAGACGGTGTGTGATTACGTTGGAGCCAAGATGGCTGACGTTCACTGTGAAGTCTGGCCGACTGACTGCATTTAAAGGGAAAACAGTGTAAACGGACAAAGGGAGCCTTACTAAAATGTCTTGGTCTTTTGGAAGCACTGGAAAGAATTGTTTTTACTCATTTCAGCAATGTTGTTAAAACATTTTTGAACGTTTCTTCAGATTTTGTTGTAGAAATTGTTTTGGTTACATATTGACAGATTAAATCAGATCGGATAGCGTGATTAAAACAGGAATTCTAAAAGTTTTATTTTTAGTCTTTTGAAAGAACAGTTTTTTTGTGGAGGGGTGGGGTTCCACTAGGGCAATGATGAGAAAAAAATCCTGTAAAACATTATTAAATTTGGTTGTTATTGTGCAAAAAATATTTGAATTTTTTTTAATTTTTTTTTTCAATTTTCATTTTCCTAACAGTCACGAAAATTCTAAAAATCAGGCCCAACGAAATTAATACAGCATTTTTTTAAGTCGATGTCTACCCATGAAGATGAGCAGACGACTATTATCCACCAATAAAATACATTTCACTATTTCACTGGAAATGAATTGCGTATGTTCTCCCCATGAGAGTGTAAACATAATGCGCAAAGCAACCCATAAGCCCGGAAAAGTACACGTCATTCGCGACACGAGTGTTTATTTTATAAATTTTTTATTATTTTTTTTAGGTCTGGTACGCTTGTGCAACTCCCAAAAAATTAATCATTATATTCCCTTGATGGCAAACGTTGGGGCTAAAAAGTGCAAGACTTGATAGGAGATATGGGCTTGTACATGTAGCAGCTTAAAATTTGTTCACTACGAATAAGTGTGATTACTCACAATACACAGTGCATGGACCTTAGCTTGGGTATCGCAGTGTGGTGATTATTAGGATATTAAGCATCTGTGGATTGCGGAGGCTGCGAATTTTTCATGTTTTTTTTCTTTTTTTTCTTCAGTATTTTGCAACATCATGACCATTCTGTGGAGGTGACTGATCTGTGTCCACTACTTTTCTTAAAACTAATTTTCTGCAATAATGACAATAAAGTACATTTAGTAATGGCTTATTTTTGAGGAAAAAATGTAAATGTATAAAGTTTTATTTTGTAGGCACCATGGACCACCTGTTGAGTCTGTAATTGGTCAGGTTTTGATAAAAACTGAATGACAACCACTTTTGTTCACAAACAGGGTCCACACAAGTCAAAATCAATTTCTTTACATTTCTATCCCTGAAATAAACTTAAAACATGTCATCGTGCTCATAAGAATTTCTAGATTGTGAAAAAGAAGAAGTATTTCGCCATTTATCCAAAACTCTCACTTTGCGGTGACTTTGAAATGGGAAAACTTCTAAAAAAATTTCAGTGAGCTTATTTTCTTGGAGAATTTATTTTTGTCCCACAAATGACAGTCTTCAAGGAATCCCCCAAAGTTTAATTAACCCTAACCCCCTAGGCCCTTGTTGCTTACAACCATCCTCAATCCTCCAAAATCCTCCAAAATTTTCCAAAATTTTGCAACTCCGCCTAAATTTTTCAAAATTGTCAGACAGTCCTGCCTCAAAATGCATTCATCCTCAATCCTCCAAAATCCTCCTCATCCTAAAACTTTGCACTGATGTTTAAATGAAGGATAACCAACGCCAAATCCTTCAAAATCATCAGACAGTCCTGCCTCAAAATGCATTCATCCTCAATCCTCCAAAATCCTCTTGTGCTTCAATCACCATTCATCCTCAATCCTCCAAAATCCTCATGTGCTTCAATCACCATTCATCCTCAATCCTCCAGAATCCTCATTTGATTCAATCACCATTCATCCTCAATCCTCTAGAATCCTCCAAAACCGCCAGGAGGATTTTGGAGGAGTGAGGTGGGTTAGGGTTAATCCGATTGGAGATTAACACCTTCCAAGCAAACTGCATGCTGTCCATGCCATGCACAATTTGTTCTCCACCCCGGCTGGAAAAGTGAGCACCCAGCCCCTACTCAACAACTGTCTGAAATCGCTTTTTTCCCTTCAACATCAAAACCTAGTTTCCCGTATATAAGCTGTCCGAGCTGGCCGGCTGAAAAATTGCACAAACACCCGAGCAGCGTTGACAACGATCCAAGAGTAGCTCATTAAAGTTTAAACACCCCCTCTCCTCCCCCCCCCCCATCCCCCCCTCCCCCCTTCCCCCAAGGGGCTTCGGAAGCCGAATGTGTGCCACGTGTGAGGCATGGTCAATCACCGTGTGTGTCGTGTCCTGTTGATTATGAGCAAACACGTGGAGCCAAACGTGGGCATTATGCGCCTCGTTCCGTCAGAAATGAGACAAATTACGATCAGAAAGGCTTTTTTTTTCTTCGTTTCTTGATGGGCATGACAATCTACAGGCAAATTGAGGCTTATTGGGATCGGTTGGGACTTTTTGCAGGCTCGTGTCAGGAGAAAATGACTTTTTTTTTAAGGAACAGCGTTATCAAATTTCAATAGTCGTGCTCTGGCATGATACAAGAGAATTGACTCTTTTTTTTTTTAGAAGGATTTATGTCAGCTAGAAAATCGGAACTGGGTTAAATCAGCGCTCTGCCCCAAATCTGTACCTAAATCCCTTGAACACTCTATGCACTGTCACACACTGAAATTGGGCAAGATTTTCCAATGAAATAAGGCAACACAAAACAAACCAGTAAACCCAGCATTTATAAAGAATAGGCTTTTGTAATTTTGAGTTGGGGATCGTTTGGACAATAAACTAGGATTGTCTGAATGACCTCAAAATAATTGCTTAACATGATGAACCTCAGGTAAAAAAATTTTAAAAATGTAAAATTACAACTTTTTAAAAAACAAGTTTTCAATTAAGTTTGAACACAGAAATATAAAAATGTAGAAAATCCTGAACGACTAGAACACCAGGACAAAACAGAGTAGCCATTCAGAACCAGCAATGAAAATTTAAAAATATGAATGAATTTATAAAGATCTGAATTTTTTTTAGCTTTTTTAACCTGTACATGACATTAAATATTTCTCCTGTCTCATTCCTCAACTCTTTCTAGCTCTCTCCCGTTCCCTCTCTAGCTTGACAGATTCCAACCTGTATCGGCTCAAAATTGGATTTGGTTTGACCCATTTCCAAAAAAATGGATCTTGAAGCTTTCTGTTTTGACAGCTCTCCCACGGGAACCTAGAATTTTTTTCCATCCTGTTTGTAGTAAGCCGCAGACATCAGAGTGACTCTATGGTTGAAGATCAGGGTTTTTTTTCTCTCTTTCTCGCCAACTGAGTCTAATTTCATGAAGCCTCTTATCGGGAATCTTTTTTTTTAGCAAATATATGTGCGGTAAGCCAGAATCAGATGGGAACCGGTTGCGACCAAAATAAACTGCATGAAATTTCCACTGGTAACCGGTGTTTGCTAATCAAGCATTTTTTTGTGCTTAACATTATATTAACATTATTTAACAAAAAATTGGGTCACCGTTGTAGTTAGAGCAAAAATGTGGCACTAAATGTACATGTATTGGAATGCTGTATTTGCCAAATTTTTAGGTTTAACCTTTCAAAATCTCAAAATTCTGTGTGTTTTTGTTGATCAACATGATATTTATTTCAGGAGGATTAACTTCTAGGTTTTGTTTAATGACTCTCACCTTTTCTTTTCTTCTTGTCGGGCTTGTCGTCCGACTCGTTGTCGCTCACGTTGATCATGCGGAATTTCTCCGAGGACCAGAGGAGGGCTCTGATTGGTCGATCCTCCGCCAGGGTGCACTGGGTCACGATGGCACCGTGAATGTCCATGACGAGAATCTGGCCGTCTGATGTACCAAGTAACACCTGGGTTTAAACATGGGAAAAGTGACTGAGTGGTTAGGGTTTATGACTTGTGATCAGACGGTCCGGGGTTCAAATCAACCTGCTGGCTACCGTTGTGTCCTTGGGCAAGCCACTTAACCCTACTTGCTTCTCTCCGCCAAGAAGTACCGGGTGCTGGCATTAGTCAAGTGGTCAGGGTCTGTGATTCACGGAGGGGGGGGGGGGGGTCAGGGGTTCTAATCCTGCCACTGCCCATTTGTTGAGTCCTTGGGCAAGCTACTTTACCCCCCTTGCCTTTCTCCACCCAGGAGTACAAATTACATTAGCTGGGGAGTAACCTGCCATGGACTGGCATCCCATCCAAGGGAGATATAAATATTCTCAGTCATTTCAATGGAGATAAACACTGGCTCGATCAGTCATATTGACTCCATATATTTAAATACTTCGACATGTACACAGTTTTTGGCAACTCTCTTTTTTTTGGGGGGGGGGGGAGGCTGGGGTTGTGGGGGTCGTGGGGGGAGCAGCACAGGAAGGGTTATATGTTAACACCATGTTATATTTGTTGACAAAATCGCATGTAGTAGTCACTGACTTTCATTTAAAAAAAAAAAAGCAAACTACAATATTTTCATTTTTTTCCTATTATTTAAATGTTGAATGACATTTGAAAAAAAAAACAAGTCCCCAGAGTCAAGAGCCCAAACACTCCTGAAGCCAAAACTGGGGGCACGACCAACGTTTCAAAAACACTGACCTGCTTGTCGTCTGGTGACCAGGCTCCGCACAGCAGTTTAGCCTCCAGGTTGAGCATGGAGGACCAGTAGCGCTGACCGGTGACCGACCCCACCAAGACAAAGCCATCCTTGTAGCATATCAGGGCCATGCGGCCGTCGTGGCTCCATGCAAAGTCGCTCACCTGCGAAACGAAAAAATAAACAAGGAAACGTTGTTTGAAATTTGCAATGACCTTGACCCTTGGTGGAGGAATGCCCTTGTGTTTCAGAGACACAGAACAATGTGTTTGTTTGAGTGAAAAGTTATTCACCTGCGAAAAAATTCAGCGACGCTAAAAAAGGCTGGGAATGAAGCGTGCAAGTTGACCTCAAGATTTTACAAGAATACATGTCTAGGTACCATATATCAGTACATGTATAGGATCTACAACGTGTGTAGCATTACAATTAAAAACATATTGAAATTTTGCAAAATGAAAATTGTTGACTTCAACTTCCATTTAATTGATCACGCAGATAACAATTGGGTAAAGTCAAGTACGACATAATTAAAGTTGAGCAAAGAATTTTATTGGACTGGGGTTTGAACCTGCAACCTCCGGATTGCCGGTGCTCTACAATTATACCAACTGAACTAGATGGAATTCTCAGTTTTACTGCTGTGTGAAGTTTCAGGTTTAATTGAACAAAATATTTACACAAAGCTCTCAAAACCAGATGACCCTAAATCCACAGGTACCGTATTAAGTACAACAATGCTTGATCTATCAAATGTATACCAAATACAACCCTGACAGAACTCTACCCATCAAACCCCAACGGCATGTTTTGTTGGAATCTGTCAGGATGGGTACAGTACCCCTAAACTGACAGTCTTTTACATCGGGTTGGCACACCTCCAGAATAAAAGTCAGAAATTTGTGTGTACAGTTTCCCATATGGTGTTGGAATTTGCCAGGATGGGTATGGTTCTTAGTAAATCATGCTAGAGAGTTACATGTAGGGTTCCTTTTTTCTATCTTTTTTTTTTTTTTTTTTTTAAAGGGATTCCTTTCTTACTGAACTTCTACATGTAACTGTATCCTGTTTATCAACAAAGAAAACATCACAGAATTAAGTCTTAACTATAGACCAACCTATCCTATGACTGCACACGCACAGAGGCCCCCTTCGATGGCCAAAGCACTGTGCTAGCTATTGTTCAGATAATCCATCATGCCCAATGCTTTCCCCATTGAAGGGGGCCTCCCGTGAGATGTCAATTTCCACACAGCAAGCAAACACATCGGCTAAAAATACACCCTGCTTGAGACGAAAAAATGATACATTGGCTTGACGTCAGCGGGCATTGTTTTAATTCTCTCTAATTAAGGCAGTTAATTTTGAAGTTAAAGACTTAATCTAAAATGCATACATAGAGGTCAGTTGCATGCACTTTTTCCAAATTCCATGAACGGAGCAACCCAGCGTGTGAACATCACGACCGACGGTCTCTGCGGTGCTTTTGGCTCATCTTCAATTTCTTTTTCGCGTCGTGGCATTTTGCGGTTCAGCGCACCGCTGAGCAATTTCTTAACGTGTTGACATGTCGCGTAGAGGTGCGTGAACGCGTAAAAAAAATAATACATTTATGTACGCATAGGTGTTGATTCTAGAGAATGTATTCTTGTAATGTCCTCGACAAATGTCAACGCTGTTTCCCCGTAGATTAGAATTGATGAACGTTTACTTAACATTATACATGGGATTTTGATTTCAGGAAATATTCATGTTTCCTTAGCCCTGCCAATGGCAAAATTGTTTCCTCACGGAAGCACGGTGTATATTTCATATTTTTCATATTTATATTTCACGGAAACTAACAGACCATGTTGATTCTAAAATGTGTTTTGTTAATCAAATGGCTGTTGAATTGTATACACACAAATTGATGAGACACCTGAAAAGGCACACCCTACACGTTCTTGACATTACATGTTAAATAGGTTTTATTTTAGTTTTGGTTGCTTTATAAGGCTAAAAGCTACTCAATGTTGACACTACTGGTAAGTAATTAAAAAGTAGAACTGGACAAATATTTATATATTGCATGGCTTTGAGGGGGAAAAAGAATATATTGCACATGCTATAACAATATTGCACGAGTTGAAGACTAAGTGCAATATTGTTATAGCGAGTGCAATATTATATTCTTGTGTCTCTCCCACAAAAAAAGCCGTTGGATATTATTACTATCAATTTATATCAAGCTGACTGGATCCAAAGAAATAATTCAATCACAATGACGCCATTTTAAAATAATCGCCGTCTGCTTTCCTAACTTTCACAATAACGTTAACTTAAATAGGTTAGACAGCACCCCCTAGTGCTAATGCACAGACTCAATACTGGCCTATACTACACTGTGATGGAGTTCATTAATGGGAAGAGTACAAACTGGGAGGGGGGGTCAGAGAGAAAATTAAATAGAACATCTCAAGCTTACAACATGTACATAAAACTGCACACAAGAAAAATCCTTCTCTTGGCTCGGCCACTAAACGTTAATGGCACTGAAACTTCAACCGACAACAAATTTAATAGAATCAGTGTAACCTGAATTCCTCAGGACCACAATTCCGAGGAAGCAAAATCAAAACAAAATAAAATTCCTCATGTTGTCTGCTCTCCCGACCAACTGTGTATTCTCTTGAGCTGTCCCAAATCGATACATATCGCCGGACCGTTCACGCTTCCACAGACAACTTATTCAATTTTTCCGCCCGAGGGACTCCCGTCACCCGTCACTCGCGAATAGATTCGTCATGTCTGCGCACCGGTTTCTTTTAGCCCCATTTTCATAGAAAAATATTTAATCTTTTGCACTCGAGGATGGTGCAGAAACAACATGAAGAGCGTCGCGGGCTTTCCGGCTGCGGTATGTTAATGCAGTCACTAGCGATTTGCGGATGGTTCTGTGTGATGTGTGAATTTGTGGGCAAGGAATCAAATAGGAGTATTGGTACATTTGACACAAAATATGGCAAAGGGTGCAAGTCGTTGAAGCAGTTTTCCCAAACACTTTTTAATTCTACAATCATATTGAACATTTTCTTGGGTAGAGATGACAAGCACAAAGACTTAAAATAACCAATGTCACATTCGTGTACATTACACTTTAACACTCTTTTTTTTTCAAAGCAATGCCCTTTCAAGTTCTAGAACAGAATAAGAATTTATGATGATCCTTGTCTTTTACCCTAACCTTCCCAAATCCTCCAAAATCATCTTTGCAAAATGGAGGATTTTGCAGGATTGAGGCTATATGGCAAAAATGTGTGGCTCATTTTGGAAGATGCACTGTGTCAAGGTTTTGGGCCGGAACTTGTGTTGTTTATGCTTAGCCGTACATAAATTTAGGCCTGGATTATACTTGAAATCCTCCGCACCGCTCCAGGATGTCAGTGGCTCTGCCTCAACATATTGACAGTGATTGCTGGAGGATTTTGCAGAAATGAGGCTGTGGTCACCCCTCCAAGGACCACATTCAAGAAATAACGGAGGATTTTGCAGGGTTGAGGCTGTACACATGTACATATGTATGCAATTTTTACATGGAGGCAATTGAAGGATTTTCAAGAATTGAGGTTGCATCCTAGCAAAAGTGCCTTGGGAGTTGGGGTTAAGGTATGCAACCTCTGAAAATGAGGGCGAAAATCTGGACATTTCTACAGAATCAGCACAGGCCGAGTTCAAGAAAAAAGGAAATAAATCATGTATACTCCAAGTCGAAATCAATCATCTCATAGCCTCAGGTCGAAAGAAGAGGGTTAACCTCATTTTCAAGCAACGACATTTTTCACGAGAATAATTCCCTTTCTCGATCTTCTGATAGCAGAAAAATTGATCGCCGATATCACGCTAAAAAAAAAAGTGCCCAAGTCAACGGGGTGTTATGGCCAGGCTTTTTATCACCGATTTCATTCATTCATTCACAAAGTGTCTGCATGTCGGACTCACCAGAGAGAACCTCGGCCGAGAGTGTATGATGATGATGCGCGACGGGTCGTTAAGGCCGTCATGAATTCCTATTTTGTCTTGGCGCGGCCTGCGGCAGGCCAGGCAAAGCAGATCCGCTGAGAGGATAGCAAGAGGATGATGATGTCTTGATTTTTTTTGGGGGGGGGGAGGGGGAATCAGGGAGCCAAGGGAAATGACAGCCACCGATTGGAATACTTCCTTAATGCTTGCTACTCCCGGCCATCATTTTCCCGACAAACAGCGGGGGTAGATTGCGATGTTGTGTCTTCAACTAGCTTTCAGTTTCTGTGTCAACAAGTCAATCATTTTAAAGGAGAAGTCTTTAAATGTGGCCAGATACGTGCACAGATGATGATTGGCCAAAGATAGAAGTATCGGTTTCTAGTGTACAGTGTACGGTCCCGTTTATTTGAACTTGGGATAAGTCAGGTTGGCGTAGCGGTATATTCCTCGCCTTTCAACGCTGTGACCCGGGTTCGATTCCTGCCTGGGCCAATCAATATGTGGAGTGTTCCTACCGGTGTTTAATTCGGTGGGTTTTCCTCAGAAAATTCTTCTGGAATTTTCCTCCCACATCTAAGTACATCTGTAAATGTCCTTTTCAGTAATGCTAGCGGGGTTATTAAAATGTTATATATCTGGATAGATTTTTTGTAGTTCAATTTCCACCTACATCACAAAGTTCCTTTAAAGGTGATATGAAGGCGCCACTCAAATGTTGTTATTTTATCATTAAGGGTAGCCACTCCAAACCTGATACCTTGTAAGTGGAGATTCGTTATATCGGAGGCTGTCATCAGCACGGCATTAACTACACCGCATAGGGGTAATTGTGTGTGTTATCAAGTTTGCTTTTGTCTGGGAAAAGGATTGCGAGCGTTCCGGCTTTTCTACAGGAGGGGGGGGGGGGTGTTTGCAGACAATGCACGTCTTACAGTGGCTATACATTTACAGCTGTACGCTGATTGTCAAGGATCAATACTGATGTACGTCATTTTATGGGATCCAGTCAAAAGTGAAGAGGCTTGTCCGTGCAGTGTATTTCCACAGAGATTTTACTGTGTTTCTGCACTATATAGGTCGGTAACCTTCATGTAGCAGGTGAAATTTGTTGGGAAAATTTTCTCGACAGTGGACATTTTAGTCATTCATGTTATAGTATTCACTTCGCTATGAAACTGGCTTCTTTGGGAAGAATGAACTGACCGTTATTTTACATGCTGTGATTTTTGCTAAATTCGTGCGCCAAGTTTTAATGGTACAAAATGTGCGAATTGCCAAACTTCTTTCAACATTTATTCATATCAAACTCTCTTGATTCTGAATTTGAAATAGCGACATTTGTCCTGAGTGTGGTGGTTTCTTGACTTTCTACCCAAATTTCAAACAATCAAATTCCATTAAAAAATTTGAAATTGAAAATTGAAATAATTTCAAAAGTCAAATTTAATTGAAATAAAATTTTAATTTCCTTTAGGATATAGAAAAGTTTGGACAAACTTCTTTGCCAGACTTCCCTCCCCTCCTACCTCCCCCCCCCCACGAAAAATTCTTGTTGTTAAAAACTAAAATATTGCATCTAATTTTAACCGTTACTTCATAAATAACATGCCTGTATACATGCAACTGAGCACCCCCACTTAAAATTGAAAAGAGTTTAATAAACCATGTCAAAAGACAGAGACACAAGAAAACACATCACTGAGTAATGGCACATTAGATAGATGTCCTTAGACATGCATTCTGAATTCCTTAGAGAGACAGGAAGTTATCTCTCTGAGAATATCCCATTACAAAATGTCATGATGCGCCAATGTTTGTCTTGAAAGCTCCTTGGAAATTATACAAGGTGAAACAAATAAAACATAAGATGTTATCTGAGGGATCTTCTGTGACTCAAACACGTCGTCTTCCAAACCGCGAATACGGCGGACATGATGTTAATCTCACAAGATCAATGTCGACGCGGGAAGAAAGTGTGTCCGGAATGAGTCAGCAATCATGCATGTTGCACCCGCACAGCTGTCAGTGTCACCAACATTTGTTTTTCTCTCGGGTTCGCTGGGGACGATTGAGAATTGAAGTACAAAAAAAGAAATTCATGTTGTCCTCAAGTGGCCACAGTTTGAGGATATTTTGGGAAAAGGTTGTGGGTGTTGTTTGTGCAAGTCTTGCAAGACTCTCCAAACAAAAGGTGCGAATCATGATGGAGATTTCACAGGATCGGGAATTGGCTTGGATAAAAATAACGCGGTTCGTCCAAATTGTGTCCAGTATTTGCATGGGGGGGGGGGGGGAATTGGTACGCAGATGTCTCAGTCAGGCTACATTTTTACGTGTGTTCATTTATATGCATATTAGGGTCATTCTATAAATTTGGGGTCCACTATTTTCATGTCCCTGTTACGCCTGGCATCTATGATTATATCATTCTAGATGCATTCATTAATGCAGTCGTCCTCGAAGATTGATTATGAATAGCAAACTGCCATTTCAAAATTGTGTGAAGTCATTCTTAGCGATACTTGAGTGGTAAATTACAAAGTACCAAGGTAACAGGGACAGGAAAAAAAGTCACACTTTGTACCCTATATTTATTGAATGACCCACACGCACTCTTTCTTAAAATCAGGTTGAAGTCATGACCTGCTTTTTCTTGAGAGCTACGGTTTGGGGAATGGTTTATAGGCCTGGTTAACAGGGGTAATAATACAATATGAGCATCATGTGGGGCCACCACAAGATTATGTACAATGTATATGGGCTCCGTGCACAAGTACCCCCTCAGTGGTCAGAAAGGGAGAGTTGGAGGAGACCACTGGGAGAAACATTGGAATGCATTGCTGACGACGCCTGACGATCATGAGATGACACTATAGATATGGCATATTCAGAATAACATGAGTCGTGCGTACTTCCCTCTACGCACACGAAACATTATGGGCACGCGGCGCGTCCTGTCCGCTTGGCTCTCAAAAGTTGTCAAAAGCGCCCTCTACCGGTTATGCAATCCTACTGTATGTATCTTTAGTTTACTCAGTCACACTGCATGATGCTACAAAATTTGTAGACCTTGCCGCAGAAATGTTCTTAAGTAGTTCCAAATCCCTCTTTGAAATCCCTACCTATCCATCGCTTGACTTTAAATAAGCACTTTAAATTCCGTCTTGGTGTATTGATGCCAATGTTTATCATTAAGTCTTTGGCCGACAAGAGGCGCTTAAAATGCTAAATGTTACCAGAGATATCCCTCTTCCTCTTAGACCGGGATGAATACGTGAATAAATAAACCGCCCCCACGCTGTGCCGCCGGCAGCATGATCTTAGCCTTGTGGTTAATGATTCTGAGAGAAGGGGGGGGGGGGGGCTTGGGAGGGGGGGGGGGGCTACCTGACGTACCTGACAGGATCGGTCGTTGACCAGCTCGATAGACCAGCGGCCTTCGTATTTGATCCAGACGAAGATCACCCCCTGGGCATCGCATGTCGCCATTTTCTGAAAGGGCTCGTTCCAGCGGACGAGGACCACCTGCGAATTGACAGAAAAATATAATCACTTTTTGTCCCAAACTCTTTAAGTGGCGACTCTTCGGTCTGTGTTCCTTCTCTGTTATCCCAAAGGCAACAAGTTAATTTTTTTCTCTAAAAGTAGAAAGTCGTGTCTTTGCCTTGTCACATCAAGGATTAACCACCTGTTCTGTCGGCTCCTTCGAGAAAAACTTCTGCTAGGATTGAAACGTCTGGCTCTTGAACTTTCATGATTTGAATACGAATCGCTTTTATTCCTCACTCTTGCAAAATTATTCTATCGTTATTTTTGTTCGGTTTTCACCCTCAAGTCGCAGCAATTTCATTTTCCAGAGCAAAACAAAGACTATTTATTTTCTCCTGTCAATCGACAGACTTTACACATAGTAAACTTGACTCCATTTGAGAAACATACTGTTATCATGAAAACGGCAGATCTTTCAAATTTTATAATTTGTGACTGCATGAAATGGGTCTTGTAAACATTTTGCGACTTTTTGTTAAAGCAGTAGACAGAACACTCTGCTTTCCAATGTAGACCACTTACCGGCAGTCTGCATGCGGATAAAATGTGTGCCGTTCCAATTAGCCTACATGTATTTGTGGTATGGCAGACACAATAGGGACAGCGCTGTGTGATTTGGGTCAAGTCTTTTGTGTTTACCCAAACCATTGTACATGTAACGTCATATTGCGGCCGCCATGTTGTGGCCGCTTTATCTCAAATAGGCTAATTGATTTGCACTTTTGCAAGATTTATTAAGTGCGAGTGCACAATAAGCTCTGGCCGTCTTTCATGAAAGTCTTGCATGAAATCTGTCAAAATGATCCCTGCCAGAGCTTAAAAATGTGACGCCCAAAAATGTGACACCAATGGCACATATGGAACACCATACTGTAGATGTTTACCTAGATGTATAGCAATTTGTGATAAATACCACAAGACTATAACATTAGTGCAAATATTTTGCCTAAATTTACAGATTTTTCATAAACATCTTTCGGAATTGTTACAAACAATTTTTGTTCAGTATTGAATTTATTTTGGAGCTTTTTTAAAAATTTAAATTTTGTAATTATATTATGTGGAAGACTTAGGGGGCTTATTTGGGTCAATTTTCTTGGGACAGACAGACAGACAGACACATAAACAGACCGACCACCAAGTGACATGTAGAAAAAAGTGACCTATTACTTCTTGCAACTTCTAAGTTGTTCTACTGAGTTTGGATCATATATTTCAAGTCAATCCAGTCAGTGTAGCACTTTTAATTTCTTAAAAAATCTGTACATGTAAATCTTTGTTTACCATTAGCTGGAATAGCACCGAATTTTTCAAACTGAAGATTTTTTAATTTTGTTCCTGGACTTGCATGTACATTTCCTTGATAACTTAAGCCTTCCTATGAATTATCAGTGTGCGGTTTTACATATTTCACAACAAAAAGTATTAACATGCACATACAAATGTACATGTAGTTTCTAAATAAAAAATACACACACAAAATCAACTGATCGAAACAGTTGAGGCTAACAAAAAAGTACTTTAACTTTATATCAGCTGAACAGGAAGTGGAAAGAATAAGCTTGATTGACAGAGACTCGAGACGTCCTTTAGTACTCTTCTGATCGTGAATTACAGAGACGAGTTTCACCGGGAGTAAAAAATAGAGAATAAAACAAGCTCAGCACAGACAAGCTCATCACAGTATTTTCAATGAAGCATTCACGAATCTTTCTATGAACGACAGTTGGTGAAATTTGATTGTTTGACATGTTTGAGCTCATCAAATGAATGGTGCCTACATGTACCGGTAGCTGCTAAGCCTTGAGGGAGACTGTTAACTTTTCCAAACTTTAGAATCGCAAAGTAAATTTTAAAGGCAATATACAACATTTATTACTACAAAATTATTATGAAATACCGGTACCTTACTTGACTATGAAAAATAGTCTCAAGCATCATGTGAAACCATGGCACCTGGTGTGCTGTCATTTTCAGGAAAAGTGTAATTTTTGTATCAATTTCCAACGATGGTTGGCCGACCATCGTTGGAAAAAACTGATTTTCTTCCCAACGAGATACTGCTCCACTTTACCAAATTTAGTAAGTCAACATTTTGTATGCAATCGGTTATTCATCCATGAACAGGTGCAAGCCAGCTAGTCTGGTTCCCTGACCTGACAATTCCTTGACATCTATAAATTGTTCTGTGTCGTCTGAAGTATCAGGGAACCAGACTACAAGAACAGAATTTTTTTCCTTATTTTTTCCAGCATCTATGAACACAGTGTAACAACATTTGGTATAAAATACCAACCCCCAAATCCAGCCATTTCTGAAAATTACAGCAAAAGCAAATGTTAAATATATTACCTTTAATTATTTTTTTTTAATATTAAAATCAAAGGCGCTGAAAATGTTAGCTGTTATAAATTAAAAGAAAGACATTTTCCAAAATGGCAAGCAGCTGGATTCGAACCTCCGACCCTAACATCATGAGTTGCAAACCCAGATCACTACATGTATGCCGAACTCACCAAATGTACAAGACGTTAAAAACTATATTTTGGGTCAAATTTATTTTGAAGACTACCAGTACATGTCGTGCACATGCGTATGTGTAGCATATGGATACATGTCTTTCCAGTGTGTACAGTAATATCATAGTCATTCAGTCTTTTATGTTTATGTGAATTAAAGTTGTCAGATTTTTTTTTCTTTTTTGTACAGAATTTCATTTACATCAGACCAAGAAAAATATACTGGTAGGTTTTCCCATCGCTGAGTCACACATTATCAGTGATCCTTTACGTCCGTCGATCCTTCAAATAACATGACGGCAGCGCAATAAAATTAGTGTCCTAATGTCTGCCTCCATTGTTTACGTGCCCCTGGCCCCCGGAAAAAAAAGAAATTAAATGAAGGGAAAGCTCTGAAAAAAACCCAACGTCACGGGATGATTAGATTCTCCGCCGATTCACTAACGACGCTGCAATATTCAGAATGAGAGGCCTCGACCGTTTCTTAAAACGAGATAGAGAAATTGTGGACGGTTAGGAGAACGATGCTTGCCGGAGGACAAAGGCACAGATATATCCTCGTGGTGTTATTTTTTCTGTTCCTTGTTATTTTTTTCTTCTTTTCATTTTATTGCAGGAGGTTTATAAAACTGGCACTGAATTTTTGCAAGGGATCTAATAAGTGTCGAGTTATGCTCTTTGATTGGGTTAGCAATTGGAGGGGAGAAACGGATCTACGGTGAGACGCAGATGCACGGTTGAGTTACATGGCTGGAGGGGGCGAGGGGGGGTGGAGGGGGCAGGAGAGAGGGACACGGAGGGGATGAATGCCATGTACAACTAATGAACATGTATACAAAAATATGTGCATTATTTTGGGTACTGTACATTATTTTGGGTACTGTACATTATTTTGGGTACTGTACATTATTTTGGGTACTGTGCATTATTTTGGGTACTGTGCATTATTTTGGGTACTGTACAGTATTTTGGGTACTGTACAGTATTTTGGGTACTGTACATTATTTTGGGTACTGTACATTATTTTGGGTACTGTACATTATTTTGGGTACTGTACATTATTTTGGGTACTGTACATTATTTTGGGTACTGTACATTATTTTGGGTACTGTACATTATTTTGGGTACTGTGCATTATTTTGGGTACTGTGCATTATTTTGGGTACTGTGCATTATTTTGGGTACTGTGCATTATTTTGGGTACTGTGCAGTATTTTGGGTACTGTGCAGTATTTTGGGTACTGTGCATTATTTTGGGTACTGTACATTATTTTGGGTACTGTACATTATTTTGGGTACTGTACATTATTTTGGGTACTGTACATTATTTTGGGTACTGTACATTATTTTGGGTACTGTGCATTATTTTGGGTACTGTACATGTACATTATTTTGGGTACTGTACATTATTTTGGGTACTGTACATTATTTTGGGTACTGTACATTATTTCGGGTACTGGACATTATTTTGGGTACTGTACATTATTTTGGGTACTGTGCATTATTTTGGGTACTGTGCATTATTTTGGGTACTGTGCATTATTTTGGGTACTGTACAGTATTTTGGGTACTGTACATTATTTTGGGTACTGTACATTATTTTGGGTACTGTGCATTATTTTGGGTACTGTACATTATTTTGGGTACTGTACATTATTTTGGGTACTGTACATTATTTTGGGTACTGTACATTATTTTGGGTACTGTACATTATTTTGGGTACTGTACATTATTTCGGGTACTGGACATTATTTTGGGTACTGTACATTATTTTGGGTACTGTGCATTATTTTGGGTACTGTGCATTATTTTGGGTACTGTGCATTATTTTGGGTACTGTACAGTATTTTGGGTACTGTACATTATTTTGGGTACTGTACATTATTTTGGGTACTGTACATTATTTTGGGTACTGTACATTATTTTGGGTACTGTACATTATTTTGGGTACTGTACATTATTTTGGGTACTGTGCATTATTTTGGGTACTGTACATGTACATTATTTTGGGTACTGTACATTATTTTGGGTACTGTACATTATTTTGGGTACTGTACATTATTTCGGGTACTGGACATTATTTTGGGTACTGTACATTATTTTGGGTACTGTACATTATTTTGGGCACTGTGCATTATTTTGGGTACTGTACATGTACATTATTTTGGGTACTGTACAGTACATTATTTTGGGTACTGTACATTATTTTGGGTACTGTACATTATTTTGGGTACTGTGCATTATTTTGGGTACTGTGCATTATTTTGGGTACTGTGCATTATTTTGGGTACTGTGCATTATTTTGGGTACTGTGCACTATTTCGGGTACTGTACATTATTTTGGGTACTGTACAGTATTTTGGGTACTGTGCATTATTTTGGGTACTGTACATTATTTTGGGTACTGTGCATTATTTTGGGTACTGTACATTATTTTGGGTACTGTACATTATTTTG